TCAAACGATGAGAAGGCATTAATGCAAGGGCTCAATCAACACTATGACAAAAAGAGAATAACAACTACTCAATAATACATTGCATCTTTTTCATTTGAGATATAGAAAATTAAAATTTACATTACATCTAAAAAATATTCACAATTTACTCTCTCTATATTTATTATGGGAAAAATCTTGTGATATTATTACTCAAGAGAGCGACTCATTAAATAGTTGTCTGCCACTTAGAGTCATAAATCTAGAAGAGAATTTATGGGGAAAATTATATGAGAGGTGAACCCATTAATTAGTGAATTTTGAATTAGAGTGGAACCCAAGAACAAAGTAAGTATTAGAGAGTGGACATATGTACTATGCCAAACAACTATAAAAATAGAGGGTCTTAGAGTTATTTAATTAGAAAAATATTATGAAGAATAACTTACATTCACAATGAGTCTATTATAAAAAAAATTAAGAAAAAATCAATTCAACTCCCCTTTCTTGATCTCAATGTAGACCAAACCCAACAATCATATATCAATTTCACATAAGGATATTTGAGTTATTTATTAAATATATCATATTAGTCTCTCCACAATTCAATGTTATGTTTATTTTAGGAAACATAAATATGAGAAGATTGTAAAAATATAAAAAGATTTATGTGCGTGATTTCTCTATAAATACAACATATTTCTAACAACTAAATAAGTGAAAAAATTACACTCTTCTTAATTAGGATCTCAAACTTTGAGTGAAGTTTTTCCACATTAAGTAAATGAGAATCGAGAGGTATCAACTAACTTATCAAAATATGGGAAGTTTGTTGAGTCATAAAATATTCATCAAGCATTTATTCAACAATTTCAACTTGTTTCAGCCTATATCACCTTCTAACTTCTATGAGCATCATTAAATGAAGGTAACAAAAATCAATTTAAACTTCATTTTTTCATTAAAATTTCAGAAACATTAATACTCAACATCATCTTTTGAAAATTTACCCATGGTGACACCTTTCATATTATTTTTTGTAGATATTCATGAGTAATTAACTATTGTCAAATTAGAGCTATGGATCTAATACGAAATTTCAAGAGAAATCAAGTATAGTAATTAGTGGTTTGTGATCAAACGATCACAATCAATAGAATTGAAGAATAAGATTTTTTCTTAGAGAGTTGATAGTAGTAGATCAAACTACTTCAAAACTACTTGATCTCATACCAGTTAATCTAAGATCATAAAAACAAGCAAGTTAAGAAGAATATCAATTCATCAATAGAAATTTAATCTTAATGAAGATTAAAATAAAACACAACATAGATCAATTCAAACCTCTTTCTTAATCTAAGAGCAGTCTAAAGCCTAACATCTGACAAGACCTACATGTCCTATTACTTTTCTTGAAGTAATTTGTATTTATTGGGGGCAAAACAAGTCATTCATATGTATTCTCAATTAGAGTTCAATGCCATCAATGATGAATTACTTGAAGATGTATCATATTATATATAATTTATGACATCATCACTTTAAACTATCTACTTCGTTTTCATAAATTAACTCCGGATAAATATTTTTTATTTCTTAATTTATTTTATTTATAAAGTTATATTTTTTATGATTCGAATTTTTTTATTTTTTTAAATACTTATAATTTTTTTATATTTCTGAATAATTCACTCATCTTGTGGAGAAGTTGAATGCTAGGTGTTAGCAAACTATTACCATTTAAATATTTGATTATAAGTATTAATACATGACTTTTGTATCAACATATTCTTTTGAAAATGATTTTATTTTATGACAATCAAGTTGTTAGTCATATTAGTTTAAATCTAACTTTCACAAGTTCAAAATAATATTGAGATTGATTATTATTTTTTCTCAAATAAAAGGATATTCAATCTCAATATCCTTTGTTCTAGCAAATCATTTTTTCTTATATTATCTGAAATGATTGTTTAAAAACATGTACAACTTATCTTGAAGGAGAGTCTTAACATTCTCCATATACTTGAGTAAACACATGAGGAGAACGGCTTTTAAGATAAAACCTTGCATTTCATAACGGAGAAATAATTTGATTTTCCTTTTTATCACACTCTATTGAGCGCCACCATGTAGCATATGCTGTCATAAGAGATTTTCAAGCGTACCATCATTTAGTTGTTCCATCCAATCGGCTTCGTACGGGCGGGGCGGAGAGAGAGAGAGAGAGAGAGAGAGAGAGAGAGCGACTGGCTCAGCCGGTTCTCTCCAAATGCTACAAAGATAGACCAACGCATGCCCGGCAACCAGCGGTGCGAGGTCAGACTGCCGCGGCACACTGGCACAGGAACAGCGAGGCTTAGCGGTTCGGTTTAGCCGGTTCTCGCAACTTTCTACAACTAGATGAGCTTTTCTGACGTTTTTGTCGACTTCAAAGTGAGAACGATCAAAGCCTATAGCAACGCCACGTGGAAGAGAACTTGCCACTGGCCCCGGCGTTGTCCATGGCATCGAACAGATGTCATGGTACCGACGTGGAATTTTCTCGCCAATAGATACAAGTAGATGACAAGATGAGAGTGACAGACAGAGAGAGAGAAGCAGTAATTCATCGTCCAGCTGTTCTGTCCAATCGGTTCGTACGGAGAGAAGAGGGAGAGAGATCAAAGGTCGGAAGTTGGCGGAGGGATCTCACAGGGCCGGTGACGTGTCGACAGCTCCTTATTCTACTCCGTGGAGTAAAGCTAACAGGACGCCACTTATTTATGCCCACATGATATCATCACTCTGCTGTTCTCTCTCCTCTTCGGATCCTCCTTCCCCTCCCCCCCTCTCTCTCTCTCCGCCTCTTTCTCCATCCTACTATTCTGTGCGCAATCGGCGGTGATCCGTAAGTTGGACCTGCGTGGAGGAAGAGCGGTGACAAGAGAAGGGAAGAAGACGCCTCGAAGAAGTGTGTTGTTCCTCTGGTTCCTCCTGTTTGATTGTTCAGCCGAGTGCCCATCCCGTTTGTCTCTCTCTCTTCTGGCCTTGCGGCTCCCCTCACACTGTTCTTATTTTCCGTATCTTCAGGTGGTATCAGTCTCGCAAATGGAGAGAGGGAGAGAGGGAGAGAGGGAGAGAGAGAGAGAGAGAGAGAGGAAGGGAGATCCGAAGAGGTTGGTGCCGAGAAAAAGACAAGCAGAGGTGATGATATCATGGTGGGCATCAAGATAAGTAAGGTCCTATTAGCTTTACAACCCGGAGTAGAAATAAGGAGCTTTTGACACGTCGTCTGGCTGAGTTGTTCACAACAGGAGGAGATGGCATACTTCATTTTTATTTTATGGATATAAAAATGCGGCATTTTTGGGGATATTAGGATTTGATGTGACGGCTACGGCGGGCTGTTCTCTCTTTCTCTTTGAAACATCAGAGATGGAGCGTCTGAGAAGTTCTGAACTCCGAGGAAACTTCTCTGATGGCAAAATAGATATCTGAAACTGGTAAGATCCGGCCCGCCCAAGCGAGGATTGGGCCACCCGGCGGCCCATGCCCGTCAAGGCCCAGTTGCCCTCCAAGGCATCTGATCTGGTCGCGCCGGCGGATTCCCAAAGGAGTCAACAATCTTCAGCTCGACAGTCAAAGTCATGTTAGATAAGATCAAGGAGTCGCCAGGACCTTTCTCCGGTTTTTTTCCTTTTCTCATTCGAAGAACCCCTTCTCCGATCATCATATAGCGTGGCCCCGTGTGAACTCGGGTTAACAGTGGGCACTTGCCCTCCAAGCATTGTGGGGTTCTCTCTCTCTCTCTCTCTCTCTCTCTCTCTCTCTCTCTCTCTCTCTCTCTCTCTCTCTCTCTCTCTCTGAGCATCGTGGAATTCCCGATTGATGGTTTCCGCCATTGAGATGGGCATCTGTGGGGAGGGTTTACTGGGGTTTCGCATCAGTCGTGTAGAAGTGGGTTATCTGATTGTGATTTTCATTGCTTATTTTTCTTGAAGAGGACCGATTATGCCGTCTGAGATATTCGTCTTTTCTCTTGTTTTCTGGAGTTTCTGGGCCTCTGCTTTTGCTGTGGCTTCCGCGCTTCAGCTAGTGCCGAGTTTCTGCGCATTCTGATGCGCGCTGGTTTTTGGAATTTTTTGATGAACAATCGAGCATCTTCTATACGCAGCTGTAAGATGCATGGAACCTCCGCTTTCTCTTCAGCAGCTCGACAACTGAAGCGTTCCATCGGATCTGCTGTGTTCTTGTTCTGTCCAGAGGAAATTCTCGAAAAGCCACAGGGCAGCTTGGGAAAGAGAGAAGAGGGCTGTGACGGGCCAGCGGGGCTCCGTGTCATTTGCTAGGGGCCTCGGCTGGGGCAACGGAGAGCTTCGGTGCTGGCGGCAACACGGCTGTGGCGATTACATCCGGGAAGGAGGCGATCAGCGGCTCTACTGCTTCTAACCCGCTCATTTTCAAGCGAGATTAGTATACCAGATTAGGAAGTCCGTACATATGATCTAATTATTTAATAGTTGTGTAAATAATCAATATCTAGACCCATAATAATAAGATGCAGGAGCATTTGATCTAGATATTTAAACACGTACTTTCATTTAAGCAAACCTGAAAACAGCAAGCATATAAAATGATCCTTGTTCATGCCATCCAACCGTTTGACTCTAAATATAAGTAAAGAAATGAGCTTTTTGCGCTGATTTGTTTCACCACAATTTCAAGAAAATTAATTGATATTTTGGGTTCTGAGAAATTGCTTTGAAATCAAAGTTGAGCCAAAATCAGAGATGCCAACGTTGAATCTCAAATACTAATTTTAATTATACAAATGCCAATTTTCTGCAAAACTAAATGTCAAATGTTATTTTTTATAAGAAAAAGCATTTCCAAAGAAGTCAACAACACGCAATGTTGCGAATCTCAAACTCATGACAAAAGTGAATACAAATCCCCTCACACCAGGATTCGACAAGTGATAACTGTACTTCTGGCCTCCTAAACCCGCATCGAGAGAAACAGAGGCTAAGGTTTGGATCCTACATGGGAAGAGTCTGGTCGTCCCTAACCCATGACATCGTGAAATAGGCGAAGATGAGAAGGAAGAGGATTAAAAGGAGGACGAAAGAAAAGACGGGAAGCTCTACGTAGGCACTCAGCATGAAGGCCACGACCAGGAACATGACACTGTTGAACGCCAGTTTCCGCCGCACCCGGGACATCGCGAGGCTTCGATGGAAGATGAGGGAGAAGAAGATGAAGGCCAACCCATTGATGAGGGCCAGGTGGAGGAAAATGGAGTGGATATGGAAGAGGAGGCCTTGAGGAGTCGGCCACGACGGCTGGTTCCTGATTAAGAAGGCAGAGATTGTGGACGCGAAGAATATCACGCCTTCGACGAAGTGACCGTCGTCAACCGCTGTCGTCGAAGCGCCCGAATCCGAGCGGGCAACGATGGGCTGGACGTCGCCGGCCGACATATCAATCACGGCAGCGTCGGCAGGTGGCGCCGCCGTAGACGGTCGTCTCTGCTCTGCGGTTGATGGTCGCCCGTCGTTGGAGCCAACTGCGGACTTGAAAGACAGGGGACACCAGAGCTGCGCCATCGTGGAGAAGGATCTCCAGAATTGCGAGAGGATTGTCACCATTGAATCTCTCCCTCTCCCGCTGCCTCCCGCTCGTTGGCACAATCCCTCTAGCTCGCGGAGAGACAAAGGCACATATGTACGAAACTCTTGAAGGGTTTTCGGTTTGTCACCGGGGCTCTTATAGGGATTTCGATGACCGAGGCCCGATTACAGGAAAGCCGAAATCCCCACCGGGGATACAGGGTGCCGAAATCCCCACCGGGGATACAGGGTGCCGAAATCCCCACCGGGGATACAGGGTTTCGGAAAGTCCAGCCTCCAGTGAGGGTGACCGGCCTCTGGGGATTTTGGCTTTCCTGTCACCGCGGCAACTGTGACACGAAACCCGCGGTCGCTGGGGTTCAGCCCCTATGAGGTGACCGGCCTGTGGGGATTTTGACTTTCCTGTCACCTTGGTTGCACAACAGCTATGGTGACTTTCCTGTAACCGGCCGGTCACCCTTATAGGAGCCCCGGTGACGAAACCCCGGTGACCGAAACCCCAGTGACCAGCCACAATAGTCGCGGTGACAGGAAAGCCGAAATCCAAGGTTGCCCGGGCTCGTGTGAAGGTGACTGGCGGCTTGTGGGGATTTTGGCTTTCCTCTTACCGGTGACAGGACAACCGGAATAGAGACTTTTAAACCTCATTCGTATTATCTATGGAGAAAAATATATCAACACAGAATATTGACACATGGGTTTCCTCCGCTGAATAAAGACGTATTTAAGCGTCTTCCTCGTCTCCAAATTTTAGTAAATCCATTCCACCTCAATGCTACGTTTTTTCCAATATTTCATTCTTGTTGCTATCATCTCCCTTATTTACATGAGTTCTTGGTCATCTCTAGTTCATCTCTACATCATTGTGCTCTTCCCCCCTCTTTCGTAAGTATTTATCCCTTAGCTTTCAATCCCCGCCATTTGAATTAATTTTTGTAGCTCGTCTAAAGTATGAAAGATTTGAGTCATGTCACGGAGAAAAACTTCAACATAATTAAAAAAATCACTCTTTAAATGACCTAAGAAAATCTCTCTATATTTTTTTTATTGTTTGGTATTTATCATAGTTTGGACTTCATTTTTCATATCTCAAACTTCATTTTAGTGATCTTAGATTTTATCTGAGTAATTTCTTTCTCTATAATATCTAAATTGTTGTTGTGGGATTGAGGTGCTGATCCCTAGATGACTAGATAAATTAAGATGAGTGTTGAATTGATTTTTATTTATTATTTAATTGATTATAATAATTTGTATAATATTTTATATTTTAATTATATTTCTATATCAATACATAAATATAAAATAAACTAAAAATAAATTGCACATACACTAGATTTTAGAGTGAATAGGCCAAATTCCTTTGGTCTACATCTATCTTAGAAGACTTCACTTCAATACTACTATTTCACCACTAAAATACAACTAATTTATAGCCTCAATTCCCATGACACCATAGACTACTCAAGTTTATATCCTATATTAGAAGATGAACTTCTAACAACCTTTACTTAGACATGAGCATATCACAGGCCTCACTAAATGTTAAGCACATCACAAGTATTGAGAAAGACTCAAAACTCACCAATAAAATAAAACTAATTGATCAAGCACACCACAAGTACTCATTGACTAACCAGGTGCATCATATGCACTTGATGCTTGTGATAGCCATCACATATACCACAAGTGTGGGCCTTCCACTCAAGCACACCACATGCAAGATGAGTATCTTAAAACACTATAGATTAAAATACAAGTAATGAATAGTCTATAACAAATACATTGCATCATTTCAATCTCATTTTCGTGCACCGAGAGTTGACCAATGCATTGAGAGGTATTGGTAGAAAGGATAGAGTAATGTCCATAATTCCCTTGAAATGATCAAAATTTACTCTTGATCCTTGGAAATTCGAGAAGAGTTGACAAAGAGAAACATTTGTTGAAGTAGTTATCTTTTGAAATTCATTTTTTTCTCCCTTGTCCTAACTTGGGCAAAATGCTCCTTTTATGGGGTAGGCTAGACCCTCCTATTTTGGACCTTATTGGTTTAAACAATCAAGTCAAACCATAAAAAATATATTTTTTTTTTGTAAAGAATAAAAATATATAATTTTATCAACATTTTGAATTTTTCTAAATGAGTTTTAGGCCTGTGCTTCTCTTTTGATTATCTTTTCGTTGACTATCTTCTCTTAGGCTATGTATATATGATACATTGTCTAAGATAAAAATTATCTTAGTAGGGAAGGTCAATTTTTTAAACTATTTTGCCTTGACACAAACATATTAAATCAATAATCTTGTAAAATCAGTAACAAACCAATGCCTTGATCACTTTCTCTAAAACTATTTTCATTTCAATCCTCATTTAGATACTTTTATATTGATTTTTGATATGCCCATATTATTGAAGTCATTTGATACATAAAATCTAAATATTAAAGCTTATACATAATAAGATGATAACATATTTGATGCATACAAATATTTTATTGTTTTCACTCATACATTATAATGGTTATATCCCTAATGAGAATTTTAAATATAGTGAGATATTTCTTAAGATCTAGAGCTTATTTTTTTGTTGAAATAATCTATAATCTCATATAATAAATCAATATATAATTATATTTACATCACATATTATCAATGCCATGATTTATAATTAATTATCAAAATCATAATGAGTTAATCCATAGCTCAACATTGTGTGGCATAAAACTTATGACTTGTAGAATGTAGGTCTTTTCAATGCTTTGAATTATGGAGGATTCTAGTTATGACATCATTCACGTTCTTCATGTTCTCCTTAATGTTTGGTGATCATCATAACTTGTACTTCATTTTCTATCTCGAACTTTATTTTAGACACCTTGGATGTCTCAATCATTTATTTCTCCAAAATATCTAATATGCCATCATGGGACTTAGACACCATCAAACCTAGAATGTGTGGAATGTGGGGCCTTCTTCAGATACTATGATACTAGTTGATATGAGCAAAAAATAAAAAAATACAAAAAATAATATTTGAAAAATATAAATAGAAAAATATAAATAAAGAATATTAGGCCTTGACATAAACACTAATATGGTTTGCAGTGACTTTTAAAGAGAGGGCCACCTTTCTCCCCTACAAACTGTAGACTGCCTTAAATCTTCTCTTCTCTTCACTTCTTTTGTTATGTTCTAATAAGAATATCGTTTATAATATCTAGACTAATTTTTATAGGACATCCAAATTGAAGAAAACTTCAGCCACGCTGCGAAATCCAAAGCGTCGGTTGAAAGAAAAACTAAGTCCCACTAAAAGACAGAATGTGAGAGAGACGGGATTATCTGCACGTGCTAAAATATTGGATTTTAGAGGGTTTTTCGAGCGTAGTATCATCCAGCATCAGCCGGTTCTCTGCACGTGCTAAAATATTGGATTTTCTAACGTTCCTGTCGTCTTGAAAGTGACAACAATCAAAGTCTATAGCAAAGCCACGTAGATAACTGGCCACCTCGCCGGAGTTATCTGTGGCACCGACCGATGTCGCTGCACTGACGTGGAAATCTCGCCAGGAGACGACAAGTAGCCGCCCAGGTGAGAGAGATTGAGAGGGAGCACCCCGTAATCGGCGTTTGCGTAAACCCTCAGCCAGGTGTTTATCCAATCGCTTCGTACGGGGAGAGAGATCGCCCGGAAAGGTCGGAACTTGCCAGAGGGGGGGATCTCACGGGGAGGAGATGTGTCGAAAGCTCCTGGTTCCTAACAGGACGTTATCTTTCTTGATGCTCACCTCGTCACCTCTGCTGTTCTCTCTCTCCACACCAACCTCTTCGGAACGCCCTTTCCCTCCCCTCTTTCTGCCTGTCCTCTCTCTCTCTCTCTCTCTCCACCTCCAACCCATCTGTGCGCAATCGGCCGGTGACTCGTAAGTTGCACCTGCGTCGACGAAGAGCAGTGAAAAGAGAAGGGAAGGAGACGCCTCGAAGAAGTGTGTTGTTCCTCCTCTGGTTCCTTCTGTTTGATTGTTCTGCCGAGTGCCCATCTCGTTATTCTCTCTCTCTCTCCTGGGCATGCGGTCCCCCTCAGACTGTTCTTATTTTCCGTATCTTCAGGTGGAATCAGTCGCGCAAAATGGACGCGGTACGTACTCTTCCATCGATCTTCAATGGAATCCAAAACATGTATTCAAAATGCCTGACAGAGCGGCGAATCCGACAGGGCACTGGCGGCGCGGCGGCGGGGAACGGGGTGGTGGGAATTCTCGCCGAGACCTGCAACATCTGGGAGCGGAGGGCGCCGCTGGCGCCTTCCCATTGCGCGCGGCTCCTCCTCGACCGTTGCGGCGGTGTCAAGCGGATCGTCGTCCAACCCAGCACGAAGCGCATCCACCGCGACGCCAAGTACGCGGAGGTGGGCTGCGAGCTCTCCGACGATCTCTCCTCCTGCGGCCTCATTCTGGGGATCAAGCAGCCGAAGGTGACCAGAAACAGATCCCTCTGACCTTCCTGTTCCCTTCCTCGTCCCCGAGCTCGGTCAGAAAGAGGGGCTGAGGACGCTGCTTGTTCTGCGCAGCTGGAGACGATCCTTCCCGACAGAGCTTACGCTTTCTTCTCTCACACCCACAAGGCGCAGACTGAGAACATGCCCTTGCTGGACAAGGTCAGCCACCCAACCATCCTCCCTTTCGTCTTCTCCTCTGCGGTAGTCTCATAAAAAAAGTCAGCTCTTGACCTGAGAAGGCTTGTCAGAATACTCGCGCGTTGAAAGAAGCAGCTTACATGGGTTGAGCTGTGTACTTCAACGTGCAGATCCTGGCCGAGAGAGTAACGCTGTACGACTACGAGCTGATCGTTGGCGACAACGGGAAGAGGGTGCTTGCCTTTGGGAAGTTCGCCGGCCGAGCCGGGCTGATAGACTTCCTCCATGGGCTCGGTAAACGTATGGATTTCAGCTTCTCGCTTGCTCCTCTGTGAATTATATACCAGTTCCTTCATGACAAAACCTATTTTTCTCAATAGCCCATCTTCCAGTCCACATGTAGCGTTAATCACGCTAGTTTTTGGTCATTATCATTTGGGTTTCTGATTTTTTTATCAGTGTTCTTCAGAGCTGACACTGTTGTGAATTGGCTGTGGCATTTTGACCTTGAACAATATTATTTCTCCTGTCTTTTTCAGGGTATCTGAATCTTGGGTATTCCACACCTTTTCTATCCCTGGGATCGTCACACATGTACCCCTCCCTCGCCGCTGCAAAGGCTGCAGTGATCTCTGTGGGTGAAGAGATAGCCACGACGGGGCTGCCCCCTGGGATCTGCCCCATAGTCTTCGTATTCACCGGCACAGGGAATGGTAGGATGATCGAAGAGTTCTCAGTCCATCAGTGAGAAATATATTCTTGATGCAGGCCAGAAAAAAAATAAAATACTGTATATTAATTAGTTAGGGTAATGCAGAATTTGCTATCTCACCAAGAATATCTGAATATGATGTCAAAAATCGAAGCTCTATCACACTAGTCAGCTGGTCTTCTCTAACTTATTTGTTTCATGAATAATGCTCTTCCTGAAATCTCTGTGTTCCTGTTATTTGTAGTTTCTCAGGGTGCCCAAGAGATATTCAAGCTCTTACCCCATAAATTCGTGGATCCTCGTAAGCTCCCTGAACTTGCTGACATGGTAATTCTCTATGTTTGGCCATCGAGAGATTCATTTCTGAGCAGACCCGAATGCTTTTCCGCCGCAAGGAAATAACTGTTTTATTGAATAAGCTGAAAAACCAAAGTTTTCTTGAGCAGGCGCGAGATCAGGCTCAACGTGGGCGCCTGTCAAAGAGTGTTTTTCAGGTTTATGGCTGCACTGTGACTTGCCAACACATGGTTGCACCCAAGGACCCTCAAAAACGTTTCGACAAGGTATTTGAGCAATCTAACTCTAAAGGGTTGTTTATTTACCTGAAATTTCTTAGTGATACCCGAACATAATTCTTGCCCTTTAAATTCAGTTCTTGTGGTCTTATAAATCATATTTGTGATCTGAGTTATTTTACCAGAGCTTCAGTTCTGTAATGAGCGTATGATTTATTTTTTTAAGAAATCCTAGGATATATAAGGCAGCATTTATTTTCCACATAGACTTACCATTTATGAAGAAACATAACTGGCTACCCCATTTAGTTAGAGTTTTTTCAAATTTATTCTTGAGGTTTACACATGCAAGACAGGTCAGATTATGGATTAGTCTAGGCATCTTCCATGCGGTAGTTATCTTAAATGAATATTTTTCATCAGAGTCTTGATTCTGTCCGTGCTCTATTGGAGAAGCACAAAGAAACATAGCTTTCTTCTGGAGCTCTTCATCTCGTTTTTTGGAAACCATGTGTTGCCTTGCCTTAAACTGCATGATTAAAGATAATAGTGTATTATCCGCTATGAAATTATGGAAGCTAATGGTGTATATTTTCCTTGGATATGGTTTATCATGGCTGTCATTATTCCCAATGAAGCTGCTTTCCTCGCTGCCCACCAACAGTTTTATTAATCTCTTATCAAAGTTTTGTCTATAGATTATCTAGCCAAACAATCCCTGATCCACCATAGTTAGACTTGTGTACTAAAGAGCTTATGTGTAAATGTTGCAGGACGAATATTATGCACACCCAAAGCGTTATGAGCCAATTTTTCATAAGACAATAGCACCATATGCATCTGTCATTGGTAAGCAGTAACATAATTATTAGTTTCTTTTGACAAATTTTCTGACGTACTTATCATTGTTGGATGTTTAATGACTTACAGACTACAACCAAACTAGTAGAAAAATCATAATTAGAACCTTAGGATTTAGTCTATATCTGGCTTTTAATTTTTTCTGAGTAAAATTATATGAATGAGAAAACAACGTACCCTATGTCACTAAAATCATAAAATATGTTTCTTCTATGCATTTAGTCTACAATTATCCCTTGGTTGTTTTGAACGACTAAAAAATCTAGATTTTTTTGGAAACTGTATTATACAGTCCTTGATTCTCTTTTCATGATCTCAGTGTCAGGATATAGTGATTAGAATGAAAAATTTTGGTCTTTGGCAGTTAATTGCATGTACTGGGAGAAAAGGTTTCCTCAATTGCTCACCAACAAGCAGCTGCATGAACTTGCAAGCAAAAAGTGCCCCCTTGTTGGCATCTCGGACATAACCTGCGATATTGGGGGTTCAATGGAGTTTGTTAACCAAACAACTTCCATAGAAAAGCCTTTCTTCAGGTTTGACTTCATCACTTAGTTCATGGCATGGCCGAGAAAATTTTCTGTTCTATTCTTTTAGGGAAGAGATGCAAATTAACGAACATGAGATGATATGAATGTTAAAAGAGAAGCATGAACTGCTGCTAATTGCTACATAGCCCGAACCATCAATCAAAAATTATCCATGGGGTGAGCCAAGATATTTTGGTGCCATCGAATTATCTGACCTCGGATGAAAAAAATATGCTTCTTTTATTAATAAAACTATGGAATTATGACGGTGACGGGATTTTGGACTCTAGTGCATTTAGAAACTTTGTAAAAATGACACCCTTACTTTGAACTGTGGAAGCGTAATGGTGGTCCGAGTCAAATTACCACGCGCATCACCATATGCACAATACAATGATAAATGCAAGAGAAAGTAGCAAGTCTATGAGAAAAAAAAATATGCATTACAGCAAAATAGATCTACCCAGGTTAGAAAACATAAATGCTAAGAAAGGGAAAAAGGACGATATTGATTTTACCAGAGCTGGAGAGTCTAAACTTTTCGTGTGATTGCAATGTGCTGTTCATGTATACTTCTACCCCTCCTCATCTGCACGAAGTAGGAGTGAATTATCCACACTGGGTCACTGGCTCAATAGGGGGATCATCTATCACAGCAACGAAGTATATTGAATTCCATGCATACTGTACCTAGCAGGTTCCTCTGTATCATATTTATTCACGCACTCATTCTCCTTTTTGCCTTGTGATTCATAATTCGCTCTGACAGCATGAAACGCATTTAACATAAGGGTCGTGGACGCTCATACAGGAGTTTCGGGTCCACATCCTCAATGCTCACTACAACGTCACTTTCTTCTCCACTTGCCAAAAGTAAAGAACATAGTGGAAGCTGTAAACATCAATATTTTCTTCTTTATACTGTGGGGATACTGACGTTTAAGCTGTTAGTTAAACCGAATATGATGGGACATCCTGAATGTTTCTGTTAATTTTTATAAAGCTTGGCTCAAGAAATTTGTTCATACGAATAACCATGCGTAGTAAATTTGATACGTGACCATTTCTTAGCCATATCTCTTGTTCTCCTAGGTTTATCAAACCATATTTCTTAGATATTGTTACTTCAATACTAAGTGGATAATTTTATTTTTATGCATTTATGTTATTGATGGAGCTTCTGCTATTTAAATCCATGGGCTATTAGTATGGATTTAAGGAAATGTAAATGGTTATTTACTGTATAGGGTTATTTATTTATTTTATTTTTAATGTCAACTCTGCTCCAGATATAACGCCATAACAAACTCTTACCATGAAGATATGGCTGGCGAAGGTGTGATATGTCTGGCTGTTGATATTCTTCCTACTGAATTTCCAAGGGAGGTATGCTTCAATTTTATCAATAAAACTGCTCGTGAAGATTGCAACATTTTCATTTTTTATTTTTTTAGATTAACTATTTTTGACTACTGAACTTAATTTTTAAATCCGGATCCTTCTAGGCTTCCAAACATTTTGGGGATATCTTGTCCGAATTTGTTGGCTATTTAGCCACAGCAAGAGACTTATCAGATTTGCCCTCCTCTTTGAGAAGAGCTTGCATTTCTTATGAAGGAAAACTGACTCAGTTGTATGAATATATACCGAGGATGAGAACTCCAGTGTAAGCTTTTGAATCTTGTCTATAATTTATATTTTAATATTTTTGAGAAATTTTCCTCCTGCACATCCTCCCCACACATAACCGAGCATATGGCTGTTGTCAACAGATCCAACAGTCAATAGAAATGACTGGATCTCAAATTCAATATCCCTATAGATTTTAATAAATGGATTACCTTTTTCTGATGAACTGCATCTGAGTAGTCACATCTAATTTAGTAATAGATTTGGTTAAAGTAGCTGATTTTTGTGACGACTTGGCTCTTTTGCAGTGTTGCTTTACCGAAACATTCAAATGGGATACCTGAAAGAAAGAATTATACTACAATGGTGAGCTATTCCTTATTTTGACACCTGTTTCATCTTCTTCTTCTTCTTCTTCTTCTTCTTCTTCTTCTTATTATTATTATTATTATTATTATTATTATTATTATTATTATTATTATTATTATTATTATTCGTCTTCTCCATGGATGACTCCTAAGAATTACACAGAGGAGCCAAGATTTACAGTTCCCATGCCGCCTGATGTTTTCTTAAGTGGCTCATTTTATGTCTGATTGGTTGCAATTGGCCCTCTTGATGCATTATCATATTCCAACTTGACAGGTTTCTCTCAGTGGTCATTTGTTTGATCAGTTTTTAATAAATGAGGCTCTGGATATCATTGAAGCCGCAAGTGGGTCTTTCCGGTTGATCAACTGTGAAGTTGGTCAAAGTACCAATGATGTGTCATACTCGGAGCTGGAAGTAAGTTGATTTTACAAAGTCAAAACTAGTTCCATGGAGTAATACATATGCATGTTTTCCTTCTAATTGTGAGATTAAGTTGGGTTTCCACGAATCTTACACTGCTCTCTCAAGATCCCATTTTCTTTTTGCAAGCTGTAAATGATTGAAGGTTCCCTTTTTCTTGGAAATTTGTGTGATATGTTGGGTATGTTTCCATAGCTTTCGGCATGAGTATCCATCCATCGTGCTTCTACTTGCATATTAACAGATCCCTTCTTTAAGGAGAACTCCCTGCTTCTCCACATGGTCCAGCATCGATTGCTTGCAGATACATTTTTAATATAATGAAACAGATGCAAAGAAGATTCATAATATTTTGTGCACACAGTGAAATGATTTTCTTGTAGAATCAAGCCAAATGACAGCTACAATTGGGCAGCCTACCGTGAAAGATTACATGTATAGTTGACCCCCTCAGGAGCTGGTGGTGAACAAGTAACCAAATTGAGCACAAAGATGACGATCAAGTCGTCGTAACCATCGCCATCGCCATCGTCATCGTCAACAGAAGCAGCGACGGCGGCGGTGGCAGCAGCAGCAGCAACAACAGAGAAACCTCATGTTATTCAGGCCGATCAAGTCGAGATTTACACTGATGGTCGACTAGAAGAGGAGAGTACAACTGATGAAGATTTTCGACCACTGAGTGTCGCGAATTCGGCCAAGGATCAGTTCTGGGATGAAGAAATTTTGAAAATTTGGAAAATTGGTTGGGTCACCTGCTGATCCAGTGAAGAAATCACCAAGATCTTTCTAATAAAAATAAAAAGAAAATCGAGTTAAGTCTCTGCTTCTTAGCATCCCGAAAGCTGGTTGAGGAACCAGATTCTTGGAGGCCCGCAACAGTTCTTGAGAACGGGTTTGTAAGCATGTTGAGGTCAGACAAGGGAAAGGAATCTTGGGGGAGAGAAATAAAATCAAATGAAGATCTTGTCAATGAATATCAGTTGATTCAATGTAGACTTACTAAGATGCAAGATGTGGATGAACACCTTCTCGAGTATAAGGGAAGAAACACTGACAATGGAAACATCACTTGCAGAAGGGCATAATGGGGATCATATTGGGCATACAGTATCAGATTGATATTTATTGTTGGTAGAAACTCCCTTCGTTTTCTATATAATCTCTATTTTGAACTAGGCCCAAAAACATTTGGCCTTGAGATATACACTTGCATATCATGAATAGGCATAAAAACATGGTTTTTTTATTTTAGAAAAAACATTGCATAAGAGTTTCATTCGTGATCTTTACTGTGTAATTGAGAATCAGATGTAGCATACATTCATCTGATCACTGTACACCTTATTTATTAGACCCTATGCTACAGTACTCCGCATTTCCTGGTGCTATTTTTTCTAAGGTGTTGCTGAAGTCTCTAGCTACCATGCTACTAAATATAAATTCCGCATAAAAACATCACATCTTATAGAACTGATCTGTTTGATAATGCACGCTCTTCACACCAAGCTAGATTATTTAATTATTTTTTTTGCACGTTTTAATATTTTTATTTAAATTATTGGCTCATATAGGTTGGAGCTAGTGATGCTCGCACTTTGGATCAAATTGTGGACTCCTTGTCTTCTATTGCATCTCGAAAAAGTCTGATTTTTAATAAAGAAAAGAACTTCGAAGGAAAGATGTCTGCAGGTGTGGTTGAAACTGGGAAAGACTTGTCAAGGAATCCGAAAGTCCTAATTCTCGGTGCTGGCCGCGTTTGCCAACCAGCTGCAGTGTTTTTAGCATCAGTTGGGAGAATGTTCTCTGGTCATATGTTCAGAACATGGCAGCAAGTCGATGAAGAGGAACTTGAAGATGTTCAAGTTATTGTTGCCTCTCTTTACCTTAAAGATGCTGAAGAGGTGAGGTCCGGGAGGTTATCAGTGACTAGTTTTGTTTCCTCTCAAATGTCGTTGCATAAATTAGAATTGGGTAATATTCACTTCTTTTCGAATGTTTTTACAGGATAGAGATTGTAGCTGTATATCCTTGCCATGCACTTGGGTTAATTAGTTTACAGTCACATACCAACCACATGCTTTCAGCCATGTCGGATGCCAATTATGTTGCCCATCAATACCTAAATATAAGTTATAGGATGCCATGAACCACTGAATCTTTGAATGCTAGTTGTGCTTGAGGCCGTCCAATCAAGGGCATGCCTGCCTGGGCATCGCTCTTCCAGTCGTTTTGCACCCCCAGCCCCTAGGGAAAGGCGGTGTGTGCAGGAGGGCTGGTGCACGGAGGAGGCATGTCATATTGAATTATTTAAATACTGAAAATGTGCATAGTTTTACTTTGCTGTTGTGACTGATTTGAATATACACGTGAAGTGCATAGTTCTCTGGTCATATGTTCAGAACATGGCATTTCAGTCCCAAGTACGTATCTTCAGTGAATTTGATTGTGTATGTGTGCCATTTCATCTATTTTACGCATAAAAATTACTTTGAAAAGGGCATTACTTTAGCTAGGAGGCTCTTGTACGATGCTTCAGTTTTTCTTTTAGCTTTGGAAGCACTCACTCACCTAGAATTATGCATGAATTCATGAGAAAATATTAATATCTATGAGTAGATGACATTATTTTTACACTTATTTTGATATAGTAGAATTTAAGAATTATGCTTTCTATGCAGATAATTGATGGTATTCCAAACGCAATAGCAGTTCAGCTTGATGTAATGGACGAAAAGAACCTTTCACGATTCGTTTCAGATGTAGGTGTCTCTCTTTATTTCCTATCCGGATTGATCTTCAGTATTGATAATAATGTTGCTTAAGATGGTTTCTATTTTCACTTCTAAAGAGGCCGTCATGCCAATTTAGCCAATAATTTGAAGGTGTAGGAAAGGTATAATCGGTACGTTGCATAGTAAGTGCGCGAGGATTCTAGTTTTTACCCTTACATTCTAGAGCCACTCTTCTAAGTTTCTAACCCACCCTTCAATTATCAAGTACCATCAATCACTCCATTGTTAACTCGTGCCACCTTTGATTATCTGTCTTCACCATGCTATTGATTTTGGAGGGTCTTAAGTGTAACATTGATGAGGATCTAGGTTAAAGGAACCCCTTCGATTATTAGGAAAATGGATCAAAATTTCATTTTTGATCAGCAGTACAAAAGCTTGTTAATTATGGTGTATAATTATTTGTGAACCTATATTCCTTTCACATCTTTTCTTTCTATATTAGCTTTGTTTTAAAAAGATTTCTTTTTCATTTTCATGGATTTTCTTTCTCATGGGCGTATATACTATCTATGACCTGTCAAATCGATCCTTATCCTTTTTACAGTGCTTCTTCTTCAGTGACTTCAGCTACGGGATATCATTGTTTTATTTCTTAAATGCAATATCTTTTGTTAATTTTGACTCTGTTGGATCTTTGTGAATTAAGATTTTGTCTCTTGTAGGTTGATGTGGTTATTAGTTTACTGCCAGCTAACTTCCATCTTGCCATTGCAAATAAATGTATTGAGGTATGTATTTTTGGACTCTGAGATCGCATTATTTTGGATACTATGTTGTAAAAATGCACATGTATACATTGTTATGTTATACTAAAAATGTTCTGTTTTATATGGTGGTACCCTGCAATTATGATTAAATATTTTCTTAAGTGCATGAATGTTTAACTCACTTGAGATAGCGTTTTACCGAGTGATCACTATCATTCATACTGAACTTTCTATTCTTCTCTCAAAACATTAGATAAATATATGAATATTTTTGTACAGTATTTTTCTATGTTTGGAGTCAATAAAGCTATTATGAACTTCGCTAAATTTTATCGATAAGAACCTATAAAATTTTGTAGCATATTGTTTTAGTGTTTCAATGCTAACTCCATTTAAAACTGTGTTAATAATTAGTCATTGCTATAATTGATTTCCTATCTCGTCAGCAAAGGGAGGAAAGAAAGGGTGGTAGACGATAATGTGAAAGGGCTAGCGACTGGGTAGGTGGGTGGAATGGATAAACAAAATGTGCCATAATACATAGCCTAATCTAAAACAACTAGATGCACATCTGGGGAACGAGTGATGATGAAGAGTGAAGTTACTGTGAAAAAAAAGTCTTGGTTTAGTAACCAGAAATAGAAAAGCTTTAACGGTATTAATTTATCTGTCACATCCAAAAATATATGACTGATATACCAGAGACGTTCATCGCTGCATGCCTTTCCTGCAGACAAGTCAATGGGGGAGTTGTCTCGAAGATTTATGCACCACATTGTCTTCTTCAGTTATTATAGTAGCAACAATGGCTTATAATCGGACTCTGACACTTGGTGTGTGTTTCATTCTATCTTGAATTGCATGGTATCATGATCCGAAGTTTGGCATGCGTGACAAAGGTCGTGGTGTCCACCTGATCCATGTAGAAATGGTCCTATCACACTCCGAGAGACGAATAAAAACTGCAAATGTTTAATTATGTACCTACGAAGAGCATGTTATTCACGACATGTGGAACCCAATGATTTTGCCTCTAACTGACGTGTTGGGACTGTAGTTTTATTTTTACTAGAGTGCCCTCAACGGATACCCAAAAAAATCTCAAACCAAGGTTAAGTCGTAAAAGAAAATTTCACTCACGAGATAGTAAACAAAAAGTTAGTAACAGTTTGCACATTGATTCGAAGCATGCACTTGTTCTGTTAACGTTATCTGTTTCATAAATAATTTTCTGATTTTATTTTTTCTCATGGTGGAAATATTATGAATGCAGCACAAGAAGCATCTTGTCACTGCTAGCTATGTTGATGATTCTATGTCAAGATTAGATGCAAAAGCTAAAAGCGTTGGTATAACAATCTTGTGTGAAATGGGCTTGGATCCTGGCATAGGTACTTTTACGGGCCAGATATTTGCATTATATTCTCGATTTTTTAGACACTATGTGATGTTGAAATGAAATGCAGGTTCAAGCTGTTACTCTGCATGTATGCCGTTTTTGGTCATTAGAAAATGTATTCGAAGTGAAAATGTTCTCAACACCATAAAAGCCACATGAAACTGTTTTATTCATTGTTCACGTGTGGATAGAATTTCCCATTGTGCATTAATTAAATGTATAAGATAATTAAATGTTTTAGAATATTTTTAATTTTCACTCTTTTCATTCCTACGTAAACCACTCTATATATAGGAGTTAAATTTTGGGTAGATGGAAATGATTAACGTTGAAGAGAACCTGCTTCTGGTCTGGATTTAACTGCCTTTTTATAAAGCTTCTGCTGCTCCATGTAGATGATCTATGAAAGGATTTTCATGCTCAATTTCACTACAGGTCTCCCCTCTGATGTTGGAATTATTTGTTCACTGTTTGGTACTGTATGACCAAAAAGATTGTAGCAAATGCATCACAAACCTTACCCGATCAAACCATCTCACACCTTTGTTATGCAGATCACATGATGGCAATGAAGACGATTGATCAAGCCCATGCTAGAAAAGGAAAAGTTACGAAATTTACTTCCTACTGCGGTGGGCTTCCATCTCCAGAAGCCGCAGACAACCCATTGGCCTACAAGTTCAGGTATTTATAATCTTAACCAAGTTCAGTTTATATGCTCACAGGATCTTGATTGTATCCACTTTCGCCTACCTTGTGAATGTTACATTAAGAAACGATATGTGCCGTGAAAGTAAAGCCTGGTGATTTGGTTTTCCTTGGCTCTATTTCTATCCATTGTAATGATACTGGGCCTCAAGGAAAATGGCTCCTAGATTCTTTCTAAATTTCTTGTTGTGTTGATTAGAGAACAAAGGTTGAAATAAAATTTCTTATTCCTAAAAATTACTGCATATCTGTCTTTAGGGAGGTTTATTAACAATTATGAGCGTGCTATCACTTCTGTTTTTAGGGAAATCATAGACCAAATTTCATTTTATAAAATTAGTATAGAGGCCCCATTAAAAGGGGTCTTTAAAATTGTGTTAAAGAGCTGTGAACCCCTGAAATTCAAAATATATGAATGTGTTATAAATTTATAAAAATAACCACACAAGGATATAGTTGACATGTTGGAAAAATTTGTAAATCGGATCGTTTTTGGGAAGATAAAAATACCGGATATTCTCAACTAAATGCCCATAATCTTCACTATTATATTGATTATTAAAGTCTAGAATGATGTCTGTACAGGGAATACAACACAAGCTGGAAAATACCATTGAATCTCCAGTATTATTTTTAAAAGGAAAAAGTTGAAACACAGGAAACCAATCATTTATAAATTAAATGGAAAAATAATTATACCAGAAACTCAAATGAGTATGGTAACCAGTATGTGATAGCAAGATAGAAAAACAATAAGACAACTTTAACACACGAATGACAGCATTATTTATCATGCACACTTTCATGGCAATGAACCATCCAGAAAACTCTAATGCACGCTAGTAACCCCAACATGTATATTTCTGAAACTATACCAGTAATGTCATGAGTAATGGTCCTCTCTTGAGTTTACATATTTGGGTCGTTTCTAAATGACTCATAAGAGGAATTTATGTACTGGTGCTTACTATAGTTTTTGGATTTGGGTCGTTTATAAATGAGTCAGGCATGTATCTCTGAATGAAAATATTTTCTTATGATTTCAGCTGGAACCCAGCAGGCACAATTAGAGCAGGACGCAATTCTGCTACCTACAAGTGCCTTGGTGAAACTATACAAGTGAATGGTAAGTATTCAAGCTTCATCAAGTGAATAATGTAACAGGAAACAAAGTAGTTTCCACAATGAGAATTTTATGTCACTTGTTCTTCATAGTATGATAAAACCCAAAACCCTCTCTTCTTTCCAACTTCAGCTTAGGTTATTTTCTTAACTTACAGAGAGGGAGAACCCTCTTTGTAAAAGTATATCAGCCCAGAGTGAGAATAAGTGGGCTCCATTATTTCTCTTATACTGTGATCTCTCAAAGGGTTCTAAAGCTTAAAGTAAATTTGGCTCAATTAGATTAATTAATTGCCAGTATTTACTTTATTTTCTCAATGCACTGGATCCTTGTCTGTCATGATAAGACTGGCTTGAGGATTATTGAGACATTAACTGTTGAAAAAATAATTGTATAGATCATTTTTCAATTAAAAATTTACTCTATTACTTTGGAAAATTAAAATTTCAAATCTGCAGTACACCTAATTTTACCATGAATTTCCTTTATTTTTTTATTTAAAGTTCCATAAATTAAAAATTAATGGCACAAGGTATTAATTTTGCAGGGGATGAACTTTATGACTCAGCGGTCAGATTCCGGGTACCTGATCTCCCTGCATTTGCTTTGGAGCATCTCCCTAATCGCAATTCCTTAGCTTATGGGGATCTGTATGGAATTGGGGATGAAGCATCAACAGTCTTCAGAGCAACTCTCCGCTATGAAGGCATGAAAATGACTAGCTACCATTATTTTTTTTTCATTCGTTATTTCCTTTTTATGTATCTCCTGTTCTTATTATCTCTCTGGACTCATCTAGGATTCAGTGAAATCATGGGAACCCTTGCAAAGATAGGCTTCTTCAACTCTGAAGCTCATCCTATGCTGAAGGAAAGCTGTCGCCCAACATTCCGCGCCTTTCTGAGTGAGCTTCTGAAGGCCGATAGCAACGAGGAATTGCCTGTGAGAGACGAGGAAATGGCTGGGAGAATCATTTCCCTTGGGCACTGCACAGAAACAGTGACGGCTATGAAGGCAGTACAAACCATCAAGTATGAGATTCCTCCTCTTTTGAAAGCTGCATCCAGAGGATATCACCAAAAAAAAAATCATATTAATTTCTCTGAATTACTGTTCTCCCCGTCTCCAGAAATGGAAAGGAGTCCCTCTCTCACCTTTAAGAATTGACAAACGTGGCTTAACCCTTTTCCATCAAAATCCATGGATCAGGTTCTTAGGGCTTCATGAAGATGAGGAAATCCCATTGCCATGCCAGAGCGCCTTCGACATATCATGCTGGCGCATGGAGGGGAGATTAGCCTACTCTAGCACAGAAAAGGTTGAAAATATTAAAGCAGTCATTTTTATTTATCCATATTATCTATGCTTGCTTGAGATCATGGCTGATCGGCGTTGGGTGTCACTAACAGGACATGGTCCTCCTCCATCATGAAGTGGAGCTGGAGCTTCCTGACGGCCAGCGAACAGAGAGCCATCGGGCCACTCTGCTTGAGTTTGGCAGGACCAAAGATGGGAAGATGACCTCTGCCATGGCCATTACAGTTGGCATCCCAATGGCCATCGGTGCTCTGGTACGAGCCAGCCCTTCTCCATGGGCCTCTTACAATTTCCTACTGCCGATTATATTGCCCAAGTGTAATCTACCTCCCGCTTTGATCTTCCCTTCAGCTCCTGCTCAAGAACAGAGTCAAGACCACTGGCATCTTAAGGCCCCTGGTGCCCGAAGTTTATATCCCTGGTAAGTATTCAGCAAGTTTAGGCGTGGTAGCATGGACCATATTGATTTATATGTATATATATAATCCTATTTATTTATTTATTATTTATATTCTGATTGGACTACTTATTTTGCAATTATCTACTGCATCCTCAGCACTAGAAATCTTGGAAGCCTGCGGGGTCAAACTGATGGAGAAAGTCGACATCTTGTGCTGAGTCCAACTGGGGAAGGGGATGTCCAGGAAGAGAGGAGAATAAAAATAAAATCCCCAAGAAAGAAGGAAAGACTCATTCCTTCGTATATTTGTTACAAAAAGCTTGTATAGTTGAGTGATAAGTCAAAGTTTGTATGTAAATATTTGATTAAGCTCCGAGCATATAATAATTCATTTCCATGTACTAGAGGTTTTTTTGATCAGGAGTTGACTTTGGCTACGACTGGAGGTGGAATTCTAGAGGGAGAAAAAGGAAAAGAAAGTCAACTCCCCTCAAAGAGGGGAAGGCTAGCGATATCTGTTATGAAAACCTTGTACAGTAGTTAAACTCACAATTTGTCCATGGTTTATTGTACAATCCCATAATTATTAAATGCTTTATTTTTTTCTATTTATTGTCCAATTACGAAAAAAAGGTAAAAACGATCATATCCTGTTCTCTTTTAGGGCGAGTTCACCTGTCTCGATGAACAGGTTTGACAGAATAATTTTTCGTTAGTTTCATACCCAGTTCGCAAAAATAATAAAATCTATTTACTTCAAGCGGTAGCCCATTTAAATTTATCGTATGCAACAGCTTACTTTTTCTAAAAAATAAAAATATATCTACAAATATTTAACCTTCATAAGTAATTTGATCTCTATTATTAGAGATATTTCTTCTTGCTTGAATCATCAGAAATTAAGAGTAAACATATTATTTTCAGACTTAACATCCAGCCCACGAAAAGGTTCTCATTCTTTTTTAATTTATAATATTAATATAAATTATTTACTGGGTTATTAATCATCAAGAGTTGACGACATGGATAAACAGACCTTTTATTTGTAAAATTTAGCTCGTGATTTTATCACGTTTAAGTGGGGTAACAAAAAATTCGACATCTATATAAATCGGGTAGTCCCCCTCATGAGTTGCTGCTTACTGGGTTCCTTCCCCCTTCTGCGATTGCTTGGCCGCCTTGTGAAGAAAGGCATGGCGAAACCGGCGGAACCCAACAGAACAGTAGACGAGGTGAGCGAAAGAGAATATGGAGATGAAGAGGGAGGTGTGAAGAGTGGGAAGAAGAAGAAGAAGAAGAAGAGCAAGAAGAAGCGTTTGGCGGTGCGGGTGGAAGCCGTCACAGAGTCCGCCGACCGTGCCGCTCCTCTCGTGGCCTATTTCCCTTCTGGTTACGACCCGCAGAAGACAGGGACTGAAGGGGAGGTGCCCGATGTTAGGGTTTTCAGGAACCCGCGGCGGCCAGGCAGACTCGAGCTTGTCGTCGGGCCCCGAATGGATGATGGTTCCGCTTCCAATGTGGAGTTCGTAGGCACAAGTTATACTGGCGAGGCTGCCAAGCCCCAGGTCTGTACCTACGCCCTTGGAGTCCTCGACAAGGAGAAGCAGTCCCTGAGGATTGTGCCCATCGCTGCTAACAAGGTAGCCTTCCCCTTCCCTCTTACCCACCTAATCCTCTTATTTTTTTCGTGGCGCTATTTCATGAAGATATCCGCGGGAAGATACACTGAACTTTATTTAGTTAGTAGGAAAAAGGAAGTCATACTTTCTTTCCTCTGATAGCGAGGTTGATAGACTTGTAGGAATAAACCAAAGCATTTTTTTTTCTATTTGTTATCATTTTTAGAAGACATGGTTGAAGATCATCTCCCACTTCCACTCCTCTTGATTGTTGCGGGCAATACAACCATGATAATATATATATATATATATATAGATAGATAGATAGATATACTCTCTGTATGACAATAAGATATCTGGTTATAGAAGTTTCTACCAATCGATCAGTAGCGGTAGAACACAGTGGTAACTTGATCGGTAATGCCTTAAAATTTTTTGCCATGGCAACAGATTGCATCGTCAGATTTATAGTTATCTAACACAATATGGGATGGTTTACTCGTTTAAAAGGGCTAAATATCCAATACTTGTATTTTTTTTATCTGGGTTCATGGATGTTCTCGATTCCCAGGCCTGCCAGCTGCGTTTCTGTCGAAGTTCTTGTCCTGTCTAATGGTTATTACTGCCAACAGTCGGCTCTTGTTGATTTGAGAGAACCCTGCAGATATTCAGACTTGATCCCAGAGTCAAAGGAAAGGCAGCCGGCACAGAAGCTGAAGGGGAGCCGCAGAATGAGAAGCTTCCTGCAGAATCCTTCTACGAAAAGAGAAACCTCCTCACGAACCTCTATGGTTCCAAGATAGATAAAGGCAGGGTATGGCGTCATTATCCCCTACCAGCAGTCTTGGTTCTTGGCATTCCTCTCGCGTACACTGTGTGACCATTACTTGCGTTTCCTAGGACAGCTTCATCCTTTCCCTGAAACTGATATGCGTTCTTGTATCAGTAGCCAATGTAAGTTGAAATCTCTTCTGGAAAGCCTCACTGGGGTGGTATCAGCAGGAATTATGGCTAGTTTAAAACATTTATGAGGGAAATGTTTCGAGTAGAATGATCATAACATTAGAGTCTGATTTTTTCCTTTTTTTTTTTTTTTTTTTTTTTGCTTCCCGTAATTTTCTTTCATTGGACCTGTTTTTCTTCCTGCACTTGAAGGGATTTTAGGGAGAGGAATTGCATAGCTGTAGAACAAAAAAAAATAGAAGAATCCTTACGTTATTATAGCTAAGATTTCTGTGCTAATTTTTCAGCCACCCACTTTAATCCCAAAATATTTATAAAATAGCTCACAGTAATTGGTTTTATTAAAAAAAATCTTTAAATAAGGTGTAGGGTTCTAAATATTTCCAGAAAAAACATGAAAAATGCCTCTAATCTGAGCTTTAGGCATTTAGGAGGAATCAGACTAAAAGCAGTAATCCTCCTGACGCGCTTTGAGAAAGTTAGCTTATGGGCTCCATGCATGACTGCAGGTACACAGACTTAGTGCATTGAGGAAGCAGAAGGATGATCCCAATGCCAAAGAGTCCCTCGAGAACCAGCTGAAGGATGTTGAGGTGAACAAGGAGCTGCTTGGGAATGTGGAAACCAAGGGTAGCCACCGCATCCCACCGCACGATCCGACAGCGACCGTGCCAGAGAAAGCATATATCATCGATGAGATTATCCAAAAGAGGGAATGGGATCACCTTCTTGATATCTTATGGCATTTGGAGTCAGGAGAAACATCGGCCGAGTCTTGGGAAAAGAAGGGCTATCCGAGCTTCGTCTGCAATAGAATAGAAAAGCTGAGAGAGATTCAGGTACATGAAAACCTTCTGGTTCCTGAAGTAACTGCTATTCAATTATTCATTCTCTCTCTCTCTCTCTCTCTCTCTCTCTCTCTCTCTCTCTCTCTCAAGTACCCAAGACCATGAGCCCTGTGAATCTCATGTGTTGGCTCCAGAGTGAACCTTCTGGTTCCTGAAGTACCCAAGACACTGAGCCCTGTGGAGGATCAGCAGCTGATGAGCGTCAGTGCTTCTTCTGGTGTTCTACAGGATGAGGATGAGAGGATGAAGCTCTCGGGGATATTATCCTACATAACCCACCTGCTCAAGTTTTTGGAAATAGCAAGCCAGCCCCGGAAATCCCTGACTGAAGAGCATGGGGCTGCCACCTACCACCGGATTCCTCGGATCACCTACAATAAGTTTGTCGGGCTGTTCGTGGATCCTGAGTCGTGCGCCATGACCTTTGAGGGGAAGGATCTCCTCATCAGCTACCTCCTGGTTCTAACCCTCTTCGCTGACAGCTTCAAGACGGAGCCCATTGACATCGCCAGGGACCTGAAGATGAGCTTCGTCTCCTTGAAACCCCACTACAAGCTCCTGGGGTGCACGTTCCAGCAGGAGGGCAGGCTGCAGTTGGCCATTACCTTGCCCGTTCCCCTCCACTTGCCAGAGGTGAAGAAGAAGCGGAGACGGCCACAGTGAAGTTGCGACATCTCTGCTCTGGGGGGTTGCTAGGGGTTGGGGGGGGGGATTTTTGCCTAGTAATCGGTTGACTTTCACCCGTCTGGCTGTATGCGGCGGAGTTGACTTTGTGGGACTTGTTTTTCTTTCAATATCTATCCATGTCTCTAAATGGTGCTCCATTCATTATTTTTTTCTGAAATCAACCTGAGGATAAGTTTCCTTATGACATTTTTGCCCTAGTAATTGGTTGACTTTCACTCATCTGGACTTTGTGAGACTTGTTTTTCTTTCAATATCCATCCATGTCTCTAAATGGTGCTCCATGCGTGATTTTTTTTGCTAAAATTAATTAGCGACAGAATAAATTTCCTGGTGCCATTTTTTGCTTAGTAATTGGTTGACTTTCACCCCAGGCTTTATGTGGCGGAGTTGACTTTATAGGACTTGTTTTCTTTCAATATCCATCCATGTCTCTAAATGGTACTCGATCCATGATTTTTTTCTTTCTAAAAATTGGCTAGAGAATAAATTTCCTTGTGTCATTTTTCACTTAGTAATCAGTTGACTTTCACCCATTTGGTTTTATAGTGGCGGAGTTGACTTTGTGGAACTAGTTTTTCTTGTGCTCCATCCATGATTTTTTTCCTAAAATTAATTAACTAGATAATAAATTTCCTTGTGCCATTTTCACTTAGTAATCTGTTGACTTTCACCCATCTCGCTTTATGAGTCAGAGTTGACTTTTGTGAAACTTGTTTTTCGTTCAATATCCATCCATGTCTCCAAATGGTGCTCCATCCATGATTTTTTGTCTACAAAATTAACTATAGAATAAATTTCCTTATGGCATTTTTTGCGTAGTAATAGGTTGACTTTCACCCATCTGGCTTTATGTGGCAGGGTTGACTTTCTGGAACTTGTTTTTCTTTCAGTATCTACCCATATGATTTTTTTTCTAAAAACTTTGCTTGTGGCCATAGTTCGTTCATAGTCATATCATCAAACTATACTTCATGATGTCAATCCAACCGTGATTTAAGATCTTGAGAATAGATGATGTATTAAACGGAAATTATATTGGCATACTTTCTTGCTTGTTCTATTGTAATCTACTCCACATCACTATGACTTTTTATGGGAAAAAAAATGCGTTCATACGGTCATGGCTGCTTGTGCTAAAGCAGGGTTGACTTTGGGGAGGGAGCTGCTCCCATGTGTGGAAGGTGTAGGAGGGCCTAAAGATCACTCCCCCAATGTATGATCAAGCAACAATTTTGATATTATCTTAATATATTCAGGTTATTCAGCAAAAACTAGTTCTCTATCACATTATTAGGTACCTATCTAAAAAATTGATTGTTGAGAGTGGATTTTACCCAATCATATATCCATAACTTTATTTATTTACTTACAAAATCGAGACTAATATGGCACTACTTGCTAATGTTCTTGGTTTATTTTAATTTATAGCTATTAATAGTAAAGAAATGGTACATGATTATGTCGTACAAACCAAAGATAGATAGATAGATAGAGAGATAGCGAGAGAGATAGAGAGAGAGAGAGAGAGAGAGAGAGAGAGAGGGCATAATGAGACATAAAAGCATTCACCAAAAACATGCATGTATGATGATGCTCAAGATCAAAAGATAGTTAGATAGATAGATAGATAGATAGAGAGATAGAGAGAGAGATAGAGAGAGAGAGAGAGAGAGAGAGAGGGGTATAATGAGACATGAAATCATTCACCAAAAACATGCATGTATGATGATGCTCAAGATCAAAAGATAGATAGATAGATAGATAGAGAGAGAGAGAGAGAGAGAGAGAGAGAGAGTATAATGAGACATAAAAGCATTCACCAAAAACATGCGTATATGATGATGCTCAAGATCAAAAGGTGTTGAACTGAATAATAGGAGCATTTCTATTAATTATTATGACATAAAATAAATTTAAATGGATTATATTTGGACGCCATTTCGTCATAGTAACGCACAAATGCTCATCAGTTAGAAAGGCGAGGACGCAGAGGGAGCCCGAAGGGTGGGAGGGCCGATGGTAGAGAGAGACAGAGACAGAGAGGACTACTTCTACCTCGGCGGAATCGACGGGTATTTCGGGAAGGGCGTGGATGCAGTTTTGTCCAAGAAAAGGTTGGTCTGGATTTTAAGGGAATCCTTCGCTTTTGAGGACGGAGATATGGCTTTTCCCGGCGGAAGAGTTGTTGGAAGGCGCCTAAAATGGCGTCGGGATTTTCGGCGTAGCTTTTGGTATCGTTCTCGCCGCGCATTTTTGTTTATCCTACATTCTACATAAAATGATCTACTGCTGCTGTAGACTCCTCTCTGTAACTCTTACCATGGATTTTTCGTTTGATTTATTCATGTTAATTGTGTAGATTTTCGTGGATGATGTGCGTAGCATTACCGTGACAAGAACAATAATACGATGTTTTCGTATCAGTCGTTCCATCATATCTGGCGAAGTCAGTCGGTAATTACTAAATCTACGATCGTGGCTCATGAAACGAAGAGTACTTTTGCTCTGTTTTGCGTACTTTGTCAATGAATGCAAATAGTTACATGGCAAAGAAGAATCCGAAATGCGACAACAACCATCCGGTCGATTAAGTTCTGAGTACAATGAATAGAACCATTGATATCTCTCTTGAAGCTGGCACAATCCTCAGTTTGGAGTTAAGCTGTAGCATAAACTCGTCCTGGGGAAGATGAAGGAAAATTGATCGACTGCATCGTATCAAACTGTACGAGCTGTCTGGATGGAAATACTGTCCAAGTTCTTCAACCTCACAAAGGATTCAACATGCCCTCTAAAGGAATGCAATTCCCCCAACCTGCGGAAATTTTCACATAATATTGAATTAGATCACATGTTGCATAATATAACGTCAATAACCAAGTTAGAGATGTCTTGCATAGCACAAGACGGTATCTTTTTCTAACTGGTTACTTGTCAAGTGGTGTGCAATATCATTGGGACATGAGATGTTCTAGTTTTACATGCATGACACAGGAAAATTGCACCAAGTTAAGGCACAATTTTGAAAGGGGGGCTGAAGACGAGAGGAAAATATGGGAAGGCAGGTCGTGGAAGCTTATAGAAGAATGAATGGGGAAAAAACCTTGGAGATGGTATTTGTGTTTCGCTTATGAACGAATAAATTTGTCAGAATTATTACCTGGCTATTTCAGCACGTCTCAATGCCTGCTCTGCCATCAGGGTTGACCTTCTGCCTTCTCTTTCCAGATCTGTGGCAGAAATCCTTTCAAGACTTTTCTGTGAACGTAGCCATTTTGCTTCCCTGTCCTCTTTTCCATAATCTTTCTTTGTTGTAAAAGCCGTCTGTTAACGATGAATGCAAGGCATACAGGGATTATATACCTGTATGAAAACTACAGGGACGGAAATAGATGCACTCATGCACAGTTGTGTAGACTCTCATTTCAATCTATAAATAGATAGTACAATTAAGATCTACAAATAATACCAGCTAATAATGAGACAATCAATGCTGTGGGAATTGCAGGATACGGAGAGGGGAATAAGAATTGTGAGGACTTGGAAATGGCTCCTACCTTCCTGTCAAACAGCAGGTTCCATGCTTCCCCACTGAGTGCATATCGAACTGTGAACTTGATGATGTCAAGGGGAATGTAGAAGATTAAACTGTATAACCATATTACACCAGCCCACCCCCAGCCAATTCCATGAATATACGCAAATTCGATATTTGCATAAACAGCAATGAGGGTAGCTACCTGGATGGAAAAATGAATTAGAAGCATGAATTATTGGCATAATGAAGAAATGAGCACCAAGTTCTGAAACTGCATTCACTATAGAAAATCACTATTCCTCTGGTGGAAGTTATGACGAACTGAATCTCTAGTCTTCATACTAAACACGGTAATGTAAAACTTGTACTTTTATTGAACTAGTTTACCAATTTGCTAGTGATAGAAAGAAAAAGCGCCACTAAGGAGGCCTCACCAATTGAGCCACAACAAATGCGCACATGAGGAGAGTCCCAGGCCTTTCTGTGAATGACCAGCTCTGACTACGAGTTACAAAGATGAGGGCTTGACTGATGATGCTCACTTGTAGATATATGGCAGATGAGATTTTTTCGTCACTGTCACTTAAAGATCTCACTTTAAAGTAAGTCTGCACAAAAGAGCCACATGAGAAATTATGTAACCAGCGAAAATTGCCAAGATATTTTTTCCTTTGATAAATCCAAAGATGATGAAGAAACAAGTGTTCAAACCTCAAAAAAGCTTGTTTCTGTGATGATCCAGTAAAAGAGTACAGTAACCAGTGCAAGGTATGTCCCTATGACAATGCCAGTTGCAAATATCTCATTAAGCTTCCAGCTATCAGGCATTGGTGACGGTTTGACATAATCTTTGGCAATGGTCATGATGGTTCCTGGTTTGCAGACAAGGTAGAGATGAGCAATGTGTTTCATAATCTTGTTAAGTCTCCTCCATATTTAGTGAAAGAAGAAATTCCATGTTCCCAACTGAGCATTTAGATACATCTAATCAAGAGCAATGTTGAAAAGACAGGATGTACCGTCGTTTAGAATTGCAATTATAAGAACCATGAAGGGTGGGAAATCATATTTCCATATCAATGCGAGAAGTACAAATCCTAGCTGCAAGAATAAACCAATTTGGAGATGAGTATACTCCCAAGTTTTTTTCTCAAGTTTCTCAAAATGGTCCAGACAAACATACCACAATCCTTATAGTTATTGATACGGCATAAATCTGCAAATACCAGATGGCGTCGTCAATACACTATTATGAGTTCAAATACAGAAATAAGAAAAAAAAGTCAACGCTCAACTGTATAGTTCTTCATTCTCTGGAATATAGCTCGGCTAGTCAAGACAGCACTGATTATTACGCTTAACCCAGGTTCTGTCAGGACTATGTCGGCAGCACCTCTTGCAGCATCTGTGGAATCAGAGACAGCTATTCCAATATCGGCTTTCTTCAAAGCTGGGGCATCATTCACACCATCTCCGGTCATTCCACAGATGTGATTCTTCTCTTGAAGGATTTTCACAATCTCATACTTGTGTTCTGATCATTGCAGAATTCCAACGAAGAAAGTTAGCTAAATAAAGAGGGATAGGTCACCACAGGCGTATATCCTTATTTTTAACGTGATTCCAAGAACCTAGTAGTACCAAGAAGTCTCTTGAAAATCGCATGGAATGAAGATAGTTACCCGGGAATACACCAGCAAAACCATCAGCCTGTTCAATTAGCTCATCAAGGGGCAGGGCTTCATTTTCGTCTCTGTTGTGACCAAACAAGAATGAAGAAGGATACATGTTCGTTCCCATCCCCAGACGTCGACCAGTCTCCTTTGCTATTGCCAACTGGTCACCTGTCAGAAGAGTGCACTCATACTTTTATTCGAGGGTGCAGACAGAGGGCGATTCCGAAGGGCATGGCTCAACGCCAGCAGGTTCTATTCCTTGAGCATAGTTTTTGGAAACTAACTAATGGGTTCTCTGTTCAGGTGTCTTTTAAGATTCTGCATCAAATTTATGATCTATAGAAGTAGTTTTTTTCTCATAGAAAACCATTGTTTGTTGTGAAATTCTGCTAGGTAATTTACATTCAATCACATGAACAGGAGAATAGAAGAGTAGTGTGGTTGCTACTAAAACTCAATCTGACGGGCACTTGTGGGAAAGGGAAGTATGAAACAATAGAGAAAACTGCGGGTAGATCTCAAATCAACATAAAACTAGTGTCTACCGGTTATCATCTTCACGCAGACTCCAAGATTGTATGCTCTGCGGATAGTTTCTGCACTGTCATGTCTTGGCGGGTCAAACAGTGGCAACAATCCACAGAACGTCCACGGACCGCCTGAGCTCTCTTTAGATCTCTCAGGAATGAACTGAAGGAGTCACCCCAAGAAGGCCAAGTCAGAGTCTTCCTGTTTGTAAGTCTCTCCTAAGAGTTTCGTTGCAGTCATTCGGTCATTTTCTTACCTGGTATGCGACCCCAAGCGAGCGTAATCCTCTTTCTGCAAATCTGTCGATGGCTGCATGCACTTTTCCAGTTATGGCCTCCTTTTCTTCACACAGGCTTAGAATCTAGCATAACATGAAAAAAATATGGATTAGGAAATATTATACAGGTAAAGCAAGGGGGTAGAACTTTGAGTAGAATTCAATGGATGGAAAAATAAAGCCAACCCTCTGCCGTAAATTCTAAGCTTTTTTTTTTTTTTCGTACGATTTATAGTTACAGAACCTCCATGAAAGAAAGCCCATTTGAGGGTCAGGTCAGGGTGTTTTCATACCTGCTCTGGAGCTCCTTTGCTAACTCGATGCCAGTTTCCTTCAGAGTCTATGTATGTGATTGCTGTGCGCTTCTCAACGGGATTGAAGGGCAGAAAATGGACTTCGGTGATGTTTGCTCTAGCCTGTGTGCAGAAGTACCATTCACTCATACTAGTCAAAGGAAACAATCTTTTCAAGGGGAAAGAACCCAACGTTTCATTCCTACCTCCTTGGGGTCAGCAAGCATGTTCACAATGGCTGTATCAATTGCATCTTGGTTCTCTAGTCTCGAGGCTCTGGCAGCGAGCAAGATGATCATATCTTTTTCCATGTCATCATTGAACATCTGGATCAAAGCCATTTGCCTGAACTTTAGATTCTTTGGATTTTAAATAACTGTGGATGTGAGGTTCACATTCTCAATGCGTTCCTTTGGCTCAATAGGGGCATGAAGGTTTTGTCATCAGGTTGGAGATGAATTGAGATAGATTCCAAGTGATTTTGGATATAAAAATACCTCAGAAAGTCACAAATTCCTAGGTGGGTATATGGTATAAAAATATTTGAGAATATCGATATATGCTTTGTTAAATGATATTTTTCCATGGAATTATTCATACAAGGAACGAATATATCTCATACCTCAATAAGATTTCTCTCCACAGTGAGATGATTGAGGGTGAGAGTTCCAGTCTTGTCGCTGCACAGAACATCCATTCCAGCCATTTCTTCAATTGCTGTCATTCGCTTGGTGATTGCACCCTGAAGACAGCCACATGCTTTTTTTTTTCAAAAAACTTTCCTTGGCAAATCTACCCGGAAGAGGGTGAATGCTAGGGCTCTTACTTGTTGAGAAAGGCGATGGGAGCCGATTGCCAGTGTGACTGATAGCACAGTGGGCATAGCAATGGGTATGCCTCCTATCAGTAGAACCAGAAGATTGTTTATTCCATCTCTGTACGTCCGACGCTGGACAGGGAACATGACTATGATCTCTAGGAGCATCCCTATGGCTATTGAGCATATGCAAAAGTTTCCTATTGAGGTAAGAACCTGAGAAAAGCAGGAAACAGGTAAGTTTTTGTCATTGAAAATCAAGCCCAGAGTCAACTGTTCTAAAATTAGCGCATGCATCACCTTTTGGAAGTGCCCAATAACTTCAGTGGAGTCAACCAAGTGTGCTGCTCTCCCGAAGAAGGAATTGATTCCGGTTGCTATCACAATTGCCTCTATCTCCCCTTGCTTGCAGGTGGAGCCAGAGAAGATCTGGTCGCCGGTCCTCTTCGTGACAGGAAGGGACTCCCCGGTCAACGCTGACTGCAACATTTTGGGGAAGAACAGACCATGAGTTCCGATTTTATTACCCTATCTATGGGTTGATATCTGACATCTATTGACTGAAAATAGCAAACTGTGGAGAAAACCAAGTAAATGCCTCTAAAAAATTTTTTTTTTTTTTTCAGGGAGTTTGCCTGATCGATCTTCAGTGGGTCTCCCTCGAGCAGACGGGCATCTGCAGGTATGATGTCGCCAAGTTTTATGCTTATTATATCCCCTGGCACTAGAATCGCCGCATCGCGCTCCTGCCATTGACCATCTCTAATCACCTGGATCGTGAGTAAACTGGTCAATAACGTAATTAATATCTATATGAAAGATATAAATAGCCCAATGTTCTTCGTTGACCTTGGTCAAAATTTTCCACCTTTGTTTTAGGAGCCAGACGAGCCATGAGTGCCGACGCAGCATTTCCAGCATTGTTCTCCTCGATGAAGCTAATCGTGGAGTTGATGATCAGGAGGCAGATGATGCCCACAAAATCTTGCCAGTCGGGTCCTTGACCCTGAAATGAGAGGTAATCAGAAGGGGTTGACTGCTGCTACTACTACTACTACTACTATTATTGGTAGTATTTTGAATTGATGTGAGGGGAAATCAAGGATTCAGCTGTGAGCTCACTCCGCCATTGGCGAGAACGATGGCCATCACTGCCGCCGCCTCCATGACCCATGAAAGAGGGTTCCACATGAAGCCCAGGAACTTCAGAAACTTGTTCTCCTACGTTGACCAAAAAAAACAGAACACAACGTGCCCAGATTAGAAATATTTCTCAGCTCCCTGGTTCTGGGTATTCTTCATGCGTGATATGCTTCTTTTTTTTTTTTCTTTTCTTTTCTTTTGTGGTCTTCTTCTCTTCCTAATTTGGAAATGCCCCGCCCACATGATGTCAAAGAGAAGTCAACGCACAGTCTTCTCCTCGAGCTTGTTCGGGCCGAACAGCACCAGGCGAGCCTCAGCATCCTCGGAGGAGAGACCTTCCCTCGACGTCCTGAGCTGCTCGAAGACCTCCTCCAATGGGAGCCGTTCCTGCAGAGGCCCAATCCGGTAAGTTTACCAATGTAGGCCCCACTCCCGTCGAATTCTCTCCTTACAGCCTCTCACCAGGTCAATATCATCCCGGTTGAAGCTTTCAGGGTCTATCAGGGGCCTCTCCAGGTCAACCTCCATGGTCAAACCGTCAATGTCGGTGTAGGGTCCTCCTCGACGTCTCTGAAGAAGCTCAGGGCAGCATCTCTCAGAGGCTGTCCTCTCCTTCTGCAGAGAAGACGGAGAAAGTTAGTGAGAGAATGTGGCGATGTGAACTAGTAATGAGAGATGGGCATTGCATATCGCCGTGTGTTGGTGGTGCAACTGAGCAGGAGGAGCAGAGGCAGAGTAAGTGGGAGAGATGGAGAGATGTGATTACCCGCCGCCCGTCCGCAGAGGGAGAGAGAAGGAAGCAGAAGGGTCGGTTTTTCCACAGGTCAAAGGCAACAGAGGAGGGGGGAGAGAAGGGGAGATGATCCCACTAAAAGGACGGGAAGTGGCGGTGTTGGTGACCGGTGAACGTGTGCCATTGAGGGCCTTTTGACTGTTGGGTGACCCTTCCTTCCCATCTGCTTCTCTCTCTCTCTTCTCTCTCTCCCTCTCTACGCCGGTGAGATAGGATTACCGTAAGGTGGCGCGTACCGCAGCATCTGAAAAGGGTAGGTTGGGCCACGGACCGTTAAGTTTTGAAAGGCCGTTGGGAGATCCCGCCCAGCTCTGCCCAAAGTAAGAGAGAGACGGAGACAGACAGATAAGCAACGTGTCATGAGGTGTTTGGTTCAAGCGACAACTGGGGCCCACCAATAGACTCTCTCTCCCTCTCTCTCTCCCCTCCGAGCGAGCGTATATATAAATTCCAGTCTCTACTCTTTGTCTCGTCTCCTTTCCGGGCGCAGATATAAGTCCCTCTCTCTCTCTCTCTCTCTCTCTCTCTCTCTCTCTCTCTCATTCAACCGAATGTCGTCGGTAGCAGGAGTCGGAGGAAGAACGGCCGGGGGGACGGCGCCGCTGCCGAAGCTCCGACCAGGGGAAGGTATGAAAGATACAGACGGATAATCGCCCCAAAGCATCCCATCCTCCCTGTATCTCGGCATCGTGTTCAACAAGCTACGCCAAAAATGGCAACAAAATGAACGGCGGCGGAGATCTGAGCATCTCCCGCGCGGCAGGTGGCGAGAGAGAGAGAGAGCCCTAAAAATCCACGATCGAACTTCGCGGCGCAAAATTATACTCACGGGACGATATTTCGCAGGGCGTGAATGGCCTGACCTTGCTAGAGAGGATCGCCGCCGCTCCCGTTTCGAGAGTCCGATGCGAGTCGTCTCCAGAAATACTTCCCGCAGAAGGGCTCGGCGATCTCCGGGTACGTCTTCCTGACGAAATTCTCCATGCACTTTAGGTATGAGAAATCCGCGCTGGATCCGTCGCTAGAGACCACGAAGAAGCATCTAGTCTCTGGGAAACTCTCGGGCTTGCCAACCTGCCAAACCCGCAGCGGGGAGGCACACCGAACAAAGAGATGTGCGATTAAGAAAGAAAAATAACCTCTAATTACCGTCGAAATTGCTCTGGAAAATCTGGGAGGATTTATTTTTTCAGTATAATATTAATGTGATGGAAAATATCATGCAGATAGATATAGTAATTAATGGCAGGGAAGAACATATAGCAGAAAGGTCGTCCCCCCTGTTGGCCATACCGTAACGTAGTCAACCTCGCCTGCTACCTTTGAGCTCCTATCTGGATGGTACCGGAATACGTTATCCAGTATGTATGACTGATCATCCGGAGAGAGCCTGTCCCCATCGCTATACCTGGGCAGCATGTCACTGTCACTAAAGATACAGCATGATGTCGAACAGAATGCACATCAAAAGCATCATTATCAACGCCATGGGAGCTCCAGAAAAGTTCAATGTCATACACCACGAGTCATATCTCCGGCAGTTAATTCACACTTATTTTTCTAGCTCCTGCTCTCACCTGGGGTTTTCTTGTTCATTAGAGAAAGAATAGAGGGGCCACATTGTTGCCTAAATGGGTCTCTTACCGGGAGAGGAAGTTCAACAGGAGGGAGGAAAACATTGGATATTTTCCTCCTGTTCTTCTCTTTGTCCATTACCTGGACAGTTTCTCCTCGCTGTTCTTTTCATTTGCTTCCCTGAGAAAATTTCCCAAGGAGAAGTGAACACAAAGGAGGAAGGAAAATGTTCAGAGCCCAACCCAGTTTACTGCTTTCCCTTGGGGACTAGTGGCTTTGACTCATGGCTCAAGGCAATTCTAGGTTTATTTCAATTATGTAGCTAGAATCATGGGAGAAACCGTATCAAAATCCTCAAAGTTTCTAGGAAATTGAACAAAGTTGGCTCAAACTATGATAGTTAAATGGATCAGAGAACCTAAGAACATGTTGAGAATTGAAATATTAAAGGGATGAACTCATCTACAAGAGTTGAATAGAAATAATGGTCTGCTTATAGTGTATATATTCTTCACGTCTTCCTGATCCAAACACTTTCATGAGAGGTCATACATACAGGGAGACGCAAATGCAAGTTAAAGAATAGAGATTGAAGCAGAAATGAGGAAGTAGCCCCCCAAAACAGTACCTTGACTGACGAAGAATCCGTCTTACAGACTGCACAACTGGTTCAACATCAGCAAGAATTTTCTCCTCCTCAGAAGAGAAAGAGTCCAGTCGTTGCTTCGTTGAAGTCATTCTGTTTTCTCCTCTGTGTGCTGATTGTCGTTGACTATCCTTCCATCCACTTGGATCTGACATGTTTCGCCTGGCCTTCCGGATTGACTTCTCGGAAGCACAAGGGTCGTTTGACTTCTGGCTGACACCGGTGGTGCTCTCCCAAGCATGTAAATTTTCTTTGGACCCCTCCTGACTTCCCCACTGGGTCTCTGATCCACTTTTTCTCCGATCGCCTGCATTACTCTTGTCATCTGAACCGACATTCGCCGACCATTTGGTCCTTTCTCTGTCTGGTTCATGCCTCTGCCAAGATTTCGGCTCATCTCGGCTACTTTGCTTCGGATCCCGAACAGTTGACCGTTGCTCATCCCAGGAAATTCCTCCTCGAGCCACCACGTCAGCTGATGAATCTTCTACCCTGCCCACATCACTCCAACTCTGATTTCCCCATGCATCAGAAGGATCAGATTGCTTCTTAGCACTACTCCACTGCTCCCAGCCATCTGATTGGGGGGCAGAGGCTCCACCACACTCCCAGTCTGAACACCCTAGATGAAATTCCCCACCTTGACTCGCTCTGGGGCTCTCGTCAAAACCAAGCCTTGAGAGACGCGGATCATGCTCAGGAGATGACACCATCTCATACTCATCAAGATCATCAATATCAACACCCAGTGATGCAGAGCCCTTCCCCTTCTCGCCAGATGCTTCCCTCACCAGATGGAGAAAGCTGTAGACATCTCCGTCAACATCTTCAACCTCCGCCATCTGATCAAAACCGGTGGATGTTTATTGATCAAGATCTCTTCATTGAAAAATGAAATATAAGGTTACCTTCTTCTTATCCCACATGATTTGAAAGTGTCCTCCTGTACCAATGGCCACACGTTTACCCCACGAACACGCTGCGACTACACTGGACAAAGAATCTCTGTGGCACTTTTCGGCTGCCCTCTCGAAGCACTTCAGTGGGGTCTAGAGATTATCAGAGTAGGTCCAGTCCAAGATTAGGAAAATGTTATTTGAGAAACAATATTTGTAAAAATGAAACATTTAGAAGGAAAAAAAAAGAAAAAACATTTTCCTGTAAAGGGCACCTGAATTTATCAGTGCCTCTGTAAAGGGCACCTGAATATATCAGTGACTGTAAAGGGCACCTTGTTCAGGTGCCCTTTACAGAGGCACCTTGTTCCGCTCCCTCACAGAATCACTTACCAAGAGTGTTGCCTCTGTAAAGGGCACCTGAACATCCAGGGAGCGGAACAAGGATTTGAAGCCAGCAGTGTAGAAGCCGATGACCCGTCCCGAGCAGGTCATGCAGTGAACAACAAGCAACGGGTGCTGCTTGAGGATGCCCTTCGACACATTGCTAACGGCTGTAGACAGACGCTGAGAAGACAGCCACACAATCAAATCACAATCTGTATGAGGAACTGAATGAAAATTAAACTGCCATTTTATGCATTTCCATGAAAGATCAAGAGGGGAAGAAAAATTAAATCTCTTTATCTCCACAATCACCCTAGGAAAGGGAAAATGAAACCCAAAACTCTTTTTCTTTGCTCGAAAGAGAGAAGGTGAAACTCAAATGGATGAATGTAGCCCCCTCATGCTTCCATTGCACACAAAAAACATCTATCAAACCATTGCAGGATGTTGCAAGATGAATGTAGCCCATCATGCATGGATTGTTCTTAATCTATGGTTCCTTGCTTGAATTCAATCCCGATCTGATGGGAAAGTCTGGATTAGGATTTGATGGGATGTGCTGAACCCCGTTTATACCGTCAGATTCCAATCCTTAGATCTTGTTTTGCTACAATGATTATCAGATCATTCCCACACAGGAGAACATAACACAAGCAAAATGCTTGATTATGTAAAGATTAGGATGAACAATCTAGAACACAGTTCATTCCCTTTTGAGTGTAAATTTGATCCAGTACTCAAACCCTCCCCCCTTTAGGCGGAAGACAACATATTTGCTTTGCTCCAAAAAGTTATTACTGAAGATGATTAGCTGAAAGAATCAATTAGAAGAAAACCACTCCTTCAGCGAGAGCTATAGCATGCAGCAGAAAACATAAAAATAAATAATATTTATTTCCGGGTTTAATAACAAGAAAAATAACAGAAAAATAATAAAACCTGCACCAGATTGACATTTGCTGGCATCCATACATAGATATGCTTCTTCAGGGAATGAAAACTGGCAGCAAAAGAATATCTTGGATCACCTGAATAGACTGGTCAAAAGCAGAAGAAATGCCGAGATAATCTTGAATTTGTTGAATGCCGTATGGGATGCTCCGTGTTGTGTCAATCAGATGCATTAATGGCAGGCAACAATCGACGGCAACCCTCCATGCATCCCCATTTTTTTTGGCCATATCTTTCTCGATGACGACCTCAAGGGCCACTTCACCTGCGGTTCTTTTGCTTGAAGTCCCAACCCAAGGGGTTGTACCTGGACTGACCCAGATGATCTTGGTTGAATGCACTCGAGGATCACCTTAATGGAGACCGACGGAGGAGACAAAAAGTGAGTTCCACCATGAATTTACCAGACAGCGATTGAGGACAAAAACGTTGACAGCAGTTTTAAGCCTGGGATTTTCTTCAAGCATCGATTCTTGTTATGATGGTTTGAGTTTTCATTGAAGTACGTTGAGGATTCCAGCAGACATTTCTATCTGCATACAATTCTCAGTCTTGGCGTGATGATGGAGATGTTACTTCAGATTTCACCAAGAAAGAAAAGTTCATCACACAAAATTGTTAAAACTCCAATTCGATCCTTTTTTTTTTTTTTTTTAATCATCAGATGGATGATGAGTTGGAAACTCTTCTTATGAACAGTGAAACGTTGGGTTTCCTTTGAATCTCATGGGGCTTGGTGGATGGAGATTCGATATTTCCTATCTTATTCATATATATGGTGAGGCCACTGAGCTGTGATTAATTAAGACTAGATTAATATCAGTTAGGGGAGAGGGGGAGATGAAGCTAGTACCGGATGAAAATGTTAAGCAAATTACCAAAAAAAAAGAAAAAAAAAGAAAGTAATGAAGCATCAAATATCTTTACCTTTGATAGCAGTATCCAACAAAATAGGGCAGATTACATTGGCCATTGTATCTATTGTTCTCTTCATGTCTTTGACGCAGTGATCAACATTTGGATCATGGTAGAAGAACTGTAAGCATGGAGATGGGGATACCTGATGACAAGCTTTATGGGGATCCCAACTGCAGCATTTACTAAAACATAGATTCAACGTAAATGAGCAGAATATGACTTGTTGATTTCTTCTGTATGAATAGAATAACATAGTTGAATAGAAGACAGAGCTGTAGCATAAGAGATATTTTCGTCGAAAGAAGAAAAAGGAATAAATCAATAGTAATACCAACCTGGGATACAGAAAGACCTTCTTTACCATTTGACTGAGACTCTTTCTTTTCTTTCCAAAAGAGCGCATGGCATCCAAGCACTTATGGTAGATGTTATCCACCTTACAGTTTAATCCATCCAATTTCAGCTGCCCAAGAGGATATGTTTTTATCACAAAAACGAGACCTTTAGGTCAATGGATTTCCAACTTCTAAGAGAGATGAGAATAAAAAGTAGTAAATCTTGAACTACGAGAAGGGGGGAAAAACCTGATCAAGATGAATATGAGCCATCAGGCCCTGAACAACATCCTTAGATCCGGGTAAAATTATTCGTTTTTTGTATCTGAAAATAGAAAAAAAAAAAAAGCAATAGCGAAACATATGAAGGTTCAGAATGAGTCGTTTTCTCTAGTGAGAACCCACAGCTAAAAATGAAGATCACATAAATCACGGAACCAGATGATGATGGACAAGTATCCTTTTGTCAAAGAGACATTTGTGTCAAAGTTACAAGGATCATTCTTAGACAATTTGGTATGTGAATTGGATTGACTTTCCTTGGTCCTAATTTTTAATTTTTTTTCCAATAAGTAAACATTAAGGGAAAGAAAACATCCAATATTGATATGAAGATGTAAGGTACAATCATGCTCTTTACCGAAGATTATCCAACCATACATGATGTTGCCTCCATAAACTTACTATGATGATCCACCACTAGAAAGAGTAATCATAAAGGAAACATTTTAAAGCCTAGGGTGCTTTTAGTTTGAATGTGAACAGGGTAGTGAGAATATAAAATTACTAGATAGCACCATTAACCATAAAAATCAAAGAAAATTTTTTTTTAAAGAAAAATGATGAGCAAAACCAGCAGATGGTTATAACCCTATCGATAACCAGATAGATGTTAGTCCGGAGTACATACTCGATTGAGAAATCTACAGCACAATTCCTCAAAGCGACTTTCTTCAAGAAGGAACAGACTGCACTCACTGCCCGTTCCTTACAAGAGCTTTTCCCACAAAAGCAGTCATTCATGTAAAGTATCACCCGCCGACTCGCAGCATCACTCTTAAAACTAACTTTTGAAAGTAGAACTTCCTGTTGACACACAAGTACATTACATAAGACATGTGAAAGAAAGAGGATGCGAGCACAGCAAGAACAACATGCAGATCTTCACCTTCATCAGCTCCCAAGATGATTTTGTGCTCTGAGAAGGATTAAGCACTGCCTTATAAGCTAGATTAGATATAGCTGTGGCAGCTAAAACCCCCACTGGTTCTCCAGCAGTTACATTGCCGAAAGCACTGGAACCCTCATCCAATCCGTATTCAAACAGAACTACTGAGTTTGTGCAAAGATTTCTAACAGTCCCATCATAGCACACAACTACATCTCGAAGAATTGACATTAAATTTTTAAATAGAGTTCCTGGTTCAGTTAACCCAGCAGAAGAGCGAATGATCACTTCTCTACTATCTACAGAATGGACCAACTCCTCATAGGGATCCAAACCATGGAAAAAGGAATTGCCAATCAAACCGTAAGCTTTAGTGGGGCAATGAACACCATCATGTTGATATTTATTCATAAAGTGTGAATATATATCATCAACCAGCGCAGGTGAATAAAGCTTGTCCCTGTCAGAAAGTTGGAGGCCAATAAATCCAAGTTGTTGAATAACCTTAGAAATAGTTGAATCACTACTTGAATCAATCAAGCAACCCAATGAAGAATGCTTATGTACAAAATTTACGACTGGGATTTTAATCCCCTTCAGGTGATTCTCAAGTTGAGAATCAAGAAGTTCATTGTATGTGCTCCTTAGTTGATAAAGAAGAGGAAAACTCCGCTCAATATTTCTCCTTAAGTTATCCCTGACCTCTTTGGGGATGTTAAAATCCCTTAGGCAAATGCTGAACCCCTCTAGGGATAGAAACTCCATCAGTAAAGGCTGGAGCAAATTAAAGAACCTGAGAACTTGCTTCTGGCCTTTCAAAGATAAAATTGAGGTGGCAATTTCTGTCATTGTTGACTGCAAAGAGTCCCTCTCAAAACCTAGCATCACAATTTCGCTCTTCCTGATTAAATACTTCTCTCCACAACAGTCTAGGAGAGGAGGTAGTGCAACCTGCAAAATTTGTGTGCCTGTCCAAAACGAACCCTCATTAGAAGCTTTGTACAAAGCTGGACGAGGCAAAATGGAGCATGCAAACATCCCTAATTGCTGCGCTGTTGCCTTCTTCAAGAAGTATGTTCTCTGCATCAGTTTCAGTGCCAGCAACGAGTCTTTGACAAATTCCAGATTCAAGGTACCACAGTGTGAACTAAGACACTGCTGTTGAACACTGAATAGCTCCTTAGCTTCTGATTTCGCAGCAAGTGACTGAGGATAAAAGATGTGAATGCAATCCCCATCGAAGTCTGCTCCTAAGGGAGCACAAACCAGAGGATTGATCTTCACAGTGCTATCATTGTGAACATAAACTGAGAAAGCTTGAAGTGAATGTCCATGTGTACTTGGCGGCCTATTGACAAAGACAACATCGCCATCCATAACTCTACGATGAACGACTTGGCCAACTTTGACGGAAGTGTGCCGCATTGGACCAACACCAATAGCGTAAGTAAATGAACCATCTTTATATGTCACACACTGGTGATTATCAACGATTTCCTGCAACCATCTCATATTGTGAATTGTAACCCTTTCTTCAAATGTGACCTTTCTGGCGATTTCCAATGGTAAGCCAATTTCATTGACTCCCTTATATGTGTCCCCAGTTATCACACACCGAGAAGAGAACCCAGAAGACTTTCTGATAAATAGCGTTCTCATTTTCTCAAGCCATTTTTTGCTGTAAACCCCACTTTCTTCCAAACGCACAAATTTCCTCATAATATCATGACGTGACTTCAAAGTATTATGCCAGATAATTCAGGAGCAGAGTGAAGAAACAACATAAAAAAAAACTTTTAGCTGGAATTTAACGTTGGAGAGAAAATCAACAAGCCACAAGAGTGTCTTAGTCACCTGAAAACCACATACCTTCTGTGTGCCCCTAAGATGTATGTATAGCAAAATAGCAGCCTGCAAGTCATTGGATTCAAATTCATAGGACTCAAAATTCGGAGAGCCAGACCTTGATCTTTTGATGAGTTCAATTTTGTTAAGGACTCTTCTCAGCATGGAAAGAGAAGTGTCCTAGAACACAATAGAGAATATCACATCGAGGAATCAAACACAACTCAAATAGACAAACGTAGATGAAACTCTTAATCAGACTTACAGAGGACATCATGCTTTTTCCATCTGCATAATCTGCTGAATATAGACAATTTGGAGGAACAGGAAGAGACTGCATTATAAAACCCTTCTGTGGATAAAATCCTTTGCTAGCAAGCTTTTTTCTTGTGTCTTCTGAAATTTCGTTCAGAATGTTAAGAGCCTAAAAGCGAGAAGAATGTTAGCTCTCATGACAATTCCATTACTCAAATAAAGTGTGAGAGAGAGATAAAAGATTGGAGCTCAAAAAAATCGCAAATCCAGATCAGTAATAATAGATACCGTCAATATTCAATAAGAACGCAACGTTTACTTCTTTTCACATGTCCACTGCTAAAATTCATATCTTCACAGATGTATATGTTTATAAATTCAGAGATTCAACCGTTTAGACAATCTAGCTCCCACGAAGCTCCTACCAGGCGCCAGCACTGACATCAATCGAGATAGGATTAATGCTCGTAGTTGCAGCATGATAAATAAAATTCTTAAGATTTTTTTTAGAATATTTGAATGCCAGATATTACTCCCTGCAGATAGACAGGGAATTAGTTCATACTGGCTCAGAATCAGCCAAACCAGAGTTGATTTTGGATAGCCGATTCCAATGCACATCCAATGTTTGCGAACTTTGGTTTCACTACCACAAAAAGATTACACTAAAAAAAAATCAAAAGAAGTTCTTCATGTTTCTTATCTCAAAGAGATCCTGCTTGAAGATAGATTACATGAATGAGAGTCTAAAAAATAATACCGGAATATTACATGAAATTGTATATGAGAGACAGAAAATTGTACTTCATAAGGGAGTAAAGGGCGACAGTATGAGTCACCATAGCGAAATCCATATCTTCCTAAAAAATTCCAGAAGCCATCTCGAAATGTGGCCTTTGAAACTGCTTTCAATTCTAGGCCAACAGCACCATCAACGGTCTTCACTTCGGTTACAGATACCGGGGGAAGTTCCTGAAAATATGAAATCAGCGAAATAAAGTGAATGGCAGATCATGACGAAATTGGCAGGTTATTAAGCTTCAAAAGAGGATTTACCAAAAATAACAAGAAGATACCCTAAGCCTGGAGATAAAATTGACAAGAGTCGGGGGTACAGAGAATTATTTTTTTAAAAGCATGATCAAGGTACAATCAACCTCCATTTTTTATCACATGACTATACTTCTGGCAATTTAAAAGACTTTCAGCATAACCTCATAGCACTAGGTGCAGCACCTAGATCTTCTCTGAAGTAAATGTTAAGCATAGTACAGGTAAACAAATCTCATTGAAAAATAAAAATATTCATATTCACTTAAGAAATAATGGTATGCATGCATAAGTATGGGAGACTAGATCAAGGATTTAAAGCACCCTTTGTCAAATGTTGTTTAGAACATACCAGATGTGAGATCCTAAAGAAGATCTAGAACATACAACGAAAATCAGTGAAATAACCACAACAGTTAAAAACTGTATAATGATTCGATTAACCAATAGTATTGGACAGGAACAAACAATCTACAGAAACTGAAAAAATTCATCATTCTAAATAAAAAAACAGATGAATCCTCTCCTTAGAATAAAAAATAATGCACAATATAAATTAAATATTACATTTAAAAATAATTTTTAAGTCACTACTTTTAAATATTGCAATGAGTTAAATAGAAACCAATTAATACGTTACAGAAACATAAAATTGTTGGCGTCTGTTAGGTATTTTACTTTATTCAGAAAGGTATTCTACACTTAGTCAACATGCAAAACATTCAAGTTAAAAATCCGGTTCCTAGGATCATAGAAAGTCAGATACAGCTTATTTCGGCTTGAATCAATTTTCAAATGAAAATTGAAAACACAAAGGATACAATCTCACTCACCAACCCCAAGAATTAAAGACGAGAAAAAATCTACAGTCATCTGTGTTTCACTTGTACTCAGGTGATAGAATGGTAGTGTTATTGGCATTCTTAACTGCCTTGAGCTCACCTTCCAGGAGCTTGTGCAATTTTTACTGAAACCAAAAATTTAAAAAAGAAGCCAGGAAGGAAGCAAGGTGCCGGTCTTTTCTTCTTTTTCCACAAGTTTTCTTACCCACAAATGTTTTCTATAATGTCCAAAGCTTCGGTAAATCAAAACCATCCCATCCATAGGATACCAAAGAATATCCAACAACATCCAACAGGATCAAGGACCAAGACTTCCCCCTAATTATAACACCCTTTTCGCAACTTTTTTAAGTTGTGAGGGTTTCCAAAGTCAGTATTTCTGCATAACGACTGTCTATAGAAATACCATGCAATACCCAATACGAGGCGATTTGCAAGATGGAGGGAGAAAACTTTGGATTATCCTTATTGGAGCCATTCTAAGAAAAGTTTGCCTCAAAAGAACGAGAATGGGAGATAATATTCTAAAATTCAAACCGTTGAACGATCGTCATTTTTCAGAAGCTGTAGGAGAGCATGGATCATCATTTCATATGTTGTGAAACCTAGAAATTTTCTTTGAACGTCAAGCCCCTGGAAGTACAGTGGAGCGAGATCGAGGATGTGGATTGATTCCAAAAGAATTACGTTGAAACTAACATCAGATAGCAAACAAATCTATAGTGCTGAATATTACTATCCTCTACAGATGTGAGAACAATGAAAGGAAATATCAATTTTCCTTCACTCACGTCTAATACATTATTGTCAAAACATCGTATTCTCTAGAGGAGAATCTGGCTGCATGAAAATTTTCCAAAGACGTTTCTTCCCTAAAAAATCATCTGTCTTAAATAGCCTACCTTAAATAACCTGTTCTCGTAACTAACACTGTTCTCGTCACTTAGATAACCTACCTGGCTAAAATTCAAGAGAACAAACACTTCTCTTTGTTGCTTCTTTCTTTCTTATCCACCCAACTATCGTAATGGAGACCTACCCCTCTATGTACCTTCTATTGCATCGATAAAATAGTGATTGTATTACGAACTTCAGGATAAAGGGTAAGAGAGCCCTATTCGCTGACATCCACCGCATAAACTTGATGGAATGACAAAGCAGCAAAAAATGTAAAGTGTCAAGTGTCAAGAATGCATAAAGGACAATAGTCCGAATACGGTTAAACAGATAAATCACAAAACAATATAAAAGTAATGCGAGAAAACCAATGATTAAGCAAGTAAACAGATGCTTTTCAGAGATTACCGGACAGTACAAACAAGAACTTCTATGCTTCTTTCCTCCAAGGTTGTGACTAACCTGAAAATTTATAACATTTTCCAGACAGGTCATAAAGATGGCTAGGAAAAAATACAGTTCAAGACCCACAAGATTCATCATAGGGAGAAAAAATTATGAGGTAATAGATTGATTGCGGGGATATCAGCCAGAAACATTACTGTTTGTGGGCAGAATTAGGTTGTCCCACCCCAAAGCATGCATCAGAATCACAGGAGAGGGAACAAGTCCAAGCAAGTATGACTGTAGAAATATATGGCTCGTACAAACCATCGGACAAGAAAAAACCCATGTAACAAAGTTGTGCAAGTGTGTGTGTGTGCAGGTGCAAATGGGAACAGCTATATCTCGATGAAAAGGGAGATAAGAAGAGTGCTTTCATAAATGATCATAAGCCCATATATTTTCTATCAAGGAATTAATTATTTTTTCACAAGTAATTCCACAGTCATTACTTAGCCCAAGAAGACAACATGACTAATAAAATCACTCATCTCTATCTACAAAATGGGCTAGTCAAGGTTATCGTTGACTAAGTTCCCTGACAATCAATTACTGAAGGAAAAATCCCAAATGGTCATGTACCCAGTTCAGGCCAAAACCGTGCCAGATTTGAGAATTGAAGAAGCTAGTGTTGTCCAACTCGAGGGGAGGAAAAACAAAAGAAAGGAATTTAAGGGAAGAAGGAAATAACAAAGAAAACTTGACAAGGGAAGCATTTATACAGTTTTGAATCGTCCCCTAACAGACTTCTTTTAGAACAAAAGAAATTCTAAAAGCATGCATTCCCACAAAAGGTGATCGTAGTGAGATCCTGCAAGCTGCCATATGATGTAATGTGCTGTCCTGAAAGCTGTTGTTTGAATCCCTGCAGATTGGGAAGACGGAATCAATTATTGTATCTGATTTGACACCCTGCTCAATGCACTCGCACAGAGTTTGTGTAGAGGAATCATGGTAAGGGATACTATTACTAGCTTCGCTCTGAGCAACTCGCAGAGATTTTTAGGGCCCCTACGACATCATCAGGAGAAGGAGAGTTCTTCTGGCAAAAGAGCATCAATTTTAGCAAGGATGGGAAGCTTAAAGGAGTCTGCTCTCTCCGACAGGAATATTTCTACGAGAAGTAGAAAATCAAAGAACCAAGAAAATGAATATTCACCAGAAACGACAATGCAATAGAAGAAAATATGTTTAATCATTTTATCTTGTATATATAAGTTTTACAGTTTTACCTTCCCCTTCTTCATTCTCAGGCACTTCAAACATAGGAGGTTTAATATATTCTTCAATTCATAAACATGACAAGGATGGTATATGGGTATGGGCAATGCCACATATCCGAAATGACCTGCCACAATAAAAGATGACTACCATCATCAGGGATGCCATGAAAGCGTAAGGAATAGGTAACTTTAATATAAAACCGGCCAAAATATACACCTTCACATTCCCCATGTTCAGTGGTCCCACAAGCTTCACATTTGCCTGACTCCAATGGAAGACCAAGGAACGGATTCGTTAGCTGATTAGGATGGCTTATAGGGCAATCATTTGCACAGGAAGAGCGCTGAAAATGAAAGGATGAAGTTTAATTAAGTCCACGCTCAGAGAAACTTGAATGGAAGGATTCACATTTTTTTCAGGAAGAATAAACGGTTAATATATTGGTAGAAAACGCATTGGTTAGTTCAAAGAAAACACTATAGATAATAAACTCAGGCTACCATTCCACATATCCCATCTCCAATGAAAATAGATAATAAGACCGCTGTAAGATATAAAATTTTAAGAAACGATGCAACATTACGTACAATTTCCTCGGCAGTCGCAAGTCTGAAAGTGATCTCACGAACAGTACCGTCCAGTATAAGAGGAAATGCGACGTCGTCCTTCATCGCTTCAACCACGTGAGCTAGAAGCAACGGCTGCACGCCAAAAGATCAGCGGAGACAAACATCATAGAGTACTCAGAAAGAACGAAGGACGATCACCAGAACGAGAGAGTAATCCAACTGACGTTATCCAACTGAACGTTATATATACTCACCCGCCAACACTGGGAAACGACGAAAGAAAGCCACGAAGCATAAGAACGTGAGAAAAGCTACAGAAAGATGGCCCAGGAAGCTGGAAGGATTCCGAAAAGCCAAACGAACAGAGGAAGATCATGCATGTAGAAACGGGTCAAACTATATTGCAAAGAGGCATAGTAGCCACCAAGAATTCTGTTCGGTGGACTACGGAGGGAGCCAGCACCAGTGAGGCTCCCCAAGCGAGAGAGAGAGAGAGAGAGAGAGAGAGAGAGAGAGAGGGCTACGAGAGGTTCTCTGAAACTAGAACGAAATGGTTTTTTCTCTCAGTCAGGGAACGACAGTACTGAGTCTGTTGCCGGAGATTCTAGAACGAAGCAGCGAGAGAGAGAGAGATTAGCCATCCGGCTCCAGTCACACTGGTACAAATCTGCCCCTGGAATTCGCAAATTTGCAGTGGTATCCAATCTTTTTTCCCTTTTACATTTTTTGAAAAAGAATGGTTTATCGAGTATATCGGGATAATAGACACTATTAGAAACGAACCAAATTTATGATAATTTTATGAATAAAAATATAATTTAAATGGGTTAATATGACACGTCATTTTTTCCACTCATTCCATGAGCCATTGTTCATCCTTACGAAGGGAAATTATTGCAAAAATAAAAAACCTTCGAAATAAAAATAATTCTAATAATTTTTTTATAAAATGAGGAAGAGAGAAAGTATCAGGGAAAAAATTATGAAGACGGCGTTTAAATCAAATATGAGTATAAGCCAAGAATCCAACAGCTCCAGTTGACCGCCGAGCTTTTCTACAATTGGAAGCAGATGAGAAGATAGAGAAATAGTATAAGCCACCGCTGGCTTACAAGGTCAACGGAGGCTCTCTTGAGTATGATCTCGTGATAGGTGACGATCCCAGCTTCCCTCTGCTGAAGAAAACCCCAGCCCAAACGTGAGCCTGCTGGTATATAACACCATGGAGCTGGAGAAAAAAAAAGGGGTTGACTATGGCAAAAGGGTGGCCAGCTGAGCGCTGAAGAGGTCACCAAGAGCTCGACGAACGTCCATCTGAAAGCATCCGTGGAACCATTGTCAGCGGCCTCAGAAAGTCAAAGCACCGGGAGAATGAGGAAAACTCTCAGTGGAGATGATCACCTGGTCGCAGCGGACAAGTTTAGTGATCAAAGGATAGAACTCCCTGAGGTGCCTCCTGAATATCTGACTGTTCATGAGGCACATCCCTTTGAGGACCTGGAAGAACGAGAATAGAAGCGGATAAGGTTGACTATGATGTAACTGGAAGAAATATGAAGCCCATTTAGGAGTCTGGGTAGAACTGAGATTAGAAAAGGCAGGAAGTCAACGGAAACAAACGAAAATCGTGAAGGGTCTGCTAGATATTTTTTCCCTCCACTATCCCTCATGCAGGAGTCAACTGCAGCATAATAAGGTTTATTCATTCAAAGCAGATTCAGCACTTGCTTGAGTGAAAAATAGTCCAAGTTTGGTATCCCTAGAGGCGAACCTAGGGGATTTTTACTCAAAATAGAAAGTCAACGGAAAGAAATGGGCAGCTGAAATATCATTCACCTTAACAATAACAGGAGCGCGGAGCTCCAAAGCCCGGTGCACATCGACACTTGCAGCATCCGAAGAACTAGACTGCACCTCGGCAGCATCCTTCAATATCTGCCCACAGAATGAAACCAGCTTGTCTTCTGCTACACTCTCAAGATCACCATCCGCAGTTGCCTTCTCGGAGAAGCTCAAGTCATCGGGCAATGCATCGCCGGCCGTTTCATCATCTGACTCATTTCTCGACGTTGACTTCTGTAAGATGTCCAGATAAATGGAGGTTCCTGCAATCTCCTGGCGTAGCAGGTTCAGAGGTGGCCTGTAGAGGGATGGATGGATACCGACTGTGAGGAATCTGCTACTAGAAATGGTGAAAAATCACGGAGCCAGAGCACACCCAACCTGCCAGTGGCCATATGACGCATTCTCACTCTGAGGTTGGAATATGAGTTATATGTGGCGGCAAACTCTAGGAGAGAAAGCAAGACATCCATAATAGCAATTTTCTGCGGGGATTTCAACTTGATCCAGTACTTCTTCTGTCAGAGTTAACGGTGATTGCATGAAAGTATCAGGCATTCAATCCATTAAAATAAATAAATAAATAAAATAAAAAATAAAGCCAGGTGGCCAGACCTGAATGCTATCGAGGGTACCAAGCAAGAGCAACTGAGTCATGCATTTTCCTCTGATTGTTTCTAGAACAGGATTCTCCTCGTCATCATTTGAGCTCGGTTCAGTCACCTCGGCGACCTGCCAAAAATAGAAAGCTTATTCAGTGAGGTCACAGTCACACCAGTGATAAGTTTCCAGTAAACAGTATCTCCCTTGGTCGAACATCAAGGGTGAGGAAGATACAACACTACTGCATAAAAAAGGAACCGAAGAGGCACTCTGAGACTCAACAAAATAGTTAGCAATTGTAGACGATGGAAATCTCGAGCTATCACTAATGACGGCGGTCTAGGGTTTGTGTCCTCACCCCTAGAGGCGGCGTAAAGGGCCTCGACATGTTTGGCCCATTACCACTAGATAGGCCGTGAGATAAGAAAGCCCAATAAGAATGTGGCCCATTACATTTAACAACAATTATTAGGCAGAGTTAGACCAGATGGGGAGCATCAAGTATACCTTTACTGGGGAAGATGGTAGCGCAGCGTCAGCAACAGAGCTCTTGCTCTTGGAGGTGAAACTCCTAACCAGAAGATTGTCCATCATATTGCCTATTATCCGTTGACCAAAGGTTTGACTACGTGGAAGGTAGTCAGATTCAGCGGACTTTTGTGATCTTACAGAGGGCGATGGTGAACCTACATAAAAAGCCTCTTGTGAAGGTCAACTTGAAAAGACAAACCATATATGTGATAGAGCAACTCCGCATGAAAACTGCATGGATATATGAGGAAATGAAAAGCCAGAGAAACTCATGGAGAGAGGGTAAAGGAGAAGGAATCTAACTTTAGAAACTATCTTCAATCATACTCGTACATCTCAAATTTTCTCATTTTGATGAGATAAAAAATCAATGAATAAAATCAACGATCTTCTGTTTCTTCTCAGCAATCTAACAAAAAACAAAGCAATAAGTGCAGACCTTCTGATTCTTCCATTGTCTGGTGGGACTTTATGTCTTGCTTTTCATTCTGCGAAACGGAAGCAGAAGTGCTCTTCCAAGAGCCTTGTCTATTTCCTAATGATGCCTGATCCAGTTCTCTCTCATATCCAATATCATTATGACCATCGTCAGTGATAAGACCGTGATCCCCATTAGCATCTGCTTCCTTTGTGACAATCAGCTGGTTCGTTGCGTTCCTAAATCCCATAGAGTTGAGCAACTCAAGTGGCTGTGTTGTGAAAGATGCATCTCTGAAAATTTGATATCAGCATGAGTATACTTCAGAAATGTAGAAGGTGTCGACGAATCAAGAAGACAAAATCCCGTACCGGATGCTTTTCAGCAAAGTATCCCAGTCTGAGTCACTGAACTGATGGCCTCCAACCTCTATAAGATGCACCAATGCACCAAGAGAGATTGAAACGACAGCCTGATCGGTCTTCTTGGCACAGTCCAGAAGCAAACTCAGAAGGGGGGGCAACATGAAGGATACTTCCTGCGCAGAAAGAACAGCAAAAAAATAAAGTTAAAACTTTGTGAATAGTTTGAAGTTCACAACTGCATCAAGTTCGGTAGTAATTGGAAGGCTACATTGAGAAATACTGAGACTTGGAGATGGTGTGACGAGCAAATGATATCAAAAAAAAAAAAAAAAACAGGTACGGGGATGACAGGAAATAGCATGTTCCTCATTCAATCACCATTCAATTTTGAACTTCAAGGGGATAGTACTAAAAGAGATCCATTCCACAGTCGTATCATAGTCTGGAAAAATAAAAGTCGCCCTTTTTATATTTTTGACAGACCTGCGCTGTTGAAATCCACCTTTGGAAGAAAGATGCCCCCAAGATTCCAAGCAATCGAACGAAAATGATCAATCCATGTACCAGACAGAGAATTCATAAAGGTCAGGTTGGAATATTAATTTTGTGGAGGGGTACATCTCAAGGGAATGAAATGGTGAAGTCTTTTTGTAAAAAATTATCAGAGCATAGGAACACTGAGTAGTGGAAGGATTAGCGCAGACGAAGCCCCAAAAATCATTATTTTTACAAGGTTACCAACATGCGACAAGCTAAGTTTTAAACAGAATATGTACCTTCGATAAAAGAAATAAGCCAGGCACTCGACATAGGCATGAAAATGCTTAACAATCTTTTCTGAAAAATATCAGTCTAGATGATGCAAGTGCATAAGTTGACATAATACCGGCCTACTGATCATGTCTTTTGGGATTGAAATGCACCAGGACCAGGACCGATGTAAAGCTATCAATCATTTTTAGGAATCAAGAAACACTCCATTAGTGGAATCCAGTCATACAGGAAACTTTTCTCACAGATTAGTCAAATCAATAATATGCACTAGGATTAATTTATAATCATAAGCCATTTAGGTTAAGCAGCCCACATAGATCAAGGGTAAGTGGTCTCAAGCCAACTAGACATCTGTGAATCCATCGTTTTTTTTTATCAATGTCTTTCAACATGCGACCCCCCCATGAATGGCATGAACTCATAACTCTCTGCTAACCACCATGATTTTCAAAATTCCCAGTGAAATAGACATTTTTTGAGATTTTCGCTTCTCTTATCTATATGAGGACAAGTAGCTCTTGAAAAATCACACTTAAACGTAATCCTCAACACATTAATAGGCTGTTTATATAGAATAATGCCACCTGCGCCTATGGTAATGAGCTTCTTCCAGTAGGCAATCATTTCAAAACATCTAATGCAAAAAACCACTTTCTGGTAAATAGGCATATCCTTTCGAGTGACTTTTCCAACCTTTTATCATTTCTGGTGACCTACATCACATTATCCCCTGCGAACACTAGAAATTGACTTCATCACTATTTCACCATGGCTATACAACTTTTATCTTCTCAGATACAATCTCTCACTTTTAGGAAACAAGTGTCAACTACACGAATCCCCCTAGCGTGACCATCTCCACAGTGACCCATTTTTTCCACTTGCAGACAGCATGAATACTGCTGGCATCTAGGCTGCCGTATGATCCCACACACGAGGGTAAATAAAATGCTCCAAGAAGAATATATTTGAGACTGCTAGGAAATAAAAAAACCAGGACAGAAGAACACATCAAAATACCTTGTAGAAAATATTGAAAAGGTTGCACAATAACTGAAGTGAATGAATGCTAGTTTCACGAAGCCAATCATCTCCAGGTGAAAGTAGTCCATCTCTTCCAGTATGTCTCACATGATCAAAAATTGGGAAAAGAACTCGATGAAAGATGCTTTCCCAAAATGCTGATGAGAACTTATGACCTCTCTCATTCAGCAGATCGAATAGTACCTCAAGTGCACAGTTTCTGACCTCCGCTCTGAAGTCCAATGTTAAATCAGACAGACCTGCTAACATTGGAAACCAGTAGTGCTCTGTCACGTCAAAATTGCTGTCTAGTCCAGAATCAACGTGTTTCAAAGCACTGTCCGGTATAAGGCCCTGTATACAACAATGAAAAGTTGTAATAAGCATTAGTCAGCATTTTAAAATGCAAATCAAGACCGGTCAAACAAGTTTTCGAGGCAACAGTTGGAAGAAAATAAAATGATTTTGATAAGAACTACAGTAAATGAAAAATGCAAAATTCAAATAGGAACTCAATGGAGCAATCAATTAAAGCCTACTTTCAACCATAACTGCAACCAGGTGACTCATTATCATTTTGGAAAAGAAAATGAAACATGACAACAGATCGTAGAATGGGAAATTGACTCATTATATACATAAAATAAAACAAACAACGAATCTTCCTAGGAGTTACACGAGAACTAAGCAAGAAAAGATGCGCTCCTGGAAAGAGGGATGCACAAGACAGTGGAATAGGCACATAAATTAGCACGAACTCTATCAGCATTGACTGATATTCAAGAAAAATTGATCAAAGGATAACTTAACCAAATATTTCATTATAACTCTAAAATTGAATAACGATCTTATAAGATAAAATTTATGCTAAACGAAATTTTGATGTTTTCCTACCTGAATGTTCTTTACTTAAATAAAATTAGCATAGATGCATCTTTATTTTCTACTAATCTCTTGAAATAACAAACTAATTCATATGACTCGCGTGAGCCAGATAGATGTTCTTCAATCTAAACACGTTTCCAGCTTTTCGCCAAGCCAGAGCACCAATGATCCCATTTTTCGCGTTGATCATGGTTACCGAACAAATTTTATGTTCAGTCAATCAATGTGAGACATTGTCCTAGCTCCAGTTAAAAGGGATAATGTCCTGGAGGAAACAGTATCTCGCTATTCATACTTTTTATTCTATGTTCTGAAATGACCCTTTTTCAATGGTATTATAATTCATTTTAAAATAATATATAAAAATGAGCCTAGTATGCTGAAATATATCTGCAGCAACCCAAATTTTGGATTCAATATTACGACACTATTTCCAATGATTTGTCAAGGAAGAATTATATGTTGAAAAAAAAGTCTCTTGATAAGAGACTCTTTTACTCATTTGATCACCATGAAAGAAAGATTATGTAAATTTTCAAGGACATTGAAATGTTCAACCCAATCACCACAAATAGACAAAAGGACGAGGCACTCAAAAACTTAAGAAGAACTCTTATGATAAAAAAAAAATACTGGATTGTGGTGCAAACCTCTGCTAGACGATCTTCACAAATGCGGAGGAGTGCAATTGCTTTCAAACTAATTCGAGAAGAGCATTTATTATTGGCAAAACCAATTAGGCAGTTGACACAATCCATGAAGCAATCACAAACAACCTGATCAAAGTGCTCAAGGATAACTGCGAATTGCAGCAAGTAAGTCACAATAAACAAAAAAAAAACTGTTGGAAAGACAGACCATATGGATATCTAAATAACCAACCTTGTTCAACATTTTCAAATGCACTGTCCACAATTGATTCAATGTTATCATCGGCGGCAGCCGTGAAGATCATAAATACACTTCGCCAACCTGATTTGATGCTTCCAACTTTTGATTTTATCATCTGCATTCCATAAATTTGATTAATTTCTCACTTACCAGGTTAAAATACTTAAAATGTATAACGAGTAAAAGAATCCTAGTCTAGAGAAAAATTACTTAAGCATGATATATATACCTGCACAATGCAGTCAACTATCAGACCACGTATCCTTTCATTTTGACTGTTCCGCATCAGAACAACAAAGGGTTTTAAGATGTCATTCTGGAATGTAAAATTATTGAGCTCTGCACGCTCCAAGTACTTCATGCCAAGCTGTCTAAGTGAGTCAATAGCATACATGGCCACCTTTTCCTCCCGGTGACTTCCAGCAATAATGAAATGGTGAGCCAGAACAGACCATATTCTTGCCCAAACCTAAAATGAGTAAGCGTATGTTATGATTTTAGACAGAGTGATAAGATCAAGGCATCAGTTAACCAGTAAATTATGTACAGTGTTTGATGGATGATTTATTCTGTGCAGGAACCAAAACAAGAGAGCTAAATGATCACTTCCAATGGCACACAGGAAAGTTCGAAATAAGAGAAGAGAGAATGAAAGCACACAAAATTTTGTTGGAAGGAGCAGAGCTCTCGAGCACATATGAAGGATACAAGTCTAGGAAAGAAAATGAATTTACCAGACGAATGCGAGCCATATTATAGTAGCTGATCTCAACAAGTTTCTGCAAGCTGAAAACTCGAGCAGGTGTCTGTTTCAGTTCTTCCGCAGAAACACCACACAACGCAGTAAAGAATTCAACAATTGAATCACTTGGCAATTTCACACTGTTTACAAATACTTGCTCAGTGGGTTTCGCAGCTAACTCCCTTAAGGATTGAAGAACAGAGTCTCTTGATATTTGATTTGAGCCATGCATTACAGTAGTTGAAATGGCTGGGGTGGAAATGATAAATTCAAGTCTGGAAACACATTCAAGGACAGCATTCCATGTGTCCTGTAAGGAATCTGTCTCAATCTCACACAATAATAGAAGTGTCCGCAGGGCCTCAACATTTTTACTATGCAATTCCTTTGGAGCATGCAAAAATGTAAATCTGCAAATAATTCAGATTGGTCATGTAGAAATAAATTTCGTTTATCCAATCGCAGTAGTCAGCATAAACTCGCAGAAAATTGATTAAATAAAAAAAACTGAAGAGAATTACCGCACTAATGAAGTTAGAAAAGCATAACGCATTGTATCCATTCCTAGGACACGAGTGATATGAATTATACACTTGAATCCCTCCATACAAAGAAGTACCCTTGGCTTATTATCACCTTCCTCCATAATCACAGAAAATGCAGCAAGCAAAGGCCAACCTACAGCTTCAAGCATAGGCCTCACAAGTTCAACCTGCTGAGCTGTATGGAAGACACCTCCTTTTGCACCTTTGCTTTTGAAAAGTGCTTGTGTTTGTTTGATGATTCTCTCGCTCTCTGCCTTCGTGTCAGTTGCAGATTTTCTTCTAGGGAGAGCCAAATTTAGAATACTGACAAGACGTCCTCTCTCTTCCGTTTCAGGCCTCTGTCTGCTGCTTCTGACTGAACTAGATTCATCATCCTTGATTTTTATTTCCTCATGGACAATAGAATCATAAATTTCCTCTAAGAGTTCCTTTGGGGCACCCTCTTCAGCGTCACTTCCAGAGTTCATACGTACAAAATCAGACTTTGACATTTTGGACGAAACCATCGGATTATGTGCATCAGTATTCAACATTATAACAGCATATGCCAGAACATATGCAGTGTCTGCATTCTTGAAAAGTTCCGGATTGTCGCCACAATAACTGCAAAAAATTCAACAGTCCTTAACAAGACCATTACTCTAAAGAAATGGAACTAGCCTAATGAATAATCACATGGCGTAGTTGTCAAGTAACAAAAAAATTGGAATGATATATCACGAAAAAAGAGAACATTGATAAAAAAATGTAATGCACAATGATATATAGTGAGTTCATAAAATAAACTAGTACCGTTCAGCAAACTTTTCCATGATGCGATCAATTTTCTGAGCTTCTCCTGGAAGTCGGAACCCCCTCAGGAATTCACGAATTGCAGAAACAAACTTTAATCCAGAAAACTTCATGGACTCGACATAAGCGTGCATTACAGCTATTGGAAACTCTTCATGCTGGCCCAAGTATTCCCCAATCATTGTCTGCAAATTATGATAAGGTTAATCTCTGTTTTTCTTCAAAGAAGGGCACAAAGTAGTATATGCCACAAAGGGCTACCTTATCTAAGTTGGGAGTGCTTCTGATGAATTGGGCAACTGAGACAGCAGTGTTCTCCACTAGTTTATTTGATAACAAGAACTCTATGCCCTTTCCTGGTTTCCGATTGAACTGCAGGACAAAAAGGACATGTGATCTAGGAATAGCTAGCTGATAATGAAAACTGAACTCAGGACATCAACGAACTTTTTTTTTACTACCGAGAAGAATTTCAAGTAAATCAGAAAAACTTATATCCAGTCATATAGCTATGGTATCAACAATTAAAACAGTGTAACAACTGAAATCCTTCAGACCTCAGCGATAGCCATCTCCATTGTTGATTTATGGGCTTTCACCTTCTCAAACTGCCCAGGACCATCTTCTCTTTTTGATCCGTTAACATAACCGGGATCCCCAGTTGACACCTCTTCAAGTGACTCAGCTGTTCTGCTACCAAACTTTTCAGATTCTCTGTGCATTTTCTCCCAGTCAACAAGTGATTTTAGCACATTGACAAGGCACTACGAGATAAATATAATGACTATATCAGAAAACAATATAAATCATAAAAGGAACAAAATACCCTGAAATAGTTACCATACAATTTTTCGTGGAATGTTCATGTAAAAATACCTGGAGAGATGAAGCTTTAACAGATGCTGTTTGTGATCCAGAAACGGTACTTGGATCTGAATGTAGGGTCCCTTGTGCTATTCTTGAAAGAGCATTAACCTTTTTTGGGAAATCAAAATGGATATATAGTAGACGTAATCAAAGCATAGAAGCGGCAAAACTACAAAATAAAGCAATGATCATTTGAAAGGTTACCATGCGTTCAAATAGATTTGGAGAGTGGAGATCGCAATCATAATTGAGAAATATATCAGAAAGCATCTGAGGCTCCTTGCACACTTTTTCAAGCATCCTGCAAGAAAAAAATTAAATAGAAAAATATTCAGTTGAAATAAATAAGAACCTTGAGATTATCAGAAAAGACAGAAAATTCAACCATAAGATGGACGAGGTCAAGGATTGGATTACCGAAGAACACTCGTACGCTGATTAAGAGGGCTATCAGTGCTGTCCAAGAATCTCAGAATTATCAAGGGAAAGAAGACTCCAATTTCTCCCTGAAAATAAATTATAACATCAGTGACAGATGGCTATCCACATGGAGCTGTACAATTTAACATTCTCTGGGAGTACTCAGGATTCACAAGGCACAAACCTTGAGACTTTCCCTAAACCGCATCAACAAAACAGCAAAAATCGCCGTTCCACTCTGTCAGATGAGGAAGCAACATAGGAAGCACCAAATGAATACTTATAAGATACTCACTAAACCTCGAAAATTGAAAAGGAAAATCATAACCAGTTGTCTAATTACAACATAAAAAGGAAGTACATATGATGACCTGAAATACGGCCGGGGAAGGGGAAACTGAAGCTCGCAGTAGAGCATATGATAAATACGCTTTTACAGAATCAATAAAGTGAAAGTTCTTTGTAAATGAGTGGCTAACTCCTTCCAATAAACCCTGCATAGTGAAATTTTACGAAATGTCATACGATATGTGAGTCACTAAAGATGCATGCCTAGGATAAAGGCATTAACATGGAACAAGCAAACATATTAACTTGAACAAATCATTCATGAAATCTGAATGCTACCATCATCTCGAAACATACAAAAGCGATCTTATCTTCTCTGCTGAAAGAAGCAGAATAAATGGAAGAATGTCAAGTGAACCTGAAGAAGCTCGAGTGACAGAAGTCTAGTCTTTGTGGTAACTTCATCAGTCTCCTCCTTCATTCCCATCTATAAACATGTACACAACTGTTACTGCCTAAAGACCATAACATGGTGGCAATCCATGATGAGAAGGAAGTTACCTTGCAAAGGGTTCGAAATAGAAGTAGAGCATCACGTTGCGCTACACTCATGCCCTCAAGATCAATTCCCCTGAGAGAAAAGTCAACTATTAAATCTCCAAATTACCATGGACATTAGAGATCATGCATCCAGGATAGGATATTGATTTGAAACAACATTTATTCAGCATTTTTTCAATACCGGACTATCTTTTTCCCATCCTCAAGATTTACAGCCTTATCCAGAACAGCCTCCAATCCCTAAAAAAAAGAAGAAAATTTAGCATCGGATCTGAAACATGTTGAGACCATTGGATGTGACATTAATTGCCAATATTAATCAAAAGCAACCACCTTAATATCAGCACCACCAGCAAGAGTTTGAAGTTCTTCAACAGATGCTAGTGACGCATCATTTCCCTGATTCATGGATAGTGCATCTCCAAGAGTGATTTTTTTCTCTTCTTGGACATCTATTGAAATTTCACCATCATCTGCTTTTGTGGAACTACTTGAATTAGAATCCACCTGTGTAGATCCAGGAGATATATCTGGAGCCTAAACACCAGACATCAATCGTCTCAAAATTGAAGAGTTACAAATCGTTCATCTCTTACTTGAAGGAAAAACCTTCCACATAATATGTGTGCTTTACCTGATCAGATTCCATTCTCCTGAAAACTATGCTGATCATTTGCGTCAACATTGCCCTTGAAGTTGCTTGATTTACGTGGTTCTTACTGCAACCACCAAATCAAATGTCACGAGAAATTTTCCAAGCCTAACTTAAAAATAAGAAGAAAAGAGAGAGAGAGAGAGAGAGAGAGAGAGAGAGAGAGAGAGAGAGAGAGAGAGAGATACCTGTTAAGGGCGATATTATAGCATATCCTTAAGACTCCGAGCAAAGGCTCTCCATGAACTATATTAGAAATAAGATTTTCATAATAGCAACACAATGATTCAAGTCATATATGTAGTTTAATTTCACCAAACTAGAACAAGTCATAAACCCTAAATTTGGGAATCAACCAATCATAGGCACCTTTACTTGACCCAAAAAGGAAGAAATAAGAAACATCCAAAATTCCAACAGAACCATGCTCGGCATAAAATTTCAATTGCTGTCAAAATATGAAAGGCACGGAATGGGTAACATCCCTACCTATATTAAGAGATCTATAATCACCAACATTGAAATTAAGGCAAGAAAAATTAAAGTTCTGATCAGCGGTCAAAAGTTTCCTGTCAATATGAATCACAGGCATTGTCAAACGTGCAAAATTTATACATGAGGAAATAATTTCAGAAGCACGAAAAGGAACTGGACAGCAAGGAAGGCATCTCACAACATTTCATCAACAGGGCCATTTCTTACAGATCAAGTGAGCCAGACAAAAAAACCAGCTGTCAAGACAACAAGGGCTCAAGTCTTATGCTGAACCTCGGGTTCAAGTTTTAGCAGTGTTGTGAGAGAACACATTACTAATATTGCCAGATCAGAATTTGGCTACATACTAAATTGCTTTCATCAACCTTTATTTTCCTTTCTGTCTTCCAGAACTTTCTTGGTACCAACAACTGTAAATAAACCTTTTGTGTTATTAGTAGTGAACTTTTAGCCTTCGAACAGAAACAGTGATCCCATCCCTTTAAATTATCAATTCAACCTGTAGTAGGATGGTATACACCTCTCTACATAGGACGAGAAAGACAAAGGGAAAAGGAGAATAGTGTTGCTTCTTCAATTTTGAATAAACACAATTTAGGCCCCTCAAGAAAAACCTATGCTGGTAGCAAGAATTCTAAAATACATGAATAATAACTTCCTAGTCACAGACAGCCAACTCTGTGCCAAAAAAAAATATTCCAAGTATACCTCTGAACTTTGCAGATGCCACTGCAGTAAGAAGCACCTTCAAAACCTGCAAAATAGTACTGAAGGTACTCCTAATTGTCAGCAATATATATGCATACATATAATCCCCACAAAATAAACGAAAAATAAATTTCCTACCTGTCTGGAGAAGAATTATCAACAGAATTACAGATCATGTTGAGAATATCCGTGAACAATTGAGAATTTTTACCACCCTCCAGTCCAGGATCACCCTCCAGGTGATCATATGCAATGAGTTTCTGAGTGAAATATCACGTCAGAAAGTAATGGTTTATAGCAGAAATAAAAATTAATGCGAACCAGAGCCCAGAGAGTTTTTGCTCTTCAACTGTAATAATTTTATAATATCTTACAAAAGAATCCATTGGATCAGAGGACAGAAAGAGAATTAGACATAAAGATAAAGCAGCCCCAATTTTCGCCCTTCACCATTGCAGTGAAACAGACACCACAGAAAAGACAAAAGAAAAAACCGAACTCTATGTTTTATCCATGCTCAAATTCAGGCTGATATCATCCATGACAAGTACAGCAATTTCGAATCGTGTAACTAAGGACCATTAAATCAAGATCAGAATTCGAATGAGTCAAACCCAGCCAATACACTACCAAACGTTGCAATCACGTCCAAGGGTCCAATATCAGGGCCAAGATGACCAGAACGGACAATTCTACTAGACAATACCTTTATTTTTTATAGGGTAATCGCAGCCAAATGTCAAGTGAAGTCAGCCAATTAATGCACTAGAGGTTTGCCAATAGCAGATCTCCTAACCCAAAACCGTAACTACAAAGAGAATTTTGATCCCCATGTTTGGGTTTGCAACCTTTCACGAAGCGAAATCACAGAGTATACCCGAGATTATGTATATAATCAGATAGAGGAAAAAGTAATCCTAAAACTCAGATATAAATACGGTACAGTACACTATTCACCTCATAGTACATTTTCAATTATTCAGGACATAAGGCGTCACAAATTGTTAAAGCGTAGGACAGTTAATAACTCACTGTTCCAATCTCAATGCGAGAAGCATTGCTCATGTGACATCAATGTTTGAAAGAGTTGTTGAGCCCAAATAACAAGTGAAGATAATTTCATAATCATGTTGTTTCACACAACAAATAAATTTATAAATAATGTGATAATCTCTAAGTATAAGAAAAACAATAAAGAATCAAATTCATCAAAGTCACTAATTGAATGCACCGCTATACTACAGAAATATTCAAATAAAATAACTGTTTGCTTGAGAAGAAACCATACATGAAGGCAATCCAACGCAGACTCTACAAGCTTGATGTTCTTCGTCTCAAAAGCAAGCCGCAGTGGATGGAACACAAGCTCGGCTTGAACCCCTTCCAATGCATGTCCGGCAGAAGCCAATACCGTTGTGATAGCCTCACTGTTTCTCACAGAATTAGTGCTATAATCAGCCTTTTCATCACCAGTTGAAACAGGCTTTAAGTCATCTGGATTAGTTCCCTCATTTGATACATCAGCCCCACCAGCACTATTAGTGCCTTGAGGATGCAGGCTGCTGGAAATGAAAAAATAAGAAGCTCTTTTAAATTTCCATCCATGATAAATAGAGAAAATATATAAATGTACCAGTACTTAGTCAAAGATTTAACTTAGGTTCAAGCATAGAGTGATAATGAGGGACTGATGGATCAGAACGCAACAGAGATACAGTGGAGTCGAGGTCTTCCACGTTTCTTTGGTATCTAACTCCAACTCTCAGAAAGTATGACTTCAACTTCATTTTTTATCATAAATAAGCCACTGAGGGAAGTTGTGACGGAATATGTATAAATAGATGTCTGCACATCAAATCAAACCTTTGACTTGAGCAGAAATGTGAGCAAGATCTACTATCATACTTTCTCACAAAATCGTATGTACTCATCTTATCCTAATAAAATTCACATTTAGAAAAAAGAGAGGAAGAGAGAGAGAGAGAGAGAGAAACTTGGGACCATTTCGAGCAATATCTTGATCAAAAAATAGTTCTGGACAACCGATAGTAAATATGTCTTGAGGAAAAGACAGCTATGGTAACTATGGTAGGACGCATGGAAACCTCTCATCAGCAGGCGTGACTCCTGCATCTAGATTCTCGCCAGAAAGAGGCTGTTCGTCGGTCACCTTTGTAGAATCTGCATATGAAAGAATAAAACAACAACAACAACAATAAAGTCATCTAGGGAAAAAAAAATGCATGAGACAAAAGCTTATGCTGGTGATGTAGGGACATGGTAAAGAGAACGATATTTACTGTCATTAATGTATCAGGAGAAAAATGATGTCAGCGAATGGTGTGGTCAAAGAAAAACAAAAGATGAATGTATCATTAGAAAAAAGACAATATTTGGCTGATTACGACATGCCAGCATGAAAGAGTGAATCCCGGAAGAATGAATTTCTCCTGTTCTTAGAAAAGATGAGCAAGGTAGCCTATTCCACTGAGTTTGACTTAACTACGATTAAAGCCAGATACTCACACAACAAGTTAGAAACGGAAAAAGAGAGCGAACCATACTCTGCTCTTGAGTGCCTGAAAAAGTATTGAGGAGACTTGAAATAAGGATAAGGAGAAAAGTGATACTCACAATGAAGCACTTATTCATTAACCAGGTGCATGGGTTGTCTGGCAATGAGCCTTCATAATCAAGGTCAGCGCAACCAATTTCAAGAGAATTACGAGCAGTTCCATCCTAAGGGGACGACAATAATGGCATTCATCCATTGTTTATTTTTGGTTAGTTCCCCCAGCAGTCCAAGTAAATTGATTTTTACCCAGGTTTCATAGGCTCCCTCTTTGCCCATCCTTCAGGAAGAAATTTTTAATCTCTCTTCCCTCCAATTCTCAAAAGTCATGATTGACTTGGCATTTCCAATCAGAAATAAAGTAGAACAACAAATTTATTGGCTTCAAGATGCCCCTTCACACAACCAAGACTATGGGGATAGCATACGAACAAATACCTCGTCAAGCACATTTTTTGCAGTAGTTGCTTCTCACAGTCATGGCCCACAGTGCATGCCCCTCAAGGACTCCATAATCTTTTAACCACAGTTTTCAATCCTAATATATTTCCTTTGGTCTTTCTTGGTCCTATCTTTGCATATGCTTTATCCAATGCCAACAAGCACACTCACTTTTACTAAACAGAAACTTGTTTCCAAGAGGAAAATTTTCCAATTTCGATTTTTACAATTTAAGGAATATTGGGAACTCATAAATAAATAACTGCTGGAACCTATGCAATGATCTCCCCTCCTAATATCAATGATCTTAATTCCCACCCTTCTAGTTCAAATTCACTAATTTTGTACCAATTTTAGAGTCTCCATTTTTTATCAGAAAGTCTCTCCAAAAAACCCGAAAGTCTCTCCTAAATTCCCCAGGATATTCACAGAGAGATGACAAATTAATGCTATAAAGAAATCCTTGGTAAACATAGCATGTGGAGATTGGGTGGGCAGTTATCCGGATAGCGACCACTTTTCATAAAAACTATCTGAGCTTAGCAATGTGACATGTTAACCGATGGTTTCAGGGAAATTTAGCAAGTCAAAAAGCAGGATGTTTTTATACATTGGAAAGATGGTTCTACTTGCCTCTCTAGCTACTTCATAAGATTATGCCATTTGCTAAGACAGTGAAGAAGAGTGGGATGAACCATTAAATTAAAACTGGGATTACCCACGAAATATTACACTAGAGCGGTTTATGAATGTCTACGTAATAAACTTGATTTTACCTAAGATGATGAAAACGTAACCTCACAACCATTAATGTGTTGAAGAGACAGTTTCTTATTTTGTGCCAAACGTGAGTGAGGAGGGGTTCCAATCCCCGACAGTGTTTCATAGCAACATGCTCTAATCCTCTGAGCTACATGCCCACGCAGAAAGAAAAAACAATTCAAGAACAAGAAGGACGCAGGTTTTGTAGCCCTTTGAATGTGTTCATCGAACACAGTCTAAGATTCATATTTGTCCTCTGAAAGAATGAAATCTAACAGGAAAATAGAAATATTTCCAGTAGTTTTCGTAGATGGGATTAAATGATTCATCCAGAATGGATACAACTCTACTGTTCCAGACTGGGAGGACTGAAAATAATTATCACAGATACCGCAATCATGACAAGTCTAAACATCTGGATGCTAAAACTAATATAAGTTTTTGTTGATGCCCTTTGTGCAAAAATTCAAGATGATACTTACAAGATTTTATCACTATGCAACAAAATTAATTCTTGCCAATTTAATTTCAAATGGCAAGCCCAAACCAAACACCCACGCCCAACAAGAAGGAAAAGTAGAAAATGAGATCAAAGTAAAACCGTCACCATTAAGGTAGTGGATCAAAATTTTATCTCAGTTAATACTTTAAACGAGGCCTCTTACAGAGAAATGTTACTGAATGGACTCGAACTAGAATTGGGATAAAAATTATAAATTTCATTACAGTTGCATGCATTGAATAATGTGCTATCCAGAAGAAAACTCCAATTTCGACATAACTCCAAATCTGGATTCTTGTAAAACTGAATGCAAAATAAAGCCTGTCAGTTAATTACCATCCATTACAAAACTTAATTGGACAATAACTCAAAAAACTCCATTGAGTGCCTTTTTTAACCTCTATTATTTATCAGTAGAAGATTGAAATGAAGACAACTCACATAGCTTTATCATGGAGTGCTACAAGTTGATCCAATAGTTTTCATGTAAATATACTAGTACTCATCCTGGCTCTTCCTATCTCAGGAATTATGTATTAATTTAAAAAATATGAAATACGGATGATATTTTAACCTTGGACCACAAATTCTGCAGTTTGATTATATTCAGATGAGATTCGGCCAGTCAATTATTCGTGGATAACTTTGAGCCTATAAGATCAAGATGAAGATTAAGCAGGAAATCTCCACGAGCTCTATGGCAGTCAGCCAAAAAGAGTTTGCTGTTAAAAACCCACTACTGAAAACAGAAAAACGGTCTACAGTACAGTATAAGGCATATAAAAGTTAAGAAAATAAGAGAATGGAAATAGGTACATGCTGGGGTCATTTCCAACTATCAAATCCCAAACAGAATTAATCACAAGGAACAAAAAAAAAAAAAACCATCACAGGATATATGTCATCAATGACACTTGTGACGTGCTGTTAACAAAAACCACTTTAAGAAGTCAAGTTGGAAAAATTCCATACTCATGCTACTGTGGTCACCAACCAAGGCTGTTAAACCAGCTATCATATCAGAATTCACCAGCTCATGATAGCATTGAAATCCAGAATCAGTAGGAACAGCAAATCTCAGATGATTTCAACTGAATTATGCATCTTTGTTTTATTTAAGTTTTTCCTGGACACAATCAGCTAAGATCGCGTTTCTTCAAGCATGAAATAATTCAGATCTAAACTATATGACTTATATATTAGCCAATGCCAAGGTACATTTACTTATTTCGAATCAAACAAGGATACCTTCTAAGTATGCCAGACCTGAATCTCGCACATACCTTTTCTCATTAGTCTTTGTGCAATAGTCTTCATGCTTCAGAAAAGTTTCAATTGTGCCAACAGATAGAAAAATTGTTTCTTTCTGGTTTTATAACTGATATTTCGTCGTTTTTGTGTCAGCAAGTTTTCCAAACAAATTCATTTTTCCAGAGGTGAAGAACCTAATCCTTTTCATGAGCGACTCCAGTCTTATAGCAGTTTTTTGCTACAACTGTCTATTTTTTCTCCAAAGCGGGTAAAAATTTATGGTTAAATGATATACACCAAACTAGAGCAAGGGAGAAAACGGGGGGAAGGAAGATTTTCCAGCATGGAATCTTTTTAGTTTATATGACCTCGTTTGAACAATGCGATGTCATATGAGACATCTCATATCACAATCAAAAAGAGCTTCAAAATATTTATCCACGCTGGAAAAATACCATAACCTTATGTATTAGCCGCAACGTAGATGATATATTATCCAGATATCAACGTCCTCTAAGGATTATTACAAGGAGTCTCAGCTACAACTTATCGCTGATCCATTGAAGTCAGCATTGGTCAGTAGAACATATCCTTTACTCAAAGAAAAGAGTTGAAAATAATATATAAGTTATTTAGACGTCACAAATGAAAAAAGGATGAGATGGACAACAAACTGAGTGATAGCAAGAGTTCTCGTCCTCTAGTTTTTTCCAATTACTTTTCACTCCTGATACCATAGAGCAGATGACGTTACGATAAAACAACCAATGCCTGGGTATTGTGTACCTACCAAACTCGAGAAAGAAATTATCTAGTTTTTCATAGAATTAGAGCGGAGTGAGATTAGATCCCTTATCAATCAAGAGGAAAGCCATTAGGAAAATTGCAACGAGACTTTTTGCCAAATTTCTAGTCTGATGGTTTGTCCGCTTAGAGTACGATTGTCAGAAATAAAGAAATACCCCAGCATCGCTTATCAATCTAGTCTGATGGCAATAGGTACATGCTCGTCTTAACACATGATCTTTAAGACAGGCAAAGTGGACCCCGTGATCCTCCCATTTCAGCAAGGAGGAAGAACAGCCCACATTTCCCCGTGATCCTCCTATTGCAGAAAGGAGGAATATCCATGGCACCTGTCGAATGGGAAAGAAACCCAAATTCAAACAGGAAGAAATCAAAGAGATCGTCAGAACCAACCTAAGAACGTCTGGATAGCCTTCTGCAGCGCCCCATACTTCTTCCCCCCGCAATCCTTGAGCATGGACTCGAAGGAGCGCGTAACGAAGCCCCCCGCAGCGCCGGCCATGGCGGGCGCCGAGTCTGGAGACCGACTCCTCCCCGAGATCCACCCACCCCAGTCAACTCTGTGCCTCCCTTCGCCCCAGCCTGCACCTACTGGACACGTGAAGAGATTCAGCAAAACTGAAACCCGTCACCAGCGAAGTAGATCTATCGGAAGGAAGGTAGAGAAATGACGAGGAGATGAATGAAGCACAACCAACCGGAGGCGAAGTGGGAGACGACCGGACCGCCGGATCGGAGGAACCCTCCCTGCCAGATCTGCCCCTGGAGCAGTGGTTGCTGATACGTGATCTAACGAGGGAGCGACCGTGAGATATCAGACTCACAGTCGAGAAGATGAAAAACGGGGAGGACGACCGAGTTCCAACTCGCTCAAGAAAGTGGGCCTTAATGGGCCGTAATAGGCCTTAATGGGCCTTGCTTTAAGAACCACTCGTGTTCCCCCTCCCGACCCGGCAGTTAACCGATTCTCGTTGGGAAGTGAATGAATGATAACTAACTTGCTTCTCACAGAAACTGTCGGCAGAAAAATTCCGTGTTTGAAACAGCGATAGAGATTCTGCAGGATTTCCCTTGCCAAACAATCAGAACACGGTTCTGGAAATTTCTCGAATCAGATCACAGAAGCCACATCACATTCAACATCCGCCGCCGCCGGCCTAAGACAAGGGGGACACACACTGACCACAGACACAGACAGATATGGCGGCACAGGGGCGCCGGGATGGCGGAGATTCTCGGCACAAAACAGGGAGACTTGTGCCTAGAGGAGCTTCTTGGCTCCCTTTGGCGGAGGAGTCGCCGCCGGACAAGGGTTCTATAGATAGAGCGCCGCCGGAGTGGAGGCCTCGCTGCCGACACCGCTGTCAGGGCTGTTCATGGCCTTCATGGGAGACTGCAGGGCCTTGCTCACCAACCTGCAATTTTCAGTGGATGGAAGGGGCCACCTGTTAGTTTTACAGAAGCTGGAAAGTAATAAGACAAGCCTGCATAATTGGTGGGGTCAATCGTCGGTTCTCCTCTGAACCAGAGGACGGGGGGGATTGGAGCTGAACCACGCGAGAGAAATTCATGGATTGATCTTAAAAAAGAAATATATATGCAGTGATTGCCAGAGAAAGAATGATTTTCTTGGACCAGAGAATATGGGTTTCTCATCTTATCAAGGGAAGCGCATTTTTTTTCTTCATAAAGAAAATTGTTGCTATCATCCTATCCAACGAACACTTCGAGAAGAGTGCAGGAGATAAGATGAGGTCAAGCGCAGATCCGGTCGTCATCAAGAAGCTCCGTCGGATAATGAACGGGTTTCTTCCTCTGGTATTCCTCTCGAGAAGGGAGGGTCCCTCAGTCTCCTCAGTCTACCCCCCCTCACCCAGCTCTAAGAAAGGTCGGCGTTATCGTGTTCCTTCTAAACCATAAAAGATGGAGTGAGGAGGGCTAGGAGAAAAGCATTTTACCTGTCACGGCGCTTCTCCAGGAACCGCTGAAGGGAGTTCCTTCTCGCGAGGGGAAGCTCTGAAAGGAAGCGGGAGAGATTAAATCCATGCGCCAGAAGGTGGGAGAGCAAGCTCGGTTTTCACATCAGGCGGCGGTTGTCACCTGCTGACAGATTGCAGAGGGAGCTGGCGGCGCCGGGGAGCAGCAGCTGGGCCTGTGGAGCTCCAGATGCTTCACCCATAGCCCCTGAGGAGCTGTGCAGGGACGGCGACCTAGTCAGCACCGGCGACGCCGCCGGGGGGGGGCTGGCGGCAACTGTTGGGCAACGAGAGGCGGCAGGGTAAGCCGGACGCGGGCCCTTGACGCTCTTCGGACTGGAAGAGGAGGCGGCCGTGCTGGTGGACATGGATACCGTCGCAGCGGCAGCCGCAGAGGCGGCGGCCGCGATGAGCATGATTGCCTGGGCCTGCCACCAGAGAACAATCAAACACAGCTTTCCTGAAACAAGATGGACATACCCTAGAAAACCTCCCATGGCCAGGGCTACAACCTTCTCGGGGGGGACATCATCGTAGACGCAGACGTTGCCGTTGTAGAAGATCGTCAGCTGCGAGATCTTGCTGGCCACGAGGATTGACGCGGCGGCGGCGGCAGGCAATCTCAGGAAAAACACAAATAAGTCAATATGGATTCTACTTTCCGCAATACGAAGAGATGAAACAGACTCCTCCTCCTCCTCCTCCTCCTCCTCCTTTCCCTCACACACACACACACACATTCAACGGAAGCGTGCTTTCTGATTCCACAGCTCTGGCTCATCAATTTCATCCCATATCCCAGGAATCAATCCAACACAAGAGGAGGGAACGCGGGCGGGAATCTACCTGGTCCTCTTCGCAGCGGCGAGGCTCGCGTTCTTGGACGCCTCGTCCTCCGCCTCGTCCTGAGCCTCCCGCTCACGCCCCCTCTTCCGGCTGCAGCGATCCTCCTCGCTCCTCTCCACCCGCTCCGCCATCGCCGTACTCTCCTTCCTCCCCCGTTCGAGAACCCTTTCCCCTTTCCGCACGAAATCAAAAGCTAACCAGGTCGAGTGACCTTCCCTCTCTTCCACCCTTTCCTTTTTACCACCAAAAATTGAGAGGAATTCGAAATCCTCTATACCACCAACATTTATCTAAATAATTAATTAAATAAAAAGGACTCTACTGATACCTGAATCTTATTTATTCACGAAAAACAACGGTACTTATTTTTCAAATAATATTTTTTAAACAAATAACGAGATAAATGAGTCCAGATGGAACGTAGACCGAGGGAAGAGACCGGTTGTCAGTAGCTCCCTTTGATCGAGCGCATCCGAGGACGTCGGGCCCCACTGATAAATGCACGTGTTCAAAAGCTGATGAGGACGCCGAATGCCGAGAATCACGTTCCTAAAAAACGCAAGCCGACAAGTCTGCCTTCTGGACATCAGTAACTCAGATCGTCAGGACATGTGACAAGTTAAGACACGTGTTGCTTTGGGTTTCGTGACTCATGATTACATTGACACGTCTTCCGGGTATTCTTATGCCGTAAATGAAATCAATAGCGAATATTAATTATTCAATCTGTCTCATCGACGGGGCCTCGTCTCTGTTTACAGGGGGGAGGGGACCACTACATTATCGGCCTTTTTTCATGGGCCTGCCGAATTCATTCCCCTTGGCCGTTGAATTAGTTTAATTATTTGTCTATTTAAATAGCAGAAAAGTGGGCCTGGGTTATAATGGGCCGAAGGTATAATGGTCTTATATGGCGATCTGGGGCCCAATATTTGAAATGGGGGACCGAGGGGATCCGAGAGCAGGATCCGAGTTGAGAGGCGACGGAGCTGGGAGCAGATCTGACGAGGGCGCTGGGGGCCGGGAAGCGGACGACCACCGCGGCGGCGGCGCTGCGGCGGCTATGGACGTCTCCGTGCTGAGCGTCACCACGACGCTTCTCATCGGCGCCGGATGCTTCGCCATCGGCTATCTCTTCGCCGGTTCCAGCGCGGACGTCCAGAAGCACGGCGGCGCCGCCGGGAGTTGCAGTCGCTTCGTCTCCTGGGTGAGGTCGGCTGGTAAGAGGAGCAGGATGCTTGAGGTGGAGCCCACTGTTTCCTCTCCACTGGAGGAGGCTGAGGTGCCCGATGATGACGACGGCGAGGAAGAGGAGGATGTCGGGCACCAGAGGCGGCAGCGGCAGACGAGGAATAGACTGAAAGTGATCCACTCAAAGCCCGCTCCTCATGAGATAGAAAACCTCGCGGACATACTCGAGGATTTCAAGATGGTAAATCATATGTGGAAGCGATAGAATTCTTTCTTACGTTTATTTTGCATCGCGTGTTCCATCTCTTTCATAGGTAGTGATGTTCCGGGCGTTGTTGCATTTAAGGCGGGAAAATGGACGATGGTGAATTCTTGATTTGCTTTGTTCATTCTCCCCCTTCTTTTTCATAGCCTCGAGCTTACAGACTGCTTTCCATGGTGTTCCTATTTGCAGGTGCTGGTGGTTAGGAATGATTTGAAGATGGGGAAGGGGAAGATCGCCGCACAATGTAGGTGGGTTGTCGGTATCCCGTTCATGTTTATGCTTCACTGCCTACATTTTTCAGCCATACAGATGGGCTTAAAGCTTTTTCTTACAGAAAATTCCCACTTTTTGTGACGAAACGCTCAATCACCGCGAAGGACCGTAGTAATGATGGAACACTGTTATACATGAACGTGCCCCAATCTATAAGCGATCTTGTCAATACTTAGTGTGTGTAGGTTACTTCAGTTATGAAGTATTGTGTTCCCCCTTCTATAGAACTACCTATTTTCATTGACACATCATCATAGTGCCGCCATGGAAAGAACACTAAGTATGGTTTTTTTTAAAAAAAAAATTATAATTATTATTATTATTTATTTAAAATTTCGGAGATAGCCTAATCAGTTAGTAGATAAAATATGGGAGCGGAAGATATCCGTGAGCCACTCTTTATCATCTCAGTCTCTTCAGTGGCCTTTGGCCTGGAGACACAAACTTAGATCATCAAGGATCAGAATTTTGGCCTACCAACCCATGGGCCATGGGTGATTGCCATGTACGCCAAAAAATACTCGTGCTTTCAGATTCAAAAATAAAATAAAACTCTAAAAGGTAACTTCACATGTGACCCATTTCTTGACGGTAGAATTTCCATGTTTTCAAAAAATAAATATTTTGAAGATCCTTGTTTTCTTCGCTTCCCTCCTAGTGGTGAGATTAAATCATTCTTCAATTTTTTTCAAAGGTCTATTCAGAATGAACTTTGGGAATTGTTGAAGGTCAAGTTCTGACGATTCAACCACTTAATTGGTCCTAATTCTTATTCCATCATTCTAGGATAATAAATCTTGCAAGATTCTGCAAGAATTGTGACTTGCCTTTTCTCCTAGCCAAGCATCTTGTGAGAATTGTAGAAAAAAAAAATGGCTTGTTTTTATCTACTTTTTTCTTCTGCCGAGCATTGTCCTTATCCACCTTGTAATATTTTCGGCTTCTTATAGTTATTAGTAATAGTATTAAAATACCTTCAAAAAGGAATGGTCGCCCTATATAGCTGAGCAGGCTTATGGGAAAATTCTTTTCTGAAAAATTTGGTGATTATTACCTACTCAATGACAAAGGGGGAAAAGGAATCAATATGTGTAGTATCGAGAGGGTGCAAGTGAAAAAGTTAAATAAATAAAAAAACATGTCTATCAGCCTACAGCAGTGTGTGCTCTCCCCCTTGCACATTAAATTTTCTGGTGGAATTGCCTGCCTCAATTCCCTTGGATGGATCCTTACCGTACACAATTGTTGAAACAAGAAAGGGATGAGAGCTTCTATGCTTCTCTGGTATCAACAATGGGATTTATCTCCTCTGAGGCCTCAATTCTACTATGGATCTTGATCAGTTTTTTATATTTCTACAACCCTTCAGTTGTCATTCTTCAAATCTTCACTAGTGAGAGAAAAGCAGAAATTATCATTTTCTCCCCCTACTGCTATGTCCAAGATTATTTGGACACCGATGTATACATATTTTTTAGGCATAAAATATTACGAAATTCGTGGCAAAGCATGTGTACACATTTTGCGATGCTATTATTAAACTGTTTCGATGTTGCCTATGGTTTATTTTTTGTATAGGAGGTTTTTCTGGAGGAACTTACTTCCTTGTCCTTCTGATTACGTAATGTGGCACAAAAGCAGCTACTTTGCCTTATTTAACCTTTCAGCATTCCCTGAATTCTTCATATTTCGATTTCCTCTTTGGTTTCAGCCACGCAACTTTGGGTTTATACAAGAAACTCCATCACAGGGCACCTAAAGCATTGAGAAGGTAACTTTCTTCTTTTCTTTTTCCTCTGCGCAACATGTATGGGGTTTAATCTTCTCGTACCTTATGACCAGAAAATGCTTGTCGAATGTGATGACTAATGTTTTCATGACATCTTCCCTTTCTGGCAGGTGGGAAATGTGTGGGCAGGTTAAGGTTGTCTTGAAAAGCGAGAGCGAAGAAGATTTGCTGGTTTTACAAGTATGAGATTCATTGAGAATGGCAGATCCAATTTTTTTCGGTGTTATTTGATGATGATAATTGTTTGCACTTCACGATAAGCAAATATAAAACTCTCCCTCTATATTTAAATGTTTACCTGTGGAAGATGGTCTGCTAATTTTTAAAGGCCTTTTTCCAAGTTGGTGTCACAATTAAGTCAAATGATCAGCCGTTTTCTCCGAAATGTGTGTCAGTGGTGTCTCCATTTGCCATCACATTCGGGAGTCTCCTCAGAGGATACCTTGGAAATATGTTTTCTCACCTCCAAGTGCAGAGCACTTCCCAAATACTTGTCAGAAATGTGTTCCGCAATTTTTCCTTTTGAAGTGGTTGAGATGCAAGGAGAGAGAACCTGATAAACTGCTGCTGGCCAATGGTTTCATCAGTAACTGGGACTGATACTGATTGGTAACTTAGCTAAGCAAATAGGAGCATAAATTTTACTTAATTCACACGACATTAATGATATCAATTCCTTGCTTTCTTATTATCTTCTTCGATGCCTTGTAATGTTTTATATGGCATCAACTTACTTTACTCTTCTTTTTTTTCGACAGGCAAGAGCCAAGTCACTGAAACTGCCAACCCATATTACTATAGATGCTGGAAGGACACAGATTGCACCAAGTGGGTTGTTTCAGATTTTTTCCGTTCTAAATTTCACTGAAATGACTAGTTATTATGTATTTACGTGGCCCACTGGCTCCTGATTGGCCTACCCTTGTATGAGTCTAGAGTAGTTCTTCCCTCTCTTTTGATGTTTGTGAGAGAGACTCACATTTTTGCTTTCTCTCTCTTAAAAAAAATATATATAATGTTAGAAGTGTTGTGCTATGATATATTTTTGTAATGTAGCGAGAGGCTGACTTTTCATGAAACATCCTTTTCAGCTTTGATGAATTCAAAGGTCGTCCTGTTACTGACTAGTACTTTCTCTTTCCACAGATTCGAGAACAGTGATGGCTATTCTCGGTAAGCATCTAATTCACATTAGAATAATATCAAACTAATGTTGTCAGAATTTCTTGGCTTGATTGGAAATATTAGGCGGTGGTACCAATCAATAAACTTGTTAATTTATTATATTTTAGTGATGTACCATGTCATTACCTCCTAGATGTCCATGAAATATCTAGGAATGAGAATCTTTCAATCAGGCCAAATTTATAAAATTGCAAGCCCTACCCTCCCCCAAGGACTCTCCCACCAGTAGCTAATATTGTCAACTAGGTGGATCTCTGGGTGTAGGAGGTGATTTAGGAGGCTGCTGCTCATGGATGGACTCTCTGCTCTTTCCATCTATATGTACAATGATGGACCCACAGAGAGTCGTTAACAAAGTCAATGGTTTTATTTTTCCACGATCTTGGGAATTTCTCATTTTATCATATTTCTAGCTCAAGTTCCCTTATACTATGTTGTGTTCTTTAACAGGTCCTGCCGACATGGTCAACGATGTTACTGGTGGGCTGAAGCTTTTGTAGCCAGAATAGACAGATGCTGTCTGCAAGCTACTGGTAGAACTCAAGCTTCATCTCCTTTCTGTCACTATCTCTTGTTGTTAGTATGAATGGATTTCTTAGAAGGGAGATGGCACAGCTCTTGCTTGGAAGAATAGGGTCGGTATGTTCATGGCCCCTGGTTGCTCAATTACTTGGCTACAGAGACTCAAGAGAGTGGATCACGTAGGGAAAGAACTGGCTGCTAATTATTGGAGTGTGCCCAAAATAGTAACTTAAGCGTGAGTTTAGATGACAAGATGAGATCCAATCATAATGCCTTAAGTCCCTTTTAGAGCTGTTGTAGAAGTAAAATTGTCCAAACTCCGTGAAAAAATCAGTCATTGCTATTGGATTAATGCCTCTCTATGATCAAGAAGAGGGGTTGATATCTTCTATTAATTTATTTGTCTCTTGGTCAATAAATTTAATCTTTTTTGACATTTTGTAATTATTGATATAGATATATATATATATATATATCTTTTGTATCTAAATCTTAAAGACATTAGGGATTTTATACGGTTTACCCCCTTATTTGTTGTATCTATTCTCTAAAAATTCCCTTTTTTTGGGTTCTTCCAAACTCTATTAGTAACAACTGTTGATCATTGAATTCATATCCCTCAATTTCACCTTGAAATTATTTTATAAATTCACAATCATGAGTGGACCAAAGTGTAGTGTAAGGCTTGGCAATTTTGAATGATTAAGATAAAACTTAATCACAAGTCTGTGACGCACATATGTATATATATATATATATGCACATATATATGACTAAATGGCATTTTCCTTTAAAAAAAATGTGGAGTGAGTTATAGTCTGAATTAGGTGAAGAATATAAATGACTTGACCTTGGATTTCAACTTCTTCTTCATATTTGAAAGCTCTTAGATGAACGAAGATGTTGATATTGAAATCTGATTGAAGTAGTTGATGGTATGTTTTTGTGTCATTGAGATGAGCTTCCATTTTCTCTTCAAATTGGTTACGCATTTCTCTACAAAATGATTAGAACACGAATTACATATGCAAATAATGGAAAGGATCTAATTTTATTAGGAAAATGTTGAAACAATATTTTATCTATTTCATGTCGTTCTAACATTATTATTTCCAATAATAGAAAGGAATAACAATGATAATAAAGCAATAAATATATCTATTTTATGAGTTTTTATATCTTCTATGGTTAAACCAGAAAACATAGTTGCTGAGGTTTAGTGCTTATTTATTTGATAATAATATGTTATCATTGAAATACAATTTCAAATACATCTAAAAGAATTATTGTTTCCAAATAAAATGTAGTCTAAATAGCCTCAAATAAAGCGTGAGTATGAAGTAGACAAACTAGGTCTTCATGTTAACATTTGACATCATTTTTCCACGTTAATAGTTAATATTATTTCATTTTTAATATAATTAAGTATAAAGAGAAATTCGAGTATTAATTCATTGCCAATAATGATCTAAAGTAATAATTTTAAATGAACATGTCATACACTGACTTTTAGTAAAAATATTTTAACCCAATAATTCGTGTATAATATGATGTGCTAATATTTACTTTCTATTAATGCCAAATTTCGTAATTACCATCATTTTTAACAACCATGAGGAAAGTAATAATTTTGAATGGAAATTTCATCACTAATCTAAAAATTCAAAAAATATGAGAATCATCTAAATTTCGTTTTGCATCTTCTGGACACAATATCACTAATATGTCTTATGAGTGAATTTATACCTAATTAATTCCATTCACGTGTATACAAAGTTATTACTATGCATTTAATATATAATAGACAAACCGGTGTAATTATATATAATAATTTATTTTATATTCATCATTAAATTAAAACTCCGTATACTAATTAATGCTCCATCACGTGTATTATCAATTATTTCGTGAGTTTATCTTGTGATTATTATCAATACATTTTATGAGTAAATTAGGAAAACTAATTAATATTTAAGGGTACTAATTGCTTGGGCAAATGTAACATATTTTACAGTGTCTATGAAATTGTTTGGAAATATTTCATATGGATTTTGCAATTTTTTTCTATTTCTAAAAATCCAAAAGAAAGGTGCAGAACGGATAATAATCTGAGAAGCCGTGCCCAGAGTAAAACTTTAGATATTTATAAAAATGTGATATAATTTGAATATGATTTTCAAGTGTCTCCGCAAGTTGTTGGCCCCCATTTATTTATTATGGTCACACCTCCGCTCGCCGTCTCCTGCTCGTCGCAAGGTAAGGTAGGGGGGAAATCATCGATGGCGAAGCACCTCCACCTCCACCTCTTGCTCGCCGCCTGCATCTTCTTGTCTTCGGTGGCGGCGGCGGCGGCGTCGGATCCCGTCTCCTCGTCGCAGACTCTGCAGCGGAGGACCGCCCCTGCGGGACTTCAGATCGACGGCCACCCTTTTGACTCTCTCCGTCTTCGCCAGGAGATCCAACCGCGGCAAGAGGATGGATTCGAGGTATGATATCAGTTTGAATCCTCTCTCGCTCTCTCTTTCGCTCTTGCTCGCTCGCTCGCTCGCTCGTATTAGTGGATCTGCTTCCCCCACTCTGGGAGAGCAGAAGAGGTGGGAGGGAGGTCAGAGGCAGGCTAGCGACGCTAATGCAGGCGAATTTGGATTTGATGCGCAGACGAAGAGCAACGGAATGGGAAGGGGCACCTGCTCGTACACGGTGAGCATCAAGACGAGCTGCTCCTCCCCCAGGTTCACTCGCGACGCCATCAGCCTCGCCTTCGGCGACGTCTACCACAACGAGGTACTTCTCCGTCTCTTTCCCTTCACTGTTAGTCTAATCCAGAGGATTTCTTCTGCTGCATTCGGCAGATGGCCGGTCCAATAGACTTTCTCCCTACCTACACTGCCCCTCCGTCAAAGATCGAGAGGCAGGAATAATGATGGATTGCAGCCTCCAAAGATCTCTAGTGCGTGATCGTCAGGGGATCTGTTCTCTTCATCAGTCAGTCGATCGATCTATCTCTTTCCGTCGTAGAATTCCATTCCGCTAGGTTAGAGTTTCGTGGAGCTTTCCTTTCACCTGCGCGTAGCTATAATGGCGGACTGCAGACTCCAAAGATCTATAGCGCTTGATCGTCAGGGGATCCGTTCTCTCCAGCAGTCCATCCGTCGATCGACGACACTCGGGTCCATCGATCGATCGATTTTTATCCGTCGTGGAATTCCACTCCATTATGCTTTTGGGGTTAGGGTTTCGTGAGCTGTCCTTCCATCTGCGCGCAGGTCTACGCTCCCCGACTGGACGATCCTGCTTCGAGGGCGTTCGAGCGGTGCTCCACGGACACCTTCCGCATTTCCGGGCCCTGCGGCGGCCGCACCTGCTACCTCTACCTCTTCCGCTCCGGTCGCGACGGCTGGACACCGGACTCCGTGAAGGTCTACTACCGCCCCGGGGACTCCCGCTCCGTCGTCACCTTCTTCTACAACGTCCCCATACCCAGCGGCGTCTGGTACGGCTTCGACCTCTGTCATGGCAGCTCCGTCCCTTCCCTTCTCCCCCTCGCTGCGGCGGCGATCTGACGGTGGCCCATCTCCGACGACGAATAAACGTTTTCCTATTCTCCCTGGTACCCGAGGGTCACACCGCTGGCCGACAGGGCCAACCAGAAGAGATCGCCATGTCCGAAAGGTCGAGGATCCTTCCTGCTCCGAGCAAGAAGGTACTAGTTTATCAGCGATGTTTCAGTTCATGTTTTTTTTTTAAGAATCCTCCGGACGGCGCTGGGCATGGCCGGCGACGGCGGCGGCGGCGGCAGGTCTGAATATATATGATGAGCCCTTGTCCCATGGTGATCCTGTTCTGGAGAGAGAGAAAGAGACAGCCCAGTAACCTCTTCTATAGAGAGAGAGAGAGAGAGAGGAGAGAGAATGCGGCTGGAGAGAGAAACTGGCCAGTTCTGGAGAGAGAGAGAGACAGCCAGCCAGTAACCTCTTCTATAGAGAGAGAGAGAGAGAGAGAGAGAGAGGAGAGAGAATGGGGCTGGAAAGAGAAACTGGCCAAGCACCTGAGACGCTGACCAACTACTTTCCTCTTCCACAGAGAGCGAGAGAGAGAGAGAGGGGCGAATCTAGCTAGTCTGAGCACTTATCGATGGCCAACATCTCTTATATCTTATACCCCTCATATATCTTATAAAATAGCGAAAGAAGCATCTCGTGAATAAATAACCATAGTCAATATTGACCCCCGAGATTCTTGGACCCTAACATCATCTCCCGTCCCCGCACTAATCGGGCTCCATGATTCTCAGCTAGAAAAAAGGTCTGAGGCAACCGATCAACCGGGGGTGATTAAGCAGGGAAGGATCTTCAAGTTGAGAACACATACCTTCTCAAGGCCCCGCTCCCATCTTCTGGCGCATCTTGTACTGCAGCATTGTGGGGGCGCAATCCAAAGGCGTCTCCCCTATAGAGCACAAAGAAAATCCTCTAGGTTAAGGACAGGTGCACCAGCTGATCTTCTTCTAAGCCCACGCGCATGGGGTAGAGAGGGAATCTAATCCTCCGCAGCGAAGAAAACAAGATGAGGAGAAGCTGGCGGATTCCATGACCAGATGAGGAGGAGTCTAGGGTTCATGTTGGTAGGTCAGAATCGATCCAGAGGAAAGAGATGAAGATTACCTTGCGCGTTCTTGGATTCCAGACTTGCTCCGTGGTCCATGAGAATGAAGGCGATTTCTGTCTGGTTGAAGAGGGCGGCCTGGGGCAGGGAAGGGTGGATTTTTTTTTTAATTAATTCAGTAATTCTTCATATAATCTTGGATCATGGATGAATCTGAATAAATGATGGGCAGAAATATATTATATGAAAATAATCGACGGGCATTAAACAAGGTTGAATGTTTTTTCTACTAATTCAGTAGTTCTTCATACAATCTTGAATCATGGATGAATCTGAATGAATGATGGGCAGAAATATATTACATTAGAATAATCAACGGACATTAAACAAGGTGGATTTTTATTTTTTTTTAACTAATTCGGTAGTTTTTCATATAATCTTGAATCATGGATGAATCTGAATGATGGGCAGAAATATCTTATATTCAAATAATCGACGGTCATTAAAAAAGGTGGATTTTTTTTAAAATTAATTCAGTAATTCTTCATATAATCTTGGATCATGGATGAATCTGAATGAATGGTGGGCAGAAATATATTATATGAACATAATCGACGGACATTGAACAAGGTGGGATTTTTTTTTACTAATTCAGTAAGTCTTCATATAATCTTGAATCATGGATGAATCTGAGTGATGGGCAGAAAAATACTATAATAAAATCATCAACGGATAGTAAACAAGAAATAGAATTCAATAAAAATGAATCAATGAGCCATAAAAAGGCTGGATTAAAATGGAAAAAAAAACACAATTTTTATAAGAAAAAAATCCAAAAATTAGAGCATACCAAATGAAGCAATGACAATCCTTGCTTGTCGCGGTAGTTTGGATCCACACCCTGTTCATGAGAGAATCTCAGCTACCAATCAAAACAGTCAGAAAAAATGGTAACGTAACGGGGCTGTGCACCTCATCCAGAAGCCTCTTAACAGCCTTAACATCGCTATATTTGATGGCTTCTCTAAGACCCTGAAAATAAAATAACAGCAGATGATGCTATAAATGGGGGGACGACCCAGAAAGGTTCAGAAATCCTGATTTAGTCACAAGAGGATGCCACATACATCACCATTTACTTCATACTTTCCATGATCTTGGTCCACCCTGCTGATGGCTTGTTGGCCCATGTTGAAAAATATACTGCGGAGTTGACCATAAAATAAAGGTTACCAAAAATCGTAAACTATGCAACTTCACCAAAGGCAACATCAACAGGAGTTTGAGAAGAAAATGATGTGGATGCAACTTAAGTTAATATTCATTAGATTCACCATTAAATATATATTTTTTAATAAAAGGAGAAAGCAAGGTCAAATTTCATGCTCATTTCATCGGCTATACAAATTTTAAATTAATAAAAAAATTAAAAAAAATGACGAAAGAGATTGGAAGAATCACCTCGGCTTGCTGCTGGAAGAAGCAACATTGTTTGAAACAGATTCAGCCGTTCTCTTTGTGTTATTTGCCTTTATTGGTCTTGGACTGGACCGAACGGGGGGGACATCTGCCATCTTCACCTGCAACAGCTGAATCAAATACGGGAACATGAACATGACCATGAAGATGGATGTAAGAGAACTTCTCCTGCATGATAGCCACCTCGGGTACTGGGTCTGGAAGCGCGGTTGTACATATGCACAGAGGCATTCCACACTTGCACTCTGGAGCACTCTGAGTGGGGACTACCACGGTGGTTGTTTGAGGCTTCGAATCAATATCCACACCCATATCCAACCTAGAAATATCCTCTGCTGTAGCAGCGACAAGATTCGGAATACTTGGCGCCTCATTTTTCCTTTGGCTAAAACAAGAAGCAACAATTGTCATGTGTCTGAGATGCAGGAACACATTTGCAGGCATGTCAAGTCAATGCTATTACATGCCGCACCTCAAAGAAAAAACCTCTAATTTACAAAAAAATTCAAGAGATAAAAAAGGTTGTTATAGAAAAGAAGAGAGGGAAACCATGAATATTTTGGGAAATACTGTAAAAGACTGAGGGTATTTTGGGAAAGTTCTCTAGGGTTTCTCCCTCTAGAATTGGTCTCCCTTTGCCTATGTTTTTCAACAGATCATGATAAAGTCTTTATAAATGCGGTGGACAGTCATCAGTTGTCACTCTCTCACTTGGCTACATTCACCCTTTTAAGCCAACCTAACAGGGCAAAGGATGAGATGAGGGCAAGCACAGTGTTGCCTGAGCTCAAAAACTGGGTGATACCCACAATCGTAAACACTGTCGGGGATTTTAGATCAAGAACTGTGAGATAAAAGTATTGGCGAATGATTAGCCACACATCAAGGGCAATAATGAGAGCCAATACTGATTTTCGTTTAGTGAACGGAAAATTTATGACAAGCTACATTCTTACCTCACAATAGATCAAAATCGGCATTGATAATAATCTGAGAGGATTCTTCAAAGGCTTTGACACAATATTTTTGCATTTAAAAATGATAAAGAAATTCCAAAAGGAACATAGAACCGCACTCGGTTTTATTGCACTCAAAATGGGTCAAAGAGAAAGAACTAAGAAACATGCTGTGGTGCGCATTAAGCAAAAAGGGAGTATCTAGTACACATCTGTAAGTCATAGGGACATGTAAGAAGGGGTGATTGAGAACTATGGTGTGTAATGTAACTGGTTATTTCTCTGTGATAAGGCCTCCACCAGAAGTGAAGTTAATGCCCGACCTATTTGCTACAGTTGTAAATGCTTTGACAGAATGTCACCAAACTTCCTTCCCCTGGTGTTTGATTTACAATTGGGGCATTGTTATGAAAGGAAGATACAGCGAGTGACAAACTAGGAATCTGAGACTACATACAGAGACACAAATAAAAGGAGACAAAGGGAACGGATCAAGACATGAAGGCTACAGTTATTTCTATGTTTAGGGCGGATACATAGTTTGACATGCAAGAAAGAAATGGAAGCTAGGTTTCTGAAGCAATCAGGTTTGGATAAGACAGTTTTCAAGTAACGCATTTTCCAGTTGGTGACGACATGACGAACCAAGACTGAGGGACACTCAAGCCATACTTGGCATGTTATTCTCCCGATCGCTTGGGATATGTGTACCAATGACCTATTGAATCTTAAGAGCGATTTAAACGGGTGAACCAGATAGAACTACTGGACAAAAATGGAGTGTTCAGTACGGCCAAGTTTGAGCAAATGCGAGGAGAATGAAGCACAAAGGTCATTTACGCAAGTGAAAGACATAATCCTGAAACAGTGTTCGAAGACAGCTGCTTATTCCTGTCTGTTTCCGAAAAACCCAAACCAGTCATGTCAGAACCAAAATGAGGCAGTCGAGATAATTTTCTTCAAAGGATCAACTGGAAATTTGTACGGTAATATCGGGTATATATACGTGGTGATAACGCAGACTTGTAATGTATCTCTACTAGCCAATCGAAAATTGGAGACCTAGAGAGGATCAAGACGCAGTGCATCAGCATTGAACACTCTCCTCAATTTGGAGGAACATAATCAAAGTAGGTGATTTTTTGGCACCATTAGCAATCATCAGAGAATTTTGTTGGTACCAGTAGTACCAAACAAAGTTATCAATCGATTTTAAATATAAAACATACAAGCTTATGATGAAATTCAATCGATTTCCTGTCAGATGTGGTAAGATATGTACCAAATGGAGAAGAATAACTTCTCATAGTTAATAATGAAAAGACTAAATCATCTGTAACCATGTGCAAGTTTAACTTTCAGCATCTAAGGCATTGATAAGAAAACCCACCCTCGTAAAAAAACGTTTGAAATCACAAAAGATGGAATTGAGGGAGATTTACCCAGTGGAATTATTAAAGCAATCAGAGCAAACTCTGACATTTGTGTAAGTCCCATACTGAGGTAATGCCTGGAAAAGAACCCAGTAATTTTCCAGTTAATGAAAAAAATCATAAAATGTTGAGGATATGTATTCCAATAAGAACGTGGCAGAAAACAACACTGAAAGAACAAGGATAATGTAATGCATATACCATTTGATCTGATGAGTGTTCATGGCACAGTGTCCTGCCACAACATCGACAATGGTGCTGCACGAAAGAGTAATAGTAGGATTGAGTACAGACATTACAGGTTGCTTGAACTAAAAAACTGTTAAACATTGTTTAAGCTGACTTTGGCTGTACAGCAGGATAGACAACAAAGGAAACAAACAGATTTTATCGACATTTACTATAGATTATCAAATCGACAAGTTACCCTCAAAAGTTTATTCCTTTATATCTAAACATGACATGATGGTACACTAAACAGATTAGAATCCCCAACAGAATCATGACGGAACGAACTTGTCCTGCCATCTAAAAAGGCAAAACACAAGAAAAGATCACCACAATGCAACACTGAGCTATCAATAGTCTTGCTAAAAACCAGGCTTTTACCATCCGATTTGGAGAACAACCATGATGTATCACATATAAAAAGTCTTAATGTAAATCCAAAAATAAAATTCTATTAAAGCTAAAATTATTAGCTAAATAATTTTTAAAATAAAAAAATGTGCAATGTTCATATGTTTTTGCATCGTAGTTATCCACGAATGGACTGATTCAATCCTGATCTGTATCAAAGCAGGCCGACTGATTCAGGGATGCAATCCAATGTCTCCAACAAAATTAGTTCCTTAAAATGTTGGGCTCAACTTCATCATCACATAAAGCACCAACAAGCTGAAGCAGTTTCATAGTATAAAGAGGAGATTGTGTCTCTTTAGCCTTTTGACACAGGATCTTCATTAAGTAATGCATGTCATAATCAAATTGACGCTTATTTTCTTGAAATTCCTTTCTACATTCTTGAAATGCTTTTACCCACAAGTCTTCTCTGAACCAGCTCATTTCATAGTGAAGCCTGTCACGATATTGACAGAGAGTTGTTACGAATGGACCTACTTAAAAGTACATTGGTCGTGTGCAGTCAAGATATCCAATACAATATCACATTCCTGATGCCGACATTTTGGTGGTGATTTACAACGGCAAGATACTGGGTCTGGAATTTGGACAATCCATCATTCTAAGCTATCAAAATAAGGTTCACGCTGTTGTTGAATGCTTTAAAAGACAGATTTTTTTATTCAAAACCTTTACAGCCCAGCATCAAATCATCTTTTATGGTTCCAAAATATTTGAAAGAATCTAAACGTAGTAAATATTTTTTCATCATCTTTAAGAAGCAGATCACTAGCCCTATACTTCTTCAAATTTATACTGAGTAGGCAAATATTTTGGTTTATCACTCGGATTCTTCTTTGAGCAATTTAACCAGACTCCACATCGTAAAAAATTATTTAGGTAAGGAAATATTTAACAATGTCATTGCTAACGTGTAGACTTCACCAGAAAAGACAAGCTGAGGTATGCCAGATGAGAGTCTAGTGATCTTTAAAAAACAAGGATTTAGAAAACCTTTATTCACCTAAAGTTTTTGACGACAAAGGAGCCTGAAAATTTCCAGTTCCTGAAGGAATACACTCGTCGATGCTCCCACACCTAAATTAAATCATTGCCCGCCCCACTCCCACCCAGGGCGACTGCCATATGGCGGGGGAATATCTAATAGGCCATTGTTGTACCTTGAAGCGGTGTGACATACGGATGCAGACACAGATTCCAAACCTTCAAAAGATATACGCAACTCAACGTCCAAGTTTTGATACCAGCTGAGTTTTCACATCGAATGAGAGGATATCCTCTATCAAGGCCGCTCAAAAAGCAATGGAGATTTCAGAATAGCTGATATTCAGACTCTGCGCACCCTCTCCTCATTTTTCAATAAATAACCTCGAAGGAAGTCCCCCACCCCTTCCCCTCTCTCATGTCAATTGTCCCTCATGCGTGAACTTTTACGCACTGGACAGCTGCGCGGATAAATGGATACCATTCCTCTCCGTTCTCCATCCTTTTCACTCTGTTCATCTTTTCCTTCAATTCTAGTACGACAGCCGAGAAGGTGAATTCAAGAGGGGATCAGACGGTACAGCGCAATCAAAACAATACCAACACCAATGAAACAAAAACAGAAACGAGACCAACAGGAGCAGGAAAGGAGAATTTTCCATCGCATCGCCATGGATAGGCACAGCGTCTCACGAGGAGAGACATACCCGCCTCCGGAAGGCGTTGAAGCCACATTTACAGACGTCACAATGCGCGGCCTCCTGGAACGGCGGTGGCTCCACCGCGGGTGTAGAGCCCGGCATCTTTCTTCCTTCCCCCACAACTGGTAGAGATCCCAGCGGCCGGAGGGGAAACCGTTCGACAGACAAAAGCGCCTCAGAAACCAAGCTGGAAAACAACGATCATCTTCCTCCGCATTCGCCGTCGATCCCCTCAACCTCTGCGATCCCAAATCCCCCGCGGCCTTTGAAGTCTCCACTGGAATCTGATCGGTCTCCACATTTTCAACGACGCCGGTGGATCGCGGCTTTGGCATCACTGTCTCTCTCCTTTCCCGAGGCCGCGACCAGGCTTTGGGCCTGAGTTTTGGGCCAGGCCTCAATAAACATCGTATTGGGCCTCTCTATTTCTGGAGGCGACAGGTGGATATTTTTAGTTGTCCGCGTCATGATTAGAGTCGCCACGTTTCAAGCCACGCGGCAGCAGCACCTCCCTCCCCTAGCCCGTTCATCGACTACCTGGCCCTTGCATGGATATATATCGACGTCCTTTAGTTACGTTTTCGGATCACAGAGAGAGAGAGAAAAGAGAGAGAGAGAGAGAGAAAGAGAGAGAGAGGATCGTCACCATGGCGCTTTGTTTCTACGGCAACCGGGTCGTCGCCTTGGGCAGCCTCCTGTCTCTTCTGCTGCTCGTCGCCGCCGCCGTGGTGGAGGACGAGCGGGTTCACTCAACCGGAGGCCCCGCCGTGGAGAACCTGTCGGCGGCTGCCGAGGAAGAGGAGTCGTGGACTACCTGGGCCAAGGAGAAGCTCGCCGGGGGCCTCGGCCTGAAGCAACCTCAGCCCGAGGACGCCACCCACCAGACCACCTCCGGTAATCTCTCTCTCTCTCTCCCTAACCTCTCTCTTTCTCTCTCTCTGTGACTGGAACTGCTTGCAGGGGTGGGGAAGTACGGGGCGGAGAAGGCGGAGTCGACGAAGGAGGCGGCGAAAGAAGCCGTCGGGGCGGCGAAGGAGAAGGCGGAGGAGGCAGCAGCCGGTAAGGCTTAGAAACATGTCTCGAGGTCGGAGGAGATTTGCAGATGTCCGAAGAAAAATTCCTAATTTTGACAGGCGCGGCGAGTTACACTGCAGAGAAGGCAACTCAGGCGAGGGAGGCGGCAATGGAGAAGGCTGGGCAGGCGAAGGAGGCGGCAATGGAGAAGGCAGGGGCGGCGAAGGAGGCCGCCGTGGAAAAAGCAGCAGCGGCGAAGGAGGCTGCGGAGAGGGCCGCCGGCGCGGGGAAGGAGCCCGCCGAGAAGGCGAAGGAGGGGTACGAAGGCGCTAAGAGCGAGGCCGAGAAGAAGGCGGAGGAGGCGGCGGAGGCCGTGAAGGAGCGCACCGCCGGCCGCCCCCGCGAAGAAGAGCTCTAAAGGCCATGGCTGTAACCTCTCTGTATAAACCTGTTCCTCATCAGTGAAAGAAAGCTTATCAATGTCTGTCTGTCTGTCTCTCTCTCTCTCTCTCTGGGTTCAGCCAACAGTGATTTAAACCTTAAAGAAGAAGAGCAGATCAAACAGAGAGTGGGATCTTCGTGGACATCCTCTGAGCCAGCCAAGGGTTCTCATTGTCCGGGTCGATGAAGGTGTGCATGAGCAGCTGCTCTGCTTCCTCCTCATCGAGTTCTCTGCACCAGGGGACCCGCTCGTTCTGGCAGCTACCAGGTCCCGAGCATCTACATAAAAAAAATAATAAAAAAATGCCACCCATTAAGCTTGATCCGCCTTTCGAAAATGAAAATCATTCTTCTACCTGAACTCGAAGAAGCAAGCGCTCCTTTCGTTCTCGGGCTTGTCCCAGTTGTGCCAGCCGGCGGGCTTGATGCAGGAGTCCATCCAGGTGTATGCGTAGAGGACCCTGGCGAAGGGGCCCCAGGGCCGGCCGAGGGAAGCATATGCGGAGCTACCATTGCCCGTGATCACGCATCTGGAATATGAACAGCGAGAGGATCTGATATGGTTGGAAGGAAGTCTGCCCGGACGATGCAGGAATCTCAGAAACAATAGCAGAGTCAACGTAGATTGTGGCTCACTAAGCAGGAAAATAGTTGAACTGGCGGCCATGGAAGTGGAAAATAGATGAAGCAGCCGCCTTCCAAAAAAGATGAGATGACGGCATTTCTTGAAGTATGTTTAAACTGATTCATGCGTGTTTTTTGATTAAAATTCTGTAAGTTCCTAAGATGCACATTTTATAGAAAAAAAACCATCCAATATCCACCAGATTTAATACTACCCATAATATCGAGTGATATTATGCCTGAAATAAAGAAGTCATTCCCCAAAAGCCATGATGCCCACAACACTGGAAGTATAGCCACGGGATTGGTACACAAAATAACTTGATTGCTGTGGCGGGCTTAAGTGTAGCAACGAGACATTGTCAGAGAGGAGGAAGCCTCCTCCTTGGATGAGAGACAGAATGGGACAGCAGAGGGGAGAGGAGGCCGTTCACCAGGCAGAAGAGCACAACACAGACCGCCTCCATCTTCCCAGACATCAATCGCCTTCTATTTACTATTATTGACCTTCCAGTTTTTTCCCATCTCCAATTGGAGCACTAATTTCCACCATACCAGTTACAGCTATTCACATGATCAACCAAGACACCCTTCAGGGTATAGATGAACTTATAGATGCATTGTTGCGTCAAAGCTCTGTAATTTGAACAATTTTTTTCAATGTAAGATCCATTCGACTGATGTAACTTGCACCTAAATATGAATTTTCAGTAAAGTAGCAAGTGATTTATTGAAGGGGGTAAAGAGCATTAGAGTGCATATTCTGTGCGTGTCACAGAAAACATTAAAGAATAAAAGAGACAGAAGGCAAATTCACCTTAAAAATATATATCCTGTGGGCTCTTGGGCAGATTTTCTACTCTGTGCGGTTATAAATCCCTGTGACTTGCAGTGAATATGGCAATGCTCCAGAAGGGCAGTGCTATTGCCAAAAATGAAGTCAACGCTTCCCTCGATATAGCAATCTTTCAGATACTGCTTGCCATGGTGTAAGTAAAGCGTGTCCTGCATTAACATGCAATACCAAAAAAAAAATTTAAGACGTAGACGTCCTACAAAATATTATGAAACTAAAGACTCAGAATTCGGTGAAAGCTTATGGTGGTTTCCAATTTTCTTTATGCCTACACAGACAACACCGAGTTTTCTGAATCATTTGCAGGATAAGTAACGATGTGCCGGATCTGCTCCAAATCCCATAGTGAAACTGAATTGATCTTATGTACTAATTAAAATTTCCAAAGAAAATATTTGAATACTCAGCCCCGTGATGAATTAGCCTAGTCAAAATTTATTTTTCTTCGTGTGGAAGGCAGACAATTATAAACAAAAAGATCAGTTTTGGTGTATATTAAACATTTAGCATGAGCAAGCCTTATCGGAGCATCATCTTCATGCGGAAAGGAGACAGAAATTAAAGAAAGCTACGATGCGAAAACGATTATGATGATCTGAGTTATGAGAACTAGTAATAACAGTGGAACATGGAGAAGTATCATCTTCCTGAAATCGGAACATTTCTTGACTGATGTTAGCGAGGGAAGGGTAAAAAAGCTTGACTTGGACCAAGACTACAAAAAACAAGGAAAGTATGGTAACAATTCGGAAGAGACAGAAGGACCAGTGACGAAGATAAACGTACCTGCCACCCAAGAAATCTGCAATTGTAGAACGCACACCGGTCAGCAGTCACCCTAACGGCTACAGCTTGCCCTGAACCCTGCGAGTAGATGTAAGTCTATTATGGAGGAGGACGGGTGGCAAGGAATATAATGACAGTGAAAAGCATCGAAGAACAATCGGCAATCTTCACTGACTACGGAAGATGAAGCTGAAAACTAAAGTTGATGCCGGCGGAATCAGTAAATAACCACCTGTGGAGCGGAGTTCTCAAAGGTTATGTTCTCGGCGATGAAGTCCTCCCCTTCCACGATGGTGCTTCCACACCCGAATGTCCCCGTCCCGATCACCCGCGACGGCTGCAGCAGCAGCGACAACAACAATGAGAGCTCAATTCATCAGCATATTTCTGCAGTAGAAAACTAGCGGTCGCCTCAAGGATCTCACCGTATGATGGTTGATCCGAGAGGCGGTGTTGTCCCAGGTCAGGACGGTGGTCTCCGGACGGGAGCCGGCAAGGGTTATGAAGCTTTTGGTTTTCGGAACGTACACCGGCTGCCGGTAAACCCCCGGGGGGATCACGATGGTCGTCCGGACCGTGTTGCGCAGCGGCACTGCGTCGATCGCATCCTGCACCGTCGGGTAAACGCCATCACCTAGTGGACAGGAGAAGCCACCGTCGCCGGTCTGCGGTGGCGCCACCGTCAGCACAAGACGCATTGGCTGCTGGTATGCCATTCCCGCCTTCTCAGGCTTCCACCCTCGCCTTCTCCTCTCTTTCTCTCGCTCTCTCCCGGATGCGGCACCTCAGTCTTCTGCAGACGCTGTGTATCTGGAATCATCGGGTCAATTTAAACGAGATTACACCTGTTTTTATTTTTTAATTCAAGAAATCAATTCATGGTTTCCGATTCTCTGATAATAAAAAATAATATTATAAGAAAATATTTGGTTTTTCCATAAAGTTTATACCCGACAATTTATACCCAGTAAAGTAAATTCGCGAATGAGCTGTGCAACGTAGACGGGGGCCACTTTAGAAAGCCGGTGTTTTTGTTACATTTTAGCCCTTTTAATTTTATATTTTGCCTCGTGGGGTCGGTTCAACTAAGTTTAGGACTTTATTTGAGGGATATGGGCTTATTGGCCAGTAACTCTAATAATATCGTTGAAAAAATAAATATGCAACAATATATATATTAAAGAATCTTAATATATTCTGTTCTGCGAAATTTGTTTTTCCGAGTTTATCTTTCAAGTCCTCCGATGTGATTCCAGTCGGAAGGATGGCCGCCATAAGCGGCGGCCGCGGCGCCGCCAGCCGTCTTCCGGGGTCGGAAGCGGCGGCGGAGAGGCGGGTCATCCGGGCGGCGGAGGGGTGCGCTAACATGGCGCAGCTACGGCGGCTGCATGGGGTCCTCGTCCGGCACCATCACCGGCTCGGCAACCCCTCCCTCGTCCTCGCCAAGCTCCTCCGCTTCGCCGCCGTCTCCCCAGGTGGCGACCTGCGCTACGCATCTCGCCTCATCTTCCACGGGCTCCACCACGAAGAAATCCACGCCCGCGGCAGCGCTTTCTTCTACAACACCCTCATCCGCGGCCTCGCCGCCTGCGCCGACCCATCCCCCGCCGTCTCCCTCTACAAGATCATGCGCCGCCGGTCTGTCCCTCCCGACCAGTTCTCCTTCACCTTTCTCATCAAGGCCAAGGCGAGGTGCTCGGCCCGGTCGCCCGCGGGCGGCGGCGACGTCCACGCGCTGGCGCTGAAACACGGTTGCCTTAGTCCATCCGTGCCGCACGTCCACAACGCACTGATTCACCTGTACGCCACCAGTGGAATCCCCACGGACGCACACCAAATGTTTGACGAAATGCTGGAACCAGACGTGGTGTCCTGGTCCGGTCTGCTCGCTGCTCAGCTGACCGCCGGCGACCTGGACGGGGCTCGGCGGGTCTTCGACTCCATGGCCATGCGGGACGTGGTGTCGTGGACGGCAATGATCTCCGGGTACGCCCAAGGCGGGCGGCCGCTGCAAGCGCTGGCCCTGTTCGAGTCCATGCCGCCGGCTATGCAGCCCGACGAGGTCACCCTCGTCGGCGTGGTCTCCGCCTGCGCTGCCGCCGGGGACCTTGACACGGGGGCCGCGGTCCATCGCTACGCCGACGAGAAGCGCCTCGGCTGGATGGTGTCCCTCCGCAACGCCCTGATTGATATGTACGCCAAGTGCGGCTGCATGGAGAAGGCTCGCGAGGTGTTTGAGGGGACGACCAGGAGGAACTCCATCACCTGGAACTCCATGATCTCCGCACACGCCGTGCACGGCGACGTCGAAGCCGCGCTGCGGCTCTTCTGGCAGCTGGCAGCAGGGGAGGGCGGCGTGGCGCCCGACGCGGCCACGTTTCTCGCGGCGCTGAGCGCCTGCGCGCACGGTGGGTGGGTGGAGGAGGGGCGGCGCGTGCTGGAGAGCATGCGGCGGCACGGGGTGGCGCCCGCCGCGGAGCACTACGGCTGCGTGGTGGACATGCTGGGGCGGGCGGGGCGGCTGGAGGAGGCGCACCGGCTGGTCGCCGGTGTCCTTCCTCTCTCCTGCAACCACGTCCTGTGGGGAGCACTGCTGGGGGCCTGCAGGATCCACGGGGACGTGGCCATGGCCGAGCGGGCGGTGGGGGAGCTGCTGCGACTGCGGCCGGCGGAGGGCGGGTACTATCTGCTCCTCGCCGGCGTGTACGCCGCCGCAGGCCGGCACAGCGACGCCGACGAGATCCGGCGGAGGATGAACCAGGACGGCGCTGTCAAGAACCCCGCCCACAGCACCCTTCGCCTGTCATCGTCAGCTCCGGACGATCACTAGCGCATTCTGTTTCATCACTCCCCTCGTGCGAATTGTCAATAATACCCTCATATAGGAAAAACCATTAATAATGCGGAATAATTTAGATGAGAAAGAGAGAGAGGAAGCATCGGGAGTCGAATTCCATTGATATGACCAAGACGCCAGGTCAATTTTTATTTATTTATTCCTCGTTTTTCTTATTTATGAAAGTGGCCGTCCGGCGCATACACGAATATTAAAGGTTTTATTATAAGGTAATTATTGATGGATATTGGTTATCTTTGGCGGCTGGAGGAGGGAATCGGACTCGGATTTCTTCGTCGTAGTCGAATGTGTCCGATTCGGATCGCACCGCCCTGCTGGACAGATCTGAAGCCTATGAGCCTGAACAGACGCCCCTGTTTAAAGGAGAAGGGGAAGGTCGGGTCGAAGATGAAGCGGGAATGAAGGGGGGGGGGGGCGGATTCCCGTCTTCGTTTTGGTATCAGAGGGAATAGATACTCTTTGGTTGCCCAGAAAGGCGAGATGAATTATTGCTCTCTCAGCCTCCCTCCTCTGCGATCGGAGCGCTCTCTCTCTCCGTTGCCCTAACCCTCTCTCTCTCTCTCTTTCTCTCTCTCTCTCTCTTCCAGTCTGATCTCGCCGTCGACATTGCCCTCGCCTAGGCAGCGGGGGGAGTGCGCGACGGCTGGGCCATCGCGGGGGCCGGTCGGGTGGACTCAGGGGCGGATCCGTGGGGAGGTCTGACTTCGTGCGTCTTCCTGTTTCCCTGCCTTGGCAACTCTTGCAGTCTGTCATTGGCCAGGTGGTCTGGCTGCCATATCTAGTGCTTTTATTTATTATGTTTCTGTGTTTTTCTTCTCCGTGTGTTTCTTTTATCCAGAAACCTCTGTCATTTTCCGTGGTTTGCTTCTTAAAATTTATATTATTTGATTTCCGCTTTTGTCTTCGGATTTTTTGGACCGTCGATTCTTCTCCTTGTTGATCAATTCAGAGGCCTAGCGTTGACTAGTATCGAAAATTATCTTGCAGCTTTCTCCTTGCATCCGCGACCATCATGCAGAAGGATGTTGGCTCTAGCCAGCCATCTGAAACTTCAGGCCGGGTTCGGCATCGTAAACGATCGACTGAGGTTCACTACCTGAGACTTTGTTTTCTTTCTTTTCTCTCTTCATTTCCCTGGTTACGTCTTTCCGATATCAAGTTGAATCCCAAGGACCCCCCGATCTGTTTGGTATTTCGTATATATTGCTGATGTACAGTATTACTGGCGGCTAAGATCTGTTTATGTCTTTTGAGTTTATCCATGATATGTATTGCTGTTGAAAAAGGTGGAATATAAGAGTTGTATTTTTTTTATCTTCAGGGTACTCCAGATGCAAGTAAAGGAAATGGAGCACATTTGCTTGTTGATGATCGAAACAAGTACAAGTCAATGCGCATCCGGATTCATTCATCCATATGGATGATTGGGGGTCTTGTGTTCGTTATCTACATGGGCCATCTTTACATATGGGCCATGATTGTTGTTGTTCAAATATATATGGGAAAAGAGCTGTTTAATTTACTAAGAAAGGCAAATGAAGATAGACGTCTTCCATGGTTTAGACTTTTAAACTGGTACGAACTTTTGTTTCATCACCACGCCATTCTCTTTCCAGAGTCTTTCTAAATGATCATGAGTACTTCATGAGATGAAGGATAACCCATTGGTGTCTATTCTCTTTTCCTTGCAGGCATTTTTTCTTCACAGCCATGACATTTGTTTATGGCCGTTTTCTCAGTCGACAGCTTGTTAACACTGTAACTTCAGATAAACTGTTGTATAAGCTAGTGAGTGGGCTCATCAAATATCAGATGTTTATTTGCTATTTCCTATATATTGCAGGTGTGTTTTCTTTATCTTCTTGTTATATGCAAAAGGATAATCTTTTGCAGTTGATATATATCAGTTTTTTAGAAGAATTTTCAGGCCGAATATGACTGGTTATACAGTTGTTATTGTTGGTGTAGTTGCTTGAGTTCTCTTGAGGTTTAAAGTGTGTGTTTAATTATCGATAGTCTTTGTGTATATACTGTCATTTGTATTTCTTGATGTCGTATAAATTCATGTATCAATGATCACGGTTTATTGGTTTAACTTTGCTTAGGTTTCGTCTGGTTTATTCTTACATTAAAGAAGAAGATGTACAAGTACCAGTTTGGGCAGTATGCATGGACGCACATGATTCTTTTTTGGGTGTTTGCTCAGTCCTCTTTTGCTGTTGCAAATATATTCGAAGGAATTTTCTGGTAATTTCAGTCTATATATTGTTTCTTCTAAATAATGTCTAAGCAACTGCAAATCTCAGAAATGCTTATTGCCAAGTTCGCATGGTTTATGACATCTTTCGATCTATGATTAAACATTAAATATTCTCCTGCCATACCGATTGATATCCTTATACCTTGAATTGTATTTTATGTCACGTTACTAAAGTTTGATATTGAGAAGTTAAAATGGGATGCAAGTCTGCAAGATTGAATGGTACTTTTAGAACTGTATTTCTGTTGTATCTTTCATAATTTATTGTGTGTTCCAATCAAATTTGATCAACCACCAGCCTCTAAAGAAGCGGACATGAATTGTTCAATTTTAACTTTCTAGTCTTCTGTTGTAATCATTGTTCAACATATGAGAAATAGGGATGCTATTTTCGTTTCTTATTGATAGCCATGTTGTTGAACTTAACTTGACTCTATTCCATTGATGTGTCTGTTTGGTTTGTTGTTTCCATGCTTTTCATCTTTTCCTTAAGTTGATATGATTTTTTCCCTTCTAACGAAGTACACATGTCAATTCAGGTTTCTTCTACCAGCGTCACTTATAGTTATCAATGATATTGCTGCGTACTTCTTTGGATTCTTTTTTGGGCGGACCCCCTTAATAAAACTCTCACCAAAGAAAACATGGGAGGGTTTTATTGGGGCTTCCATCGCTACCATGGTTTCAGCATTCCTGGTGAGTGTGACTATGTTGTGCCATATCCATGCGCACCTTTTTACTCCATCTTTTTCATACTAGACCCTTTTTATTGGGGCTATGTAGCTTTGGTCTTGCTGGACAAAGTTCAAAACTTTTCCTTCTCATTTACCGTCTTGGAAATGAGCATGATCGACTCTTTTGGTAGGACAGTGATGAAAATTCCTGCTTTTAGCTTCTTTTTTTGCATGATGTATAGTTGTGTCTGAACCGAAAGATTTTCCATTATTGATTGCTTGATTGTGTGCAGCTCGCAAATTTTCTGGGTCGTTTCCATTGGTTGACATGCCCAAGAAAGGTGATTATCCTTGTTTATGAAGTAGTTAATGTGTAATATTACACTAGCCGTCTCTGGAAATGTCTATTATAACATTGTAATGCTAAAATTTGCAGGATTTATCAACAGGATGGCTCTACTGTGATCCTGGTCCAATGTTCAAGCCTGAGTATCATTCTTTATCAGGATGGGTGCCTTCGTGGGTAAGATATAGGAAACTTATGTCGCAATCAGCGATCCTTTATAACTATTATATCTGTTGGAAACTGCTTGGTAATTCTATTTAAGGATATGTATAGGGAAATGATGTTTTTCTTGCCATTAGCGAATTATATTGGAATGTGGTTGAATCGAGTTTTTTTTCCTTTAAGAGAACGTTGAAATAACTGAGAATAGATAAGCATATCAGCAGGGACAGCAGAGGGACGTATAAAAACTAGGTAGTACCATGCTGCATATAAGTAATGTGCCATCTCATTATGTGATAGACCATTTTTATGCTAATCTACCTCGGTACTCTTTTCAGGCCACAATTCAGTTCCAAGTGAATGTTGTTTCTCTCTGACATTAAAGGTGTTTCCTAATAGTCATATGATATTTATTTACACCCAGGACTTTGCAATTTTCATTTTGACATATTGGTTAGGAACATTATTCTATCATCATATTTAAGTGGCGACATACGTGTGGTTTCCTGCAATTTGCTGTCTGTTGAGGGTACCACATGGTTACTTCACCCCATTTCTTATTTGTTAAAATGGAGAAATAAAACTTCGTCATGAAGGACAGAGGAGAGATCAGTGGAACAAGATTCATTCAACTTTAACCCTCATTATATAGGGAGTAACAATACACAACTTTTGCAAAAACACCCTAAACTAATTACATTATTTCCTTACGACTAAGAACTTTCAACACTCCCCCTCAAGATAAACTTTGAAAAGTTCATATTGACTAAATTAATGATGACAAAAATCTTGTCCTTTGAACATTCGCTTGTTGGTGATGACGACGATCCGTTGTGGCATCAACTCTCCCTTTGATGGTAGTTGTAGATGACCGCCACTAAGGTTGTGGATTTGGCGACACTTTTGGCTCTTCTGATGCTTGTCATGCCCCAAGGATAGCTCACCATGGATAAGATAGCACCAAACATCTGTGACTTGATCATAATGTTCACTATGTCCGAAAGTTGTAGAGCATGTCTCAAAGTTGTGAGGTAATTGACAGGATGGCACCAAGCACGTAGAGAGTATCCCTCTACTAAGAGATAATATAGTGCCAAGCTCTGATGCAAAGGCTCTTAGTTATGATGATTGATGTGATGTCAGGCCTCAGCACTCAGAAGAGGTGAGGACCAGCACCCCTCCCACTGATCAAGTAATGAGCTTGCGGAGGAATTAGAAGGTGAAAGCCATTTCAACAAAGGCAAAGGTGAGTAGACAACACCAAACAACATGGGCTGTAGCAATGTGGCCTGTGGAGAACTTTGGTTGCCAGACTAGGGAAGACATAGAATTGATGCCGAACAGAGGCAGACGGACTGAGGAGGACGGAGTATGACAATGTACTGAGACAAGCGTGGATAAGAGAGGCTGATTTTACCTATCTCAGGAATGCTAATGAAGATGAAAACAATGGTAATGAACCTAGATATTTCAACCTCTAGATAGAAGGCTTGATGCAGTCACAAATGACATCAATGAACTTGAAGATGTAGTTGACGAACCTGTTACTGATGGACTGAGATATACTGTCAAATGACATATGAAGATCACGGTAGAAGAAACGAGACAGCAAGATCAGTGATCTCTCGTTGTAGAACTACTTTGTTGGCAGAAAACCTCGCCGGAAGAAGAGATGACAATGGACTCGTCGTCCTAGATAGACTAGAGGACTGACGGAAGTAGAACTGCTCTAAATGGCAGAAAGAAAATCTGCTCAAAATGATAGAATATCATGCCTATAAACAGCGGAAAGATAACACGCCTCCAAAGGCGCAATAAGTACATCAAGATGACGTTAGAAAGAAACTTGGCAGAGGTGGAAGGCGTCGCTGGAAGGATACTCGGTAGAGGCAGAATGTCTCGCCAGAAAGGTACTCGGCAGAGGCGGAAGGCCTTGCTGGATAAAGAGGGTTTGAAACCCTAACTTGTAACCTGTCTATTGCCAGATGTCAGTGATGGTGGGATCGATGATCCCCTAATAAGAAACATCAGGCAAAACCTATGCCAAATAGAGGCGACAACAGCAGATGGAAGATGCCCAATACTGTCGGACTCCAGTGGTGGTGGCGATGGCACTCCCCCAGACAACAGATGTTAGACATAGGCGACGAAACCCTAGTGGAATGAACCCGCTCTAATATCTTGTTGAAATGGAGGAATAAAACCTCGTCACAAAGGACAGAGGGGAGAATGGCGGAAACTGCCTCAAGATTCATTCAACTCTAACCCCTATTATATAGGGAGTAACAATACACAACTTTTACCAAAATACCCTAAACTAATTACACTATTCCGTACGACTTAGAACTTCTAATATTCTTTGTATAATACATGAAAAGTTTATTTGGAAACGGTGCTATGCTCGTGGTGTAGTTCCTCATGCTGTTATTTTTCTATCAACCTGTCATAAAATGCTAGTGTTTGAAATTTCTGAATTTAGGTAATATCTTGCCATTTTTTGTCAATTTTGTCTCATGCTTCCTTCCAACTGCGTAATTATGTCTTTTTAAAATTAATTTTGAATCTCTTTCTCTCTCACACACAGTTTCCCTGGAAAGAATTATCAATTCTACCAGTGCAATGGCATGCCTTGGCCATTGGTCTCTTTGCATCCATAATAGCGCCTTTCGGAGGTTTCTTTGCTAGCGGCTTCAAAAGAGCTTTCAAACTTAAGGTGGTTATTGTTAATCCTCGGCTGAATTGAATCAACTGATATCCTGATCTTTAGTCTTTTGGTGTTTAGGATTTTGGAGATAGCATCCCTGGTCACGGTGGTATTACTGATAGAATGGATTGCCAGGTAACCTGCTAAATAACTTGGTGTATTGTTCCAGTATGTTAGCGGAAAAATGATTTTTTTATAGATATGTAAGTTCCTGCTGGTTGCATCCACTTATGTTGGTTGAAGCAATTAAACATTTTTTAATAGTGCCTGAATTTTATTTTACACCAGAGTAAAATATGGAATCGAGCCAATTCAGACTTTTTCAATGTTCCAGACTTCCATTGACATCAGTTTCTTTCATCGTTGATTCATCTGTTGGATACCATGTATCCTTGACCAGAACCTGGCTAGCAGCTGATACAAACCCTATTTCGCTTGCTGCACGGTGGATCAAACCTGACACTTCTTTTCCGCTTTGGTGAATTTCTTCCATGCTCTTATATCAATCACCTCATCTCCCCCCCCCCCCCTTCATCTTATCTCATCCTCTCCAGTGGAAGAAAGAGAAACTTACAGACTTCACAAATTCCTCTGGTTTAGTTCCTCTTGGTTCCCACGCGAGTGCTCATCCGCCTGGTCCCCTCTATCATAGCGAATTTATTATCTGATGTTATTTCACCAGCCTTCCCGGCTGTTCACTCATTTACTAGATCCTTTCCCCATTAAGTGCTGGTCATTTTGGTGGTTTTTTGTCCCCTTTTTATTGTCCGATGTTCGACGGATCTTGGATTCATGTTGTCATATTTTCTTAAATGTGTTCCCATTTTGATACCCTTTTTCCTCCCTCCCTTTTTTCTTTCGCCCTTACGTTGATAGATGGTGATGGCTGTATTCGCCTACATCTACCACCAATCATTCGTCGTCGTTCAGAGCTTCTCCATCGAGATGATCTTGGACCAGGTACCGCAACCCCCCCCCCCCCCCCCCCCCCAACCTTCTTCCTCCCCAGTCTGTCTTCTGATCTGGGTACTATATAAAACCATGCCTCCACCTGGGTCTTCTTTCAGATACTGAGGAACCTTACCTTGGAGGAGCAGCGACTTCTGTACGAGCAGCTGGGGAGGCTCTTGCAGGAGAGGGAGGTTTGAAGACTCCGACTAGGGGGGATGGTCTGAACTTGGACTTCAGCTGTATAGCCGCCAACCTATTCCTCATCCCTAGGTTTTGCATTTATATGCGCCGTCATGTTGTACATGTCTCCTTCTCCATTATTTCCATTCCTGATGGATGTTCTGCTTTGTACGTGTATAGCTTTCAGCATCAATCTGCCACCGAGACTCGAATCCTTAAACCCTAGATTTCCTGTTTAGGGTTTATTATTATCGTTTGCTTTAACTGGGTTTGTCCTGGATTGATGAGCGCTGGCTGGATTTGTCCCGGTAGAAAATCGGTGAGCTACTTCCCCGCCGTGGCGAGCCGTGGCCGTGCGAGGAAACCTCCTCCGGTGGATGCGGCGGCCATCGGGCGGTTCCGCCGCTTGCTCGGCGGCGGCGGTGCCGCGGCCGTCGACAGCTTCGCCGTCCTGGATCTGCTGAAGGGCTGCTTCTCCGAGCCCATAGCGCGGCAGGCGCACACCATCATCACGAAGCTCGGCATGGGGGGCGTGGTCTTCCTCCGGACGGCCCTCATCAGCCTCTACTCCCGAACGGGCCAACTGGCGGACGCCCACGAGGTGTTCGTCGGTGTGAGCGGCCCGGAGAAGAACGCCGCCTGCTGGACGTCCCTCATCGCTGCCTGCGTTGGCAACGGCGAGCCCCAGGTGGCTCTCCGTTTCTTCCGGGAGATGCAGGCAGCCGGCGTGGAGCCCGACAAGGTCACCCTCACCGCTGCTCTCTCCGCCTGCGCTGACCTCGGCGCGCTGGCCTCCGGCGCCTGGATCCACGCCTACGCCGTCCGGCTGACGGATAAGAAGAATAATAAGAAGAAGAGCTTCTCCGGCGACCTGATCCTTAGGAACGCCCTCATCAACATGTACACAAAGTGCGGGGACATCTCCAATGCCCGTCGCCTGTTCGACCTGGGACCGCACAGGGACGTGACCACCTGGACCTCCATGATCGTCGGCTACGCCCTAAACGGCCGTGCGGAGGAGGCCCTGAAGCTCTTCGGGGAGCTCCAGGCGACGCAGCAGCGGAGCCACCTTGTCTCCCCCAACCAGGTGACCTTCGTCGGCGTGCTGATGGCGTGCAGCCACGCGGGGCGCGTGGGGGAAGCCCTGCAGCACCTGCGGAGCATGCGGGAGGAGTACCGCGTGGAGCCGCAGATCTCCCACTACGGCTGCGTGGTGGACGGGCTTTGCCGCGCGGGGCGCCTGCAGGAGGCGCTGGAGTTCGCAGAGGCCATGCCGATCCGGCCCAACGCGGTCGTCTGGCGGACGCTGCTCGGCGCGTGCGCCGCTCGCGGTGAGCTGGCCGGCGCCGCGCGGGCCCGGCGCAGGCTGCTGGAAATGGAGCCGCAGCGCGAGCACGCCGGCGACGACGTGGCCATGTCCAACGCGTACGCGGCGGCGGGGGTGTGGGGGGCTAAGGAGGGGGTGCGGCGGCGCCGCCGGCGGGAGCCCGGCTGTAGCCTGATCGAGCTCGAAGGCCGAGTCCACGAGTTCGTCGCCGGCGACCGGCGGCATCCCCGCCGGCGGGAGATCGTCCACCTCCTCCAGGGCATCGCAGAGATCTCCTCCACTCCCTCATCGGAAAAGATCGGCCTTCCCGCATTCCGAGAAGAATTCGGTCTCTTTAGCATTAGTGGCTCTAAAATCTTCTAATCGCAATCAGCCCTCGACACAACACTTTTAGCCCCCGGATTATCGAACCTTATCGGTAAATCCCTTCATTAAATGCAAATAGTTGGACCACTGTAATCACGCGGCATCCCCCGTCCACGTGGCGGCTCGCCCCCACCCCGTCGCGCCGCCACCCCGCCGCCCTCATCCCACATAACTGAGATCAGTCCGATGGGGACTGTACTGGGGGGGAGGGAGATGAACGGTTTGACTTTGGGAGAGATTAGTCGACTGGGACTTTTCAAACCCTTCTAGATTAAACCGGGCCGGCCCATAATTAGGCGAGTAGAGTTGACCAGCACCGACATCATCAAGAGCATGTGCGCCGTCTTTATTGATTTCTATTTCTCGGGGGGTGGTTTTGAAACTCGAGTGCCTTGTAAAGGTCAGGAGGATGTAAAAGAAATAAATTACTATATAGCATTTTTTATGATAGGAATTGTTTTTACAAGGAGGTATGTGTGAAAATAGCGCCGGCCCAGGTGAAGGGCCTGCATGTAATTATTGGGCGTCAGGTCCGGTCACCCTCCTGGGCGGCGGAGGGATTGAATTGGTACGTTGTGGAGGCGGTGACGTCCTCCGTCGGACACGCTGATGTGGATTTATTAAATTATTTAGGGCAGTTGGCTGCAAGTTAAATAAATAATATAAATACTCCCATTTCTCCCCTCGCTTCTTCCTCGCGTCCTCTCGTCGGTAGTCCATCCCCCCATCTTTTCTCGGGTTTTCTTTTGGAGGGCGAAGGGAAGAGAATGGAGGTCAGCCGGGGGGCTTCCCTCTATTGCAGCTGTCCGTCGTCGTCGTCGTCTTGTCGTCCGGCTCACGCAGCTGCGGCGGGGGACAACGATGGGAGCGATCCTCGTACCTCCTCTGCGCGGCCACAGGCGGTGGAAGCAGAAGGAGTCGCGGCGGGAGTTAGGGAGGCGAACGGTTTGGAAGGAGGCGGCGTCTCTCAGTTCATCCCGCGGTTGATTTCGGGGGCGGTGTCCGGAGCGCTCACCGGTCTCTTCGCTTTGGGTAAGTGATCATTCAGACGCCTGGAATTTCTGATTGTGAGATTTGTCTCTTACCGATCCGGCGGGGTGGGCCATCGTCGTCGAGTGAAACAATTCAGATACCTGAGACGTTTGTCTATCTAACTATTTCGCAGATCGTCAGACGGAACTGCGAGGGGGATGATCTGATGTATACGATTTCTCATAGCCCATCTTACATGGGTGCTAGTTGAACCCTGTTATTTAATAAATCGCGTCCGGGTTAGTGCTATTTGATGAATTTCTGGGTTAGTGGATGTCTGCGGTTTGATCCATAAGACGTTCCTCTTATCAGATGCTTCCGGCGTTAATTCTTGGTTAATGATGGAGGATATACAGTTCATGCTGAGGTGCTCGGCACCATGGCACGGGAGGCTAAGTGTTTGGATATCCCTTACCATTTGGTAATAAACGTTCAAATCCATCATGATTGATTCTAGGAAGACATTTCAATGCCTCGAGAGGTCATTTCATGCGGTCTGTGCCCGAAAATTTTGAGAGCTTTCACTCAGTTATTGCTGAGGAATGCAGACGAGCTTGGAACCTCTGTGACAGGTGAAACTAACTTTGTTACTGTTTTTTTTTTTTATTGTTATTTTTTACCTTGCGACCGGATCATGTTTTCCTGTTTATCCTCTTAGTCGATGGAAACACTTTCCAGGGTAGTTGTTATAGACTTGTTATGCTTATAGTGGGTATAAGACGTCACATTGACTTGAATTTTTCTAGGGGACCCATCAACTGAAATTAAACATCCAAGTGATCAGAGTGAATATGCTGTTTTATGCATATAAACCCGGTTAAAACTTTTTAAAAAATGATGATTGAGTATTTTTTTCCTCGTGTAGGTAGTATTTTTTTCCTATATCTGTAACACTTCTGATATTTCGTTGCCTCCATTGCCAGCTGGCGCTGTCACTGGAGCGGTCTCTGGTGCATTGGCAGGTCGAGCTACTGATAGTGGTGTTCTTCGTGGAGCTGGTCTAGGGGCTGTTGCCGGAGCTGTCCTCTCTGTCGAAGTTTTAGAAGCATCCCGTGCTTATTGGTACGCGGATCGATTTGGCTATCGAAACCCCTCCTCAATGGTAAGCAGAAAACTCATGAGAAATACCCGAGCTAGAATGCATATTTCATCACCTCTATCATTGATCCTACGCATATTTCGTTGCCACTTGTCCTCATAAAATGTGTTTTGTATTCCGTGACCTACGTCAATGACAGCGTTTAAAACTTCTACATCAAGCTGGCATTGTAATTTCATTTTTCCTTGTTCGTTTCGTTCTGGCATTTAATATGCCAGATAATAAACCTCCTATATTTCAAAGATATTAGCCATCTAACTATTAACTGCGTATGCAGTTCTTCTCTCTCTCTTCCCCCTTCCTTGGCTGAACAGTTCTTAATTCCCTAATAAGCACTTTTATTTGCCCCCCTCGCTTCTTTCTCTGCCAACCGCACAGGTCACCAGTTCAACGTCTTTTCTACATTCACTTTTCTCTACTATAGAGCATGAAGTTGCATTTCATGTGCCCGCTTCTTTAGAATATTTACGGTGTACTATAATGGGTAATACCAGGACATGTTATTACGCACTTGATTTCTTCTGATATAATGCGTGAAACAATGGCCTGTTTTCTCGAGAATAGTAGCTGATTAGGAGATGCACGGTAAAAAGTTTAGAAAACCATCTAAGTGTTGTTCGTGATTTTTCTCTTTATCAGGCAGATTTCATTGATGAACTCCTCCGTGGTCGATTTGTGAGGGACCAATTTGCTCCAGCAATGTTCACTGCTTATCGTTGGCAGGTGAGTTTGCTTCTATCATGTCTCCTTTTACCATTTATGGATCCCGATTTCCTATGCACCGATGAAACTCCCATGATTGATATCAGCTATTTCTGGCATACCCCTTAAGAGTAATAGTCATCATGCCAACCCTCAGGAAGATAAGATATTGGCCAGAAGAAAAATCATCATGCCAACTATCTCACTTATGGCCCTCTCGTCCAGTCCATCTGCCTTCTGTGCTCCCTCTCTGCTCCGAATGGCCTCATGCTCCCACTCCTGCTACGGACCAGACTTGGGACCAGATTTAGTAATGTTTCAGCAGAGAGTGAGTCTTTCTGTCTTTCCTTGGGCTCCGCAGATCAGCATCTCGGACTTGGGACACGACGAAAACTACGACCTTTTCGGTGAAATCTCCCCAAGGGGCCTCTCCAGCGAGTCACTGAAGAGACTCCCCCGCCACGTGATCGAGGAAAACCCGAACGGCTGCGGTGAAAGCACCATCTGCACCATCTGCCTACAGGTATCCCTCTCTCTCTCTCTCTCTCTCTCTTCTGTTTCTCTTGTTTGTCTCGGGATCTGCTGATCCTTCCAATTAAAGAAGGTTGACCCGCTGCTCCCGGCAGGACATCGAAGTGGGCGACACCGTCCGGAGCCTTCCTCGCTGCTCGCACACTTTCCACCTGGTGTGCGTTGACAAATGGCTCATCAAGCACGTGTCCTGCCCAATGTGCCGCCGGGACGTGTAGCAGAGGGTTGACACTGGCAGCTGTTGAGACTCACACACACTCACACATGAGACCTGAGACCTTACCAGTCATGTACATATGATGTTGTATAGTTCAATTCTGCGGGTATATATATATACAGTGAGCCCTTTCGGTGGGGGGTGAAGATCAGGTTGACTTGGGTTCCCATATCCATATTGTTGGGGGGTTCACCTTACCCATTATCTTTGACTTTGTCTTGGTTTCGATGCTGCCCATTTGATCCCTGACTTCGTCTTATGATCTATATTTGGTAATTTTGGTGTTTAGAGGAATAATATGAGCAATGATTTACTTTTTCTGGGCTCCTCAATTTATATTATTTATTAAATGCAGTGCTTGTCTTTCTCTCCCTTCCTGTTGCTGAATGATGGGGACTTTTCCCTTTTTAGTCTTAAGACACTGCGGTGGAAATAAACCGCGTGTTATTATATCAAATAATACAATGGAGCTTTGACTTTATTACCTTCGCCCGAAACCCAACGCACGAGGTGCGGAGACGTGGAAGAAGAACGATGGCGAAGACCTTTGCTTTTTTTATTTTAAGTCAATGGCTAGTGAGACTCGTGGCACGATTAGGACGCTTGGATCGGTAAAGATGAGTAAACGATAAAGATCGTGTTAATTTAGTGCAGAAAAATAATTTAATAAAATATTAAATAATACCTATTAAAATGTATACAAACGGTGTGAGAGAGAGAGTACTTAAAATCACTTTAAATATATATATATATTAATTATTTTAGGATATTACACGAAGGAAGACCGGGCCAATGCTTCGTACTGCGATTTCGGAACGGACTTCGCTTCTGACGGATTTTCCCTGTTTTGAGCCCACACGTGACGCGAGATCCTCGCATGGGACGACACGAGAGAGAGAGAAAGAGAGAGAGAGACCCACAATCGGCCTGGACGCAGGAAAAGGCGAGGTTGGGAGACCAAAGAATGAACAGTTGGTAACCATTGTTGCAGCTTTAAGCTTCATCTCCGATCCTGGGTATAGAGAGGAAGGAAAGGAGGAGAGGGAGAGGGAGAGGTGTGTGATAGGGGCGACGACGAAGCTTCGCATTCATCTGAGCGGAATTTACAAACAGATCGAGACGCAGGAGGGACGAGTTGGTGGTGGTTGGCAGGGTGTAATCGTCACTGAATCAGTCAGAGCCGGACTGTGCCGTGGTTTCATTCAACTAGAGGCAAAACCGTAGGCGATGAGGGAACAGGGGCATTGACCATGGCGGAGACGGGAGCCGCTCCCTGGAGAAGCGAGCGGCTGCATTAGGTCGTCAATCTAGCGGCCTCTTTGCACTCACTAACCGATGCGGCGGCGCGGTGGCGGCCGTTCGTCGTCCCTCTTGAGGCTCGTCTGGGCATCGGCGTGGATGTGAGCCCTCAGAAGGATGCATGGAATCACATCCGAGGATTTGTCCTCCCGCGGCTTCGGCCACTCTTCCTCATCCCCGTCCTTGTTGCTGCACCAGCAGCCGCAGGCTCCGCCACCGCTGAAGCCGCTGTGGTCGCAGCTGCAGCAGTCCCCTCCGCGAGCTCGGTTGCACCTGTATTTCATAAGGGCGTGCATGGGGATACTCGTGTTGACATGCCTGATCCAGCTTGTCACCGTTGGTCAGATCTGGCACCGTCCTCGCCTCCCAAACCTCGGTGGCAGTCGTGGGCAGTACCAGCTGATTGGCAGGTCTACGCCGGCTTCCAATGAGGGAAGCCCCGGTCCGGTTGCTGCAACACCTCCCATCCTTCCTGCGAGTAAGTGCCTCATCATCTCTTCTTCAGCTTGGTAGAGATAGAATCTGAATCCCTTCTACTTTTAATTACTTACAACACCTGTGACGACGGTAAGTTCTGAGATTGCCGAATTGCATAAAAAGGGAAAGGTAATGGTTGCCTGAATATTTGGATCGTATGCAGTGATTGTGCCCACTTTAGACCAGGGCACAGGCAAATCGTTTATTCATTAGGGATATGTTGGGGATGAAAAGGGTTAGTTTTGGCCTGTATGGAGTGTTATTGGATGTTCTTCTCGAAATCATCCTTGAAAAACAAACAGGTAAAGTCTTTCAGTCGTTCCCACCGAAGTAGGACCTGAGAAAATATATAAATGGATAAGGAATCTACTTACTGGAAGATGGTGCAACGGAAGGTTTCCGCACTATCTCTCATCGCAGCAGTACTTCGGAGGTTGGTATCCAATACATGGCCTCAGACCCAGTACAGTCTTTTTACCTTCGTAAGCTTTTTGATGGCGCTTCAGTGTGCCTAGGTGGGTTCCTTATCTCCCTGGTGAAAATTTGGTAAGGCTGTCCGTTCAATTTTCTTGATCCCTCAAGAAATATTGTAATGGTGATCTGTGATTGCATTCTGTCAGATGGGGATCCAGTTTTGGATTTTGACGCTGACTCAATTGTACATTCAAATTTACCAGATTTTGCAGCTTCAAGGCCGATTGAGAGATGTTTCTAATACCATGTGTCAAAAATTTCTTGCTTTGGAATAAGGTCAGAGAGGAAAGGCGTGAGAGAGTGGATATTTATAGATAATACTGTCGGACGCTCATACCACACGAACAGTGTTTCAATTATAGTAGTAAACGAATATGGAATATGATGGTCTTAGTGCATCAGTTGGGGTTTCATGCTGTATAAAAAGATTTTTCTATGAGGGATGTTACGAGCATCATCTTTGCTTATACCCTACATTATCAGAAAGCAGCTTGATTCAAATTAAAATGAATCAAGCTGGCGAGAACATCTTAGAGAGAGAGAGAGAGAGAGAGAGAGTGGAGGCTGAAGGTTGGACATGGCTGGCAACGGCCGTGGTAGAGAGAGCTGAGAGCTATCAGGAATGAGGGAAGGAAGAGGGAGGCCATCCTCGAAGCCCATTGAGAGAAGAAGAAAGGATGGAGTCCAAGACCAAAGGATGCGCGGGGACTGATATCCCCCACCGACCACGAATAGGAAAATGAACATTTGGGAGGGCTGATTGCTCGTTTGAATTGTTGATGAAAGGTAGGCTTTATTGCTATAATATCATAAGATTTAGCCAATGTATGCGGCCGAAGAGATCACCATCCTGATGAGCGTTGTAGTGTGAAAAAGCGGTCAAGACATGGCCAAATCTCTGGAGAGATGCTACATGGACTAATAGATGACTGGCAAATTGTCAATGGAACTGCTGACATGGGCCTTACCCTGCTGACATGGGTCTGACCCCACAATCCTAGCACATTCATGAAGATCTTACCCATCTGAATCGAGTTAAAAATGTCTCAGAAACCTCGACTTATGACATGCTATATTGTACATCCTACCGAAATCATTATATCGATTCATTTCTTGGTTGCTATCTATATTTATTACTTATATAAGTATATATATATTCTTCAGAATAAATAGTCTGGCTATTGTTTGGTAATGAGTACTTTGTTTACACTTTTTTTTCGTTATCTATAATATTTTGACCAATAATTTTGCAGAAATATACTTGAATGTAATCTGTAAGTAGCGAACGCTTCATCTTAATTTTTCCCATGTTATTTGATATTTTGAACAACCAAATAACTTTTCAGGAATCTACAAGAGTAATGGGTATCTCGAAGTATCTTGCAATGGAGGCTTGAACCAAATGCGTGCAGCAGTAAGTGAATAGTTCCTGAATTCTTCGTTCTTCTTTGTTTTCTTCAGAATTGCTGCTGCCGTCTAATTTTGTGCTCATTTATTTCAGTGCTTTGTTTATTTTTCAGATCTGTGATATGACGACAATAGCTCGCTTTTTGAATCTCACTTTAGTTGTTCCAGAGCTGGATAAGAAGTCTTTCTGGGCTGATCCCAGGTATTTCTCATCGGCTAAATAGCTCATATTTTCTAACATTTTATGGTCTGCAACTAGCAGTAATTTTTTTTAATTTACTTGGCAGTGATTTTGCTGACATCTTTAATGTAAGCAATTTTATCAACTCACTGAGAGATGAGGTCCGTATCATCAAGAGGCTCCCCAGGAGGATTATCGGAAAAGGCTCCCCAGGAGGATCATTTATGATGCCTCCAGTTAGCTGGTCAAATGAAACTTATTACTTGACCCAGGTTAAAGCACACTTGTTTCACTGTAATTGAAGATCCATACATTTCCGTTTTACTTGCAACGTATCAATAGTCATTTTTATGTCAGTTTTTGAGAATTTCGGTCAGTTCTTAATTCTTGAGAACTGCATTCTGTCTCGTGGGCTCTTTGATAGCTTTCCCATTCTCTCCATCCTGCTTTCCAATTGGCTCTCAGATTCTGATTCTCATGCCTCTGTATCTGCATTCCGACTGTGCTGAGAGGGTCTCCATTGTGCAGATTTTGCCTCTTTTTGGTAAGTATGAAGTGATACATTTTAACAAGACAGATGCACGGTTGGCAAACAATGGTCTTCCCATTGAATTGCAGAGGCTTAGATGCCGAGTTAACTATCAGGCTCTGAGGTTCACCGATCAAATTGAGTCATTGGGGAATAAACTGGTTCAGATTCTTCAAGCCAAAGGATACTTTGTGGCATTGCATCTGAGATACGAGATGGATATGCTGGCTTTCTCTGGTTGTACACATGGCTGCTCCGATGAAGAGGCAGAGATGCTTAAGAGGATGAGGTTTGTTCTACTAGATCCCTCTCCTAATTGTGATAACACATTATGGGATTAGTAAACTAGAAGAAACAGGGTCTTGATCTCTGCTATTATACAAGTTAGGGAACCCATCTTTCAGTCCCCTGGATTCTTGTATTTCTAAACTGTAAATGGTGGGATAATATGCAGGAGTATGATGATAAAAGATCCCATAGAAAGAACTATTGGTGGATGTGACAGCATTTTGTGCTCTACTAATTGTTTTATTTCCAGAAAAAGCTGTGTTTAGTTATACACGATGGCTCATGCTCTATATACCTCCCCTTCAGATATGCATATCCATGGTGGAGAGAGAAAGAAATTGCCTCCGAAAAGAAGAGATTGGAGGGCCTCTGTCCTCTCACACCAGAGGAGGCAGCATTAATATTACAAGCCCTGGGCTTTGGAAGAGAAACTCAGATCTACATTGCTGCTGGGGAGATATTTGCCAGCGAACTGAGGCTCAAGGCATTGAAAGCGGCATTCCCTCAGCTTGTGAGTGTTTTTTTCCATCCTAAGCTTTATTAAGGACGATCACTTGGTCATCCAGTTTTAGAACGCATGCATATTCTTAAGGGCCTCTTGGATAAAAGCGGAAATGAAGTTCATGTCCATCCAACGTAATTTATATTTGGGAAATTTAGCCACTCAATCCTTGATGGAATGCTTTGATGCATGTTAACAGTTTCCACATTTGCTGCTCCATCAGGGAGATATGGGCTCAAATGGGCTCTCTCGGCCCCATCACATGCCGATCCTAATGTACTGAGCTTAATCCATTGTGGAGCTCATTTTGTTGACATTTGAAAACCCTTTTTCATTCTATTTTTGGTCCTTGAATCTAATCTCTTGGCTAAACAGTGGTTGCAAAAAAAAATTTTGTTGTCTAGGTAAGAAAGGAAATGCTTCTTGACCCAGAAGACTTGAAACAATTTCAGAACCATTCTTCCCAAATGGCTGCCCTTGATTACATGGTCTCAATAGCTAGTGATGTTTTCATTCCCACCTACAATGGGAACATGGCTAAAGTCGTTGAAGGCCACCGCAGGTGCGACCTAGTTCTCTGGTCTTCTTCATGCAATCTTGATGCTAAGCGTCATCTAGGGGACCTGATTTATGTACCAATTTGTGTATATTTCTTCGAAATCTTTCACAGGTATCTTGGCTACAGAAAGAGCATCTTGCTGGATCGGAGAGAATTGGTCAGGCTTCTAGACTTGTTTCAAAACCAGACACTCTCCTGGGATGAGTTTGCTAATGGAGTCCAAGTGGCTCATATGAATAGGATGGGGAAGCCTTCCCCTCGCAATGTTATACCGAATAAGCCGAAAGAGGAAGACAATTTCTATGCCAATCCATGGGAATGTCTCCGTAATCCCTCGTAGGAGAGGGAGAGAGCATCAATGCAGAAAACGATTAAACCTAGTGATGTGATGCTTCCAAGTTGCCCAATGTTCGTTGGCTGGAGGGCTAGGAATGGATGGATCTAGCTGCAATGCTCAGTGTGCAGCACAAGAGATCTGATTACACTTGGGAGCTTGAGTTTTGTTTCTGGGAACCCAAGGGCTTCTTCTTGGACTCTCGATTACAGCACAGGAGATGGAACTACACACCAAGTATGGCCAGGTTTTGGCTCATTTGAATTTTTTAATTTATTCCTTTGATATGTTCCTCATCTGTCAGCTCCGAAAAAATGATTTTTTTTAACATTGTAATCTACCTGTGAGATCAGCATACATAATTGAGGTATTGACAGCATTCACCATTGTGATTCCCAAGAAGTCCCTAGTTCTTGGAAACCTGGAAACTTCGGTTGATGTTTGGTATAATGAGTGTGGCATATCACAGATCTGTTGCAGAACCAATCTCCACGGCCATGCTGACACAAAGTAATTGATAGAGTAGCCTTACATGAAATGGTACAATTAAATAACTGTGCTAAATTACTTGGGAGTTCAACTCTACCGCTTGATTCAGATCAATTAAAGAATGGTGTGAAATCATACAAGTTCTGCTCTACCCTACCCATTGATTCTGTGATTCTCTAATACAGTATTAGAGTTCTAAGCCTTATTCTTGAGCTGTTAGTTTTTTCTTGTTTACATCACAAAAGTGCAAATTCATTGGTCTCACATTTGATATAATACAACAAAACCATTAGGCATTTAGATATATTTCAAGATCCATCAATTATTTTGAAATCAGAGGGCTAGATTTTATTTTTTTTACCAAGATGTTCTATGTGACTCATGTCACTATTCAAGAGACACATCTCCATCAGATCTTCTCATAGGCTTGCGCAGGTTCCGGAATTTTTCGTAACATAAAAAATAGATACCAAGCTTATTATATAACAAAGCCACCAATTGTACTTGACAGGCAACGAACCCTGTCGATGATCAATAGGACTGATAAGTACAAGGAAACATAGCCACATGAGCCTCACCACCCCCACAATGCCCTCCTTCCAGTCACAAGCTGGAACTGTTCTTGCTTCTGAACCAGATCTCTCGATCCCAGAGTAAATAGAACAGCTTTTTTTTCTCATTCTACCAGCTAAGCAGCAGAACTGTAAGAGAATGATCCAATCGTCCTCCGGAAGATAGAATCTGAGATCTTTACTTCGACTCCCAGAAGATGATTTCACCCTCCTCGCCCACCAACCCTAAGTCCTTGAGCCTCCTCTCTTGGTAATATTCCAGGCCACCCAATTCCTGCTCCCTCTCTTCGAAAATCATGTCGATCTGCTTCAGCACCTTCTTTTCCCCCTCGCGAATCCAGACTGCTATTTCAAGCCTCTGGTCCAAGCTTCCAGCTTCTCTAATGGCTTCATCCTGAGAAGAGGAGTGGTGAGCTCAACAAGAAGATGCAAAGTTGTTGCACAGAATCACAATAAATACTACTCTTTTTAAACGATTTTTGTGCATCATTTTATCCCGGAAAGATGGCATTGATTTCTTTTTGAAAGAGATTGACTCTTTGATCACTTATCATCACAGTTTAAGAGTATGTTGGAACGGAGGCTTCCAACAAGTTAGGATCACTTGATTACATTGGAAGATCTCAGAGTACTAGAACAATTTTTGGACTTCCAAGGTCTATTTTTAGAGGGTACAGGTGAAACCATGATCCCATGAAATCTATTTTTAGTTTATTATTTGTGTGCCGGCATGAGATTGAAATGATAATTTCGATGCAACTTCTGTGACCTTAATTTATGATCCACGAAACATTGGTGCCTCAAGTCTTATGCTTGTGGGAATCAATTTGGTTGGCATGAACTCCATGGATAGATTGACTAGAATTAAAATAAGAAGAGGATAAAATTCTTATACGGTCTATTACTTCATGGAAGTAGTAGTTGATTGAGAGATCTAACATCTCACAAGGGAAAAATTTATGCACGTATATACCAAATTTGTGCAGCATTTGACAATATAAAACCATATTGAAATAGTTCAAATGAGCTTGCGCATTAAAAAAGCCCAAAAATTGAAATCCGGTGCACTACTACCACTACTGACCCCTACCACTCCATTAGGAATGAGTGTAGACTAAGTTTACTTCTTTCTGAGAAATCTCCAGAAGCCTGCCATCTGGTAAAAGCCTTCAACAGCTTCACTTTCTTTACCTTGGTTGATTCCCCTGCACTATTTAATTAATCATTGCAAATTAAAATTGATGAATTCTATTTCAAAGCATTGATTGCGCGTTTTTTTTTACCTAGTTTCTTATGACAGAGCTTTAAACACCTTTCAATTGCTAAACGGTGAAGAAAGATTACACTGAACATATCAGACTGTATACATGTAAATAGAACAATAGGTTCTTGCGATTTGGGGGATGATGATGATGATTTCATGGCCTACCCAATTGCTATTTTAGGCAATGGCGGGAATTCTCCTTCTCCCTCTGTGCTATACAACAGGACGGCAGGAACAAACTACTGTCGCTATATGTTCCTTCATCTCTCTCTCATTGCATCTAGCAACAGCAGCTTCTCTCTCTACGATTGCTGTCTCGGTAAGCACAGCAGCAGTGGTAATATGACGGAAATATGATATATATTGGAGAGGGAACATGTGGGAAAAAGTGACTATTCATAACTTCGTTTTGATTATCTGAAGTTAGATTTCCATCACCCTACCATCTACAAATGAAAATAAATTGAATGAATTTAATTTAAAACAGCGGAGAAATTCAACTCATTAGATGAGTCAACATGTAAACTTAACATTTTATTGAATTTTGAGCTCGTTTGCCATTTATAATACCGAACTTGTTTATCTTATAGCATATAAATGGAATAAAGATAATATCGAGAATAAGAACCAAAAAAACTTACTTCTTCAATGGTAGTTTGATAGGCAGACATTGCAGACCTGCAAGCATCTCTTATCACACGGCAGATCAACTCCTCGTTCTGATAGCTGACAGGTAACTCGAGGTGACCCCACACAGAGTTTCTGAATAGGGCTTCTAAAAGAAATGAATCGGATCCTTCGAGAGCTATTAAACGAAGATAAGGGAGCATCAAGGGAGGAAGAGCTTGATTTAGGTAAATATCGAAATACGCAGTCTCCCCCAAGCCATTAGATTCAGCAATATCAAGCTTATCATCAAGAAACGCTTCTGATTCGGGGATCTCAAGGGTCAAAGTGTATGAATCTCGATCCAATGTCTTCTCAATAAACCCGTAATCAAGTGCTAGTTCAGCGTTGCTTTTTCCAAGGTCATACTGTATATAAACCTGCACTGAAAATTGTGTAATTCAGAATACGTACTGTGTTATCTCCAGTTCTTAATTCTGAGGTCTAAGTGCGGATTTTCTTCCTATATATATTTGGTTGTGACATGCAGACCTACTATCATTGTAAATCCCACTAATTCAGCAAAGAAGCATGAAATATGAATATCATACTAGAAAGAATAGGGATTGAATTCGAATAACTAAAAAACCAACGCGCCCATAACATAACTAGATCATTTGATTCATAAATAAACAGATATCTTGATCGACGGACATCAAGAGCAACTTCAGGTGGATATAGGAGAATGAGATCATAACAAAACATCCAGAGCAACCAGAATTGAAGAAACAAGAAAAAGCAGCATTGCAGCTCCAAAACTTTTTTTTTAAAAAAAAGGAGGAGAAAAAGGAAGAGTGACAGCGGCAACAATCAAAAGTGAAATCTACAATTTATACCACTCTCGACAATCTTAAAAAAGGGTATTCAGAGAATATCAAAATAAAGGAATAAGCGCAAATCTATGGCGGGAGTATCAAATATCAAGCTAATCTCTTGGGTACAAGCTGAAATATCATTCAAGCAGAGAAGAGTTCACTTGGTTTTACACTATGTTCAGTCAGTTAATATCTAGGTGAGCTCAGCTTGTTTCACCATTGAATACCTGCAACTGATGACTCTTATGAAGAGTCAACAAACGTACGGAAATGTTGGGACACTACTAAAATCTATGATACATATCATAGAAGGTGAGCTCTCCAACTTTTCTTCCTTCGTCTTCAGAATCTGTGCAAAGTCTATGATACCCCTGAGGACCTTTCACCAGATTAATCAGCACAGAATGTAGTTCTCCACCAGCTAACGGGTCTCATGGGCGTTTGACAATCTCTCTTACAACTTAAGTTATATTAACTGATTATAATGGTAAGAATGTGAACTGGTTGGAAAAGTCGACAAATAATTGAGTTCTTTCCGGGCCAAATCAATGGAAAAAGTTCTATGATAATGGTGGCATGATGGACTAAGTATATAAAGTTTCCAGTACGTTGCATAACAAAAAAGCATAATTCGAGAACAGCTGACAGTTTATTTACAAGTTTACGTCTCCTAATTCAAACTCAGAAGGATTAAACCAGAATTTTCTGGCGAAGTCAAGTATACTTTTTACCCTGCATTGAAAGATACTTTTTAAATAAAACAAGGTTCTATAACCAATGATTCACCCTCCAGACTTTTAAGCATTATCCATTTATACCATTAAGCGAAAAAGTCATGAAAAGAAAGTCAGGACAGAAATTAAATAGAAAAATATTTCACCTGTTCACCTGCTTTGACAGGAACTGTTGTCCTCAATGAGAATATTTCCTCCCGTGAGAAAAGGCCCTTTCCTTTGATTTCCCACGCGGAGTCTTTTGAGGTGATTTTCGGACTATGGTTTACCTTTGAAGGAAAACCAGAGAACGTTAGGAAGAAAAAATAAAAGAGAAGTCAGTTATGGTCAGTATGAAAATAAATGAAACTTTTAATAGATCTCTAGCAGGCTCAATTATTCTGTAAAAAGAACGATTCATCTGAAGCAGGTAACACTAATTACGATTTAATATTTAATACCCATGAAACTAATTTGTGCTGAGTTTTGATGAGGGTCAATCGACCCACGATTTGCAGGTACAGCTAAATTCGTATTCAGATCAAAAATTGGAACATCAGGACTTAAATGAAAGGGAAAAAGCACATCCTTCCTCTGAAGTATAAAAAAAATGTCTGGTTTGGCCAATTATGCGGAAAAGGTAGGAAGATAGGTGTATAATAGATGTAGATCATATCCATGGTGAAAAAAGCGCTAATATCGTTATGTAGAGAAAACAAAGCAGCCATGTGGACAGCCTTTGGTCCCTCAGGGCCCAGAACAATGGTGCAAGGCTTCTTGTAATCATCACTCATAATTGATCTTGCACGTACTTTTTTATTCACAGATGCATGGTGTTCAGCTCTATTCTTTTTTGGTAAACAATAAATACGGTACTAAATTTCATAGATTTCATATTGAATATCTATCATAATCGGTAAACAATAGAAGCTGCACTGATTCTATTTTCTGTTTGTATTCACTTCTAATTGTTTACCGTTTTCTTATTTTTATTTTTATATATCCTACATACGTGAAAGCCCATCCCGAACTAGGAAGCCAATCGTATTCTGCAGCCTGTCAGTAGACCACCTATATACATGTAAGAACCTTAATTCGTTCCATTCTTATTGTTGAGTAGCAAGCTTAACGACCCAGACAATAGTAGAACTTGCCTTACTAAGAGAAAACACTAAGCCTCGAAGCCTGTAATCATACCAACGCTTCTCCCCATGATATTGCATTGTTATGTCATCAATTTCAATTTACAAGATTCTAATAGTCCAAGTCTAAGAACGTTATGTGATCGCCATAATTCAGAAAAATCAGCCATTTTAACTTATCCACTTCGTGATCATTGATGAAATCATGTGTCATATCCTCCTGCTTTGACTTAGAAAAAAGCTGCCTAAAAAATGTGAAATTTCTTCTAGCATTATCGGAGAGAAACAATGCGTTTCCCAAAGGAGGGCTTGAATAAATGGCGGATAATAAATTTTAACGATGTTTTGTCAACGTTTCTATACCGAAAAATGATTTAATGATTGCAAAGCCATAAATAACTCACAAGATCAGCTACCGGGGTCAAAATAAGATTTTCTCCACTTAGGCCAGAAAATGTCCGCGACCTGAGTATCCCAAAAGCCCAAACAAAGTCCTCAAATGTTATAGGTGAGGGAAAAACACGTTTGTAAGGTAGTAGAATGTCTTCTTCAACCTTCAGAAATTCACTTCTCAAAAAATCTTTGACTCCAAAAACCGTACTCAGTAATTGGGTCCCTGTAAAAGAAATTCATGTCGGCAAGAAAATGTAAACACCTCAATACATTTTAGCGACATAAATGAACAATAAATCATTAAAGCAAATAGCTTCATATAATTGAACAGGCCCTTCAGTAGTCAGAGTAAGTTATAAGGAAAAAACAGAATCAAAGGGCTTATTGCTTCACAAAGTCCGTGATGACACTCAAAACCGTACCATGATACCGGATCCCTCGTTTCTCATAGAATGTGTGAGCACAAAAAGTCAAACCTGCACCTTCTCTTAGGATGTGCGCACCTTTTCTTCAGAAAAATCTATCTGCCGTTCAAAAACCTACTGATTAGGTGTAATGTGCTCTCCCCAGCACAGAATCTCAAATAATTGAATGAGCAAAGAGCAAGCTGGACTAATAACTATGGAACCTCTCTGGAAATTTCCAGGAATTTGGATCAACAAAATCCCCCAGGGTTGGATTTATACCAGAATCCTATCCAGTGTAGCACTTCAATTGGTGCAGCTGTTCAACTCCCTCCGGACTTATCTCTAGAACCCCCAAACGCACAAGGTCTCAAAGAAATTTTCGAGTGAACCAAAAAGAAGGATGAGAAGTATGAAACTTAAAAAATGGAGAGGATATGACTTCAGGGAGGAAGATATTGATTAGATTTGAAGAAACCCATCTGAGAAAGTCCCCAACCTGGTCAAGATGGCAAAATAACTCACAGGAGGAAATGCCAGCCATGATGGGGGAGCATTCATAAAAAAAATCACCAAACAAAACGAAAGTTCTTGAGTGGATAGAATTTCGGCTGACCTTGCAGCTCAGAGAGCTCCTGTTCTGACCTGTAATGGAAAACCCAAGGGACGTTCAATAGAGGCAGAACCGTGGCCCAGACCAAACTACAATCCATCTAACAAAGAAAGCGCCTGCCTATCGGTAGTAACCTTGGGCCATCTCAAAATCAGAGCATGAATTCGAATTCGAACTAGGACACACAGACACACACCGTCTTTCAAGAAAATGGGACCGATAAGCACAGAGATGTAATGGCCGGAGAGACTGACGAACCAGAACAAGGGGGAGTTCGTAGACGGCGGGAGGATGTCCAGGTACGGCTTCCAGGAAGATTCCACGCCCCGGGCCTTCTCCCTGAGGAGGAACAGCGCCACCGATACCCACGGTCTGAGACCGGAGCAGAGTCGACCCAACTCGGGATCAGCAACCACAGTCTCCGGGCTGATCCAGAGCCGTTTGGGGACCTCCACCACCACCTCGTTCCGGGAGAGATCCCTCTGAGCTACCAGCCCCAGGCCCTCCGGAACGGCGGCGAGCTTCACCGCCTGAGCGGTGGCGCCATTCTCTACCGCCCATTTCCAGAAACTGCTAAGGGCGTTTGGAGCAGCCTCCACTTCCCGTCCCTGCGATTGCAGCGATCTCACAGCTGTCACCGCGCGGTGAGGCCGAATTGCCCCCACTTCGTTCCTCAGAGCTCCTTTCTTCCCCTTCCTCTCCCGCCGGTGATGGAGGGGCGAAGCCGTGGGTATCAGTGGAGAGAGCCGCTCACCGCTCGCCCAACGGAGAAGAAGAGAAGAAGATGAAGAAGAAGAAGCAAAAGCCGTCGCGCCACCGCCGGGAGGCGGCGGATGGAGAGGCCGGAAGCAGTGCGCCGCCGCCATCCTCTCTTCTACTTCCAGCAACGGACAACGGGCGGCAACAAAAACGAAACCAGATAGATAGATAATTCAGTCGGAATTCCTCAAATCGCCGCCGTCCAATCAGTGAACTTCCCCCGTCGAAGGGTGGAGATCCACCGTTCGTTTTCGAAAAGTTATATTCATCTGATAGAAGACGCCGCTCAGGCTTCACAGATTTCTTTTTTACGTCACAATAATACAAAAAAAAGAAAAGATATTAATAAATATCGGCATATGAAAGCGAAATAGAGAATAACCCGATTAATTTTATTTAAATTAAAATATATATATAATGACTGTACAGACATGGAACCCGGGTCAAGTTCTTGACTTTGGGCATCGTGGCGCAATCTTAACCGTCGATCTTGCTCTGCACCGTCAGATTTAGCTGGCCTTAGAGAAAAAAACCTCTTTTTATTACCCATGGCACCTTGTTCTTCACACACACTCAGATGAAACCCCTCAATCTGGATCACAGTAGGGCTCAAACAAGAACAAGGGTTTCAAGGGGCAGGGGAGGGAGGGAGGGAGGGAGAGAGAGAGTGAGAGAGGACAGAGAGGGAGAGGGGGAAAGAGAGGACAGAGAGAGGGAAGGGAGAGAGATAGAGAGAGAGAGAGAGGGAGAGAGAGATTGTGGAAACTACTCTGAACCGAGATCAAGGCAAGCGAATTGTCTTTCATTACTCGCACAGGTAGCTCAAAATTTCATCAATGAGAGGAAGAAACTAAAATCTTACAGCTTCAGAGGAGCTTAAAACTGAAACAACGCACTAAAAGAGAGCTCCGTGTTTATTGTTTCCCGTCCCAGTCTGAAGAAGCTCCCTGCTTCCAATTCCATGCTCAAGATGAGGATCTCTGTCATCAGAAGTGGGTTTTAAGGGAAAAAAAATTAAAAAAAGTGAAAGATTATAACATAGTGTTTGATGGGTAGTGTGATTGACGAAGAAAGAAAAAATTCAAACTTTCTAATGGATAAGATCACTGAGCCCCAAACTTGAACATCATATATGGAGAAATTAGTGAGTTGGCAGGCCAATTTCTTCTGTTATGGTCGTCGGCTGAATGATTTTATCAGTTCCTAGGGGAAGATTAAAAACATGGTCAACCCTCTGCTCAATGCCGAGCTCAGATTGGAGGGCCAGCATTGATATTCCCCAAAACCATTCTCAGCATTCAGCAAAGTATCTCCTCCTGAGAGTCTCTACTGGTTGCAGAAGTAGAGAAAAGCTGAGAGAGCTACAGTACCTTCGAGTGGATGAGCACTGGGGAGATTGCAATCCAGTGAGCAGATGTCCTACAATCGGAAAGATGATGATGCCCCCGGCGGCAGTAATGCCAGTAATCCATCACCTGGGACAGGAATTTCAGCCAAGAACGTCAATTCTTTGCCTGAACCTCTGAGAAGAAGATCATCCATAACGGTGGGAGGTTTTAGGAAGCCCAAGCGTCGAGCTCAGACGAGGAGGAGGACGAAGCTACCAACCTCGATCCACTTTCGGTTTCGATTCTTCACACGCAGGAGCTCCGGCCGCCGCCAGGGTAGAATGCTTCCTAAGACTCTGCCAAGAGATCGCTGCTTTCCGCTTCATCCTGTGGATCCAAATCTGGCGATCCGGCCTCCACTCCTGAATCTTACGGAGAGGAATCGTCTCCCCGATCGGTTCCTCTTTCATGTGAGATGCGAAGAAAGAGGGCTTCGCTCCGGCCACAGCAATCCTCGGCAAGCCCCGTAAGCCATCGAAGGGAAATGAATGTGCAGCCGTCCCCTTGGCGGAAATCGCCGAGGGGGACAAGGCAGAGTTGATAATGCTCTTGATGGGAGTCTGATCCACTCTCCCCGGCAGCGTGGAGAAGGAAAACCGGCCTCCATCAGTGGTAGCGGTGGTGGATTCGAGGATCTTCTTCGGCAGAGAGGCCGACTGTTCCTCTCCCGCGGCGCTGCGCTCCCTCTGGCATCGTGGCGGCGTCTCCCCCTCGATCCAGCGAACCAGAGCAATCTTCGAAGAACGATTGGGGTCGTACTCGATCCTCTCCACGATTCCCACCCCGGGGTTGCTCCGCTTCAGGTCGATCTTGCGCAGCAGCTGCTTCGCCCCGCCGCCCCGGTGGAAGGCGGTTATACGCCCCTGAGAGTTCCTCCCCCCGGTCTTCCCCTTGCACCGGGTGAACTGCCTCAGCGCCGCCACACCCTTGTTCGCCATCCAGGCGGCTCGGAGAGACCGCCCTCGGAGCTCGGAGCTCGGAGTTGGACTGGAACGACCAGTTGGGGAAGAGAACCAGGCAACAAACAAGAAAAGCCCTAATTTCTGAGCTCCTGTTCCGTGTTGAAGCCCAATTAAATCGGGTTGGGCTGCTCAGATAGCCCGATAAAACCATCGTCGGCCCAATAATCCCCCGACGTCGACGAGCTGCTGTCCGCAACACATGCTAAACAAGCAGCCTAACGTCCTGATCTTCCTATTTCGGGAATCAAATCCAACCCAAAACGGGCCCGTCCGGAAATGCCCTGCTTAAGCCTCTAATTCCACCCATTCGAGATAGAGAGAGATAGTAGAGAGAGAGAGAGAGAGAGAGAAATAGTGGACCAATGAGAGGACTGAGACTCAGATCGGCGGCGCGGTGGGGTCAAACAAACCTCAAATGGAGAGAGAACCCAAGGGGTTGGAAGATCAAACGCTCCAAATCTTATGAATTCGTGGATGCCGGGGAGGGAGGGTGGGTCTTGTGAGGGAGAAAAATCCCAGGACAAACAAGAACACAAGGGGTGGCCGGGGGGGAACCAATCATGGGAGTCAGACGTATTTGAGGGCCTGGACGACGTCCGCCTTCAAGTCATCAAAATCTTCCACGCCGAAGCTGAACCGAACCAGGTTGTCCTTGATCCCATACTTCACCCTCTCCTCCTGGCTCAGGTCCCTGTTCATCCACGCACACACCACAACATCACACACGAGACTCCTCTTAATACTAATACAAATCCCTCTCTCTCTCTCTCTCTCTCTCTCTCTCTCTCTCTCTCTCTCTCTCTCTCTCTCTCTCTCTCTCTCTCTCTCTACACACTAGGAAGAGAATGGAGGATGGGGGGTACTAACCAGTAGGACATGATGGCCGGCTGGTCAACGATGCTCTCGCAGCCGCCGAAGGAGGGGGCCAGGTAGGGGATCTTCAAGTTGTCGATGAACCTGATGGTGTCGTGCAGGTCCCCGTCAACCTGAACCAACAGAGACAAAGAAAGCTCCCATTTTTAGAACGGGCTGGAAGAAACAAGAAAGCTCTCTCTCTCTCTCTCTCTCTCTCTCTCTCTCTGTATATATATATATATATATATATATATATATATATCTACAGCGGAGAAGGGTCATCAATAGAGGTCCGGCAGGGGGTTCTCACCTCAAAGCTGACGACGCCGCCGAACCCAGTCATCTGCTGCCGAGCAATGTGGTGCTCCGGGTGGCTCTCGAGGCCCGGGTAGTAGACGCGACGGATCTGCCAGAGAAGAAGAAAAGGCCCACACACCTTCAGTCCTCTGACCACTCAAGAATGAACATGACATCTCTCTCTCTCTCTCTCCTCTCGCTATATACATACATACTCTTTCTATACCTTGGGATGCTCCTCTAAAAATTGGGCCATCCTCAACGCTGTCTGATTGTGCTGTTGCACACGGAGGTGAAGCGTCTTCATGCCTCGGAGGATCATGTAAGCCGCATTCTACAAAAACGAGGGGGAAAAAAAAAGGAGCATATTCCTTGAGATACAATCATGGCTAGAAAATATCAAATATTTGCCTCGCGAGAGATAATGGCATGATATGATCATAAAATGAATCTACATTTTTGCTCTGGTTAGTCGGATATTTAATGCAATGATTTGCAGCATAAACATAACTCCAAAATATCAAAAATCTATCAGTCAGATCATCAACACTTTATCATAATTTCCCCACCATGTTGAATTATCATCATATATGAACATAAAATTTTGAGAGAGGACAATATTTTCTCCTCTAGTTAGGGATTTATTAGAGCATAATCATGGCCAAAGAAAAAATCAATAATGTATGTCAATTGGTCCTACTTTACTATAATTCCCACAACGTATAGTACCAAAATATGATTAAAAGAATACATATTGTTTCTCCATATAGTCAGATGTAATGGTTATGATTACTACATAATCATAGCCAACACATGAATGATCTGTTGATCAAATTGCCACAAGACCGAAGGATAAACAGAAAAGCCCAGGAAAATCAAGGATGAAGAAGAAAACATGGAATTTTTTTTTTACCTATCTGCTAACATTACTCATCCACCTGCAGGGAATAAAGTGATGGGAAAACTCACAGGGTTGAGAACACCGCCGACAACATGGTGATATACACGTATTTTAGAGATCAACTCCTGCGAGCCGCTGAGGCAACCGGCAAGAACCTGAAGAACGGGCGTGGTCAAGAAAAGATCTTCAGCGTCACTAAAAATGGTGAGAAAATGTGGGAGAAATTAGGTGTTCTTCAACCCACATCGTTGTGGCCGGCAATGAATTTTGTGGCCGAGTGCAGCACGAGATCAGCGCCGAGGGGTAGAGCCTTCTGGTTAATGGGAGTGGCGAAGGTACCATCTATGCAAACGAGGGCGCCTTTCTCATGGCAGAGCTTTGAAACCAGCTCGATATCGACGCATCGGAACAACGGGTTGGTGGGAGACTCGGTGAAGAACAAAGACACCTATCGGAAATTAAAAAAAAAGGACTAATAATCAGCTGATCATCTGACGAGAACATAACTCAAGGGGGGGAGAGAGAGACGAAAGTATGAGGTGGGTCAATGAACGGACATTGTTCTCCTCCAAGGCCCTCTTCAGCCCCTCCATGTCTGCAGGATCGATCACGGTGACCTGTAATTCAGGTTTGGAGATGGATCATTTTTTTGATTAATTAGACAGAAAAGGGGCGGGGATATCACAATATCAAGAAAATGGAACAGGAAATTGATGACCCCTCATCGGATTTCTTGATCTCTCTGAACCCAAGAATAATTTAATGTAATATGGAAGCCAAAAAGCTAGAGATGGAGGAGGGAGGAGCTGTACCGAGATATCCTTCTTGGGGAGTTCATTCTGGATGAACACCCTCGTCTTCCTGTAGCAATCTGTGGTGGTCACCATGTGCCCGCCTCGAGGAACCAGTGTTTGCAGCATCGCCACGCTCGCGTACATACCGGAGGTCACGAATAACGTTGACTCTGCCCTCTCCAGGGCGCTGTCCAACGCAGAGGAGACGGATCAGACCAGTGGATGATCGCCTGAAGGAAGGCAGGAAGGGGGAGGAGGTAAAGAAAGAAGAAGGACCGACCTCATCTTCTCCTCCAAAACCGTGGTGGTTGGGTTTCCATAGCGCCCGTATTCGAAGCTCTTGTGCCTCCCCTCCTGCAAATGATCCGCGATCGTTGAGAAGAAGAGGAAGCTGAGGATTCTTTCGATTGACAGTGCACGCAGATCTCAAGATGGGGATTCATTCACAGAACCTTGAAATCGATCAGCTCGGCGGAATTCTTGAACCAGTAAGCAGATGTGTTAACGATGGGGGTGGTGATCCCGTCAGTGATGATCCCGCGCCCAAACCTTTCACCTACAGTAGAGGGATCAATCAGCTACAGGAGAAAGCGGAGAGATCGCAGTTCCCTGTTAGGGTTTGAAAAGATCGATCGAGGAGGAAGGGAGATTACCGGCGTGAACGGTGAGACTCCCGTCGGAGCTAAAGACGGCGGCATCGCGATTCAGATCGGCCGACTCCGGCTCCGGCAACCTACCCGCTGGATCGGATTCTACCTGAGGAATCGCCACCACGGCGTCGGCGGCGGCGGCGGCGGCGGCGGCGGAGAGGCCGCCTGGAAGTTTGTTCGTCCACGAAGCCGCTACAATGTGAGCAACGCCGATGTTGCTGCAGTTCCGGCGGGCCTTGGTGCTCAGCTGCCGCACGAAGTTGGGAGGGAAGCGGAGGATCACCGCCGAGGAGAGCCCCCCGCGCTCGCCGCGCAGAGAGGCGAAGGAGGAGGTTGATCTCTTATTCTTCCTCTCCTTCCCGTCGGCGCTGGGGAAACCAGAGAAGTGGCCGTCGGAAGCGCGGGCCTCGAACGGCGGGGCGGCCGACGACGGCATCGCCCGCAGAAGCGCACTGCAGCTCGAGACGGCGGCCATTCCTTCTCCAAACACCGAACTCCCCTCTCTCTTTCCCCCCACTCTCTCTCTCTCTCTCTATATATCGTCTCGGCAAACCCCAGATGCCCAGTCACGGCTGGCCACCTCTTTCTCTCTCCACTGTATAGAGGGCAGAGGGTTGTTAGTGGCGGCCGGCTACAGCTCTCTCTCTCTCTCTCCCCCCCCTCCTCTCTCTCTCTCTCTCTATGTCTTGCATCAGTGGAATATAAAAAAGGGGGATATTTTGGTGTAGGGGGAGCATTAAAGAAGACTAACTCGGTGAATTACAGCTCGCTCTACCGACCGCCCTCCGATGAGCACAGCGCCGCAACTACGTAGTTCGGCGGCCGCCACGTCATCGTCAAGAAAGACGATAAGCAACGAAGAACCGAGGCAGACACGGAGGATGGCAACATTGAATAGATCCGGAGAGAGAATAATATTCGGCGGCGACCGGTAGAGAGAGAGAGCCAGACGGCGTTAAAAAAACAGCGCTTTCGGAAATATGCCAGAATCCAAATATGCGTCTCTTATCAACGGCGACGGCGGCGGCGGCGGAGAAAACCATGGGATCGGGATTCATGCGATCTTCGCCCGGGAAAAGTCCATCTCGGGGTGCTGCAATCAGAGGTGGCCACGTCATTCGACTACGATAGGTAAGGCGAGGGAGAGGTGGAGGAAAAGGAAGGGGGGGAGGGTACCTCGGCCATGAATTTCTTGAGGATCTCTTGCTTCTGGGCCTCGTCGGACGTAGGGAGGCCCAGGGACTTCTGCCTCTGATCGAACTGCAGGAAACACAGAAGAGGGAGGGACCGGTCAGAAATTCTCCCGCATGAAGGCCACAATGCTGTGCATTTCAGAGCAATTTTACCAGTACGATCTATCCATCTTTCATCTGATACGAGTCAACAGCTAAAGTCAGACATCTGGGTTCATATCCTATATTATCTCGGCCACGATAAATAAATGCCACATTAATGTAGTAATTTATGCTCAGATAAAGTTAATGCCCATCTATCTACTACTGAAAAGTTTCCCTCCTGGGGACTCCCCCTGGCGTGTCTCACCGCGAGAGAGAGAGAGAGAGAGAGAGAGAGAGAGAGAGAGAGAAGAAGTCAAGGCAAATAAGCACCACTGGAAGAGGCTGAGAGAGGCCCGCGTAATCGTAATGATCTAAAGTGGGATCTTCAACAAAGCTAGAAGGGAGAATTTGCCCTTTCTTATGAAGACAGTTGAGTGATGAATGGATATTTTCAAGGCCTAGTTTATGTGAGATGTGTCGTATAAATATCAGCACAATACTCGAAATAGAAAGAAAATATATGCGCATTTCAAATGCTCTCCTTATTTCAAGGGGATGGCAGGAGCATGGATCCACATGCACATTCATAAACTACTCTAGATTGATCCAGAAAGGTAATTCTTCTCATATCCACCATGTGCAAAAGAACTAAAAAAAAAGAGAAAAAATTAATCCTTTTTCATAAATAAATGGTCACCGAATTATTTCAAACATTTGTATAAAAAAGACAAGGCAGAAAACATTTTATTAATCCTTTTCATATCTAGGTTTAGCCTTAATGAAGGTGAGAAAGAGAAGTAGACGAAAGAAGCACCGCTATAATTACGATTGATGAAATTTACAGAACAAATAAAGAGAGCAAAAATAAATTACCATCATTTTTTCGACAGTTTGCCGAGTTTCAGGATCCAAATCCGAGAGCTTGCTGGATTCAGGCTCTACTTTCTGTGTATCAACTTCTGGGTCACCCACAACAACACTCTTCCACCATTCCATTTGATTCTGCTTGGTCAGGAGCACGGAGATGGCTTTTCCATCCTCTGCACACACATTCAACTAGACATTCAAATATAATTACCAGACAAAGTCAACGATGCAGATAACAACTTGCGCAAACTGGGCAAAGAAAAGAAAACAACTTGCTGCATACCGATACTCCAAAAGCAGTCATCTGGTTTCACTGCCTTGTGGAGAACACCCTATAAATCGTAACAACGCAGATAACCCAGTTGCGTAAATAATTTGCAGTTGAGCCATGGAGATGATATATAACTGACGGGCAAACATGCAACAAGGAATTGAAGCAACTTACGTCAATGATTGGCGGTTGCCCTTTTAGCCCAACCTTCAGATGGTTCTTCTTGATTTCGTACACCACGAATCTCGACTTAGTTCCCACAGGAACTGGTATATTGACAGTGACCTCTTGCAGAGTTTGAGTCCACGAATACTTCTCCAAATCCAGACCATTCCCAGCATTTGGGGCTATAAAAAGGACAGAAAATCCAAGTGATGAACTAGTTTGATGGCATATCTTAAGCATCACCACAAATCCGACAATGAACACGAATTTTTACAACATAAAGCATGATATTATTCTCATTTCCGTTACAATTCATGTCACCACATTAATGGACCAAACACAATTCCTGTCGCAAGGATAAATATATTAGCATAATCATAAGTAATAATATCGAAAACTTTGAAAAAGGCTTGCCGATTACAACTACATTAAAACCACAAAAGTTGCATAGTATCTATAGACATTTTTACATTGACAGCCTTAACTGTATAATTCAATGAAACGTAAGCTATAAAACTCTCAGTTCATGACAAAAGAGCATCAGCAACACAGTCACCATTTAGTTATCCATGCACATAAAACCAACTGTGTTGCTGATCTAGCTAGACCTTTTTTTCCAGAGAAAGTTAAAAATTATCAGTGACAATTTATTTATTTTGTTCAATAAGCAATGAAGATCGTAAGTGAATGCATACGTTGCTGCATGCCTAAAAACAAATGAAATAGCAAGCAATTAATCTAAGAATATAAGCGAATAGCCACTCAGAAGACGTATTCTATGAAAGAAAAATTTGAGATAGACAATCCAGTGTAGTGAATGCTAATTTTAAATTTCAACAGTTTAAAATGAGATTGATGCTTCATTAATGCAGAATCTAGAAATTAAATGACATCACATAATTCTATCAGCCCAGTAATCATTTTAACATCTTTTCAAAGGAAGATACTTCTGAACAGAAGTCCATTATCTGAGGATTTCCGTTAAGCCTTTCGAAAAGCACCAATTCTTTAAAACTTCCAAATTATCATCCCTTCAACAGGTGAAGAGCCTAAGTAAAGATAAAAAAAAATCAGCGTTCTAGCGCTCTATAATATGTACAGACGATCATTAAGCCTATTTTTTCCATCCATCACATGAAACAACGTGGAACCTCTGATCACATGTCACAACTCGCGACTGACACTTTCCAGGCAACACATGAAAGTTCGTAAGATATTTAATTGCGGAGATCTGCACTCCAAATAATAGATAATCACCTTGTCAAAGGTACCCTGAAATAAAACCTAACAGGAAAATACAATAGCAATTCAAAATTTCAGCACCTACATCGAAATAAAAATTGTCATGGAAATTTTCTGGGATGTCATGTTTCTTCCATTCTTTGATTTTTGAATATTTCTGGGAAACCATCAAAATTCCGTACTGTTTATAGAGCTTAATCGCATAATCGACGTGTATCTATAGCCTAATCGCATAATGGAAGACAGATTTAAAATTGTAACGGTGGCAGTTCATCATGAAGAATGACAACACGACGACATTGGGTATGAACAAAAACGGTGCATGGTCTAAGTAGGGGCAAATAATACCAGAACATATGTCTAGGATCTCACCCCACATCGCAGAAAATAAATACCACAGCCCATTCCACGGGAATAATTGACCAACATAACAACTCATGCGTCCTCAAACGAATAGATTATGTACCACATAAAGGAAATGAGATCCACTTAATGCAGAAAGATAAGTTAAAGAGGGATAACGGAGGACGACTGCAAATTAAACACGGTTAAAGATGTAGCACACTACTCAAAAGGGGTAATTTTCATGCTACTCGGCGTGGAAAGAAGATATTGAAAATGATTGTGATGGTTTCATACAAAAAGTGATGGAGGCTACGGTGGTGCTTGTGGTGGCCTCAACGACAGTATCTATCCATGCTAGAACCTTTTTGGGGTGTTCAGCTAAATTTTCAGAGCAATCTGCCGTTGCTAGAGTCTCAAATGCAATGTCGGATAAACCCTGTTCCTCATGTTAGAGTTCCTTCCTCACATGACAACAAACGTATCTGAATGTGGCAGACCATTCAACATTAACTCAAAGAAATGAACGCCTTTTTTTTTCTAAATAAGGTTGGTGTTGACCAACTTGACGAAAATGAGACACAACTTGATCGCAATACTCTCTACAATTAGTCAGAGATATTCCAGACCAATAATCTAAGTTTAACCAGTCCGTACTGGCAGATGCAATGCGTGTATAATCCTAAGACCAAATATGTATATATATACACATACATATATATAGATATCTAGAAAGAGAGAGAACAAGAAGATGAATGCATGAACCCTACGTGCTAAGTTAGCCGAATCGATGAGAAAAAGAAGAAATAGATCGAGATACGAATATGGGGCGGTAAATCCTATGTTAATAGATCCCAGAATCTAGATACCTCGAAGATTCGTAGTATTGGCGTCGGCCACCTGATCCTCCGTGGCTTTACCTTCTCGCTTCCCCTCCCCCACCATGGTATCTTTCTTAGCAGATGAGGAAGCCTCCACTGGCACCGGCGCTGAAGCTGGGACGGAGGTGACCTTGGCACGCTCCTCCTTTTCCTTGGCAGCGGATAGAGAGGCAGAATCCTCATTCTCCTTGGCAGCCGAGAGCACCGCCACTAGCTCTCTGTAGGCAGACTCGGACTTGAAAGCATCAGATTGCCGGCGGAGAAAGTCCACGACGATCTCCAGAAGGCCGCTGGAGCCCCTGCACGATAGTATCGGCTTCAGGACCTCATCTACCCGGGCGATGGACTGCGCATCGGCGGCCGCTTCACGGCCAGTGGGAGTCGTCGCACGTTGCTGGACAGCCTCCTCCTGCATCTCCGTGATGACCGCCATGTCCACGAGCGGCGGCAGCAAATTGGGAGTAGCAGTACTTTCGACAGGGTTTTTAGGGGGTTTCTATGAACAAAACAGGGAGAGAGAAGAGAGTTCTGGACCTCTCTGGAAGGTTCTGCTATTAGGGATCAACGGATTAAAGCGGCACTTCTATACCCGATCAACCGAAGGAGGAGATCCGACAACGACTATTCTCTTCTTGTAATTTAATTGGCAATAATTGGTACGGACCAGACTAAAGTATGCTTAAAATATTTTATTAAAATTTGATAAATATATTAAAACGTGAGAGAGGGAGAGAGACCGTCCAAGGATAAATTAGTGGATGGGGGGCGCCATGTCATCAGAAAAAATACCACCTATTTTCTAAGATTACTATGTTTTCTTCAAAAAATGATAATAATTATTTTAAAGATCCATTATTTCACAAAATCCCACCTCTATTTCTACAAAGCATCACAAAAGGTTCAGGAATTTTGGGAATATTTTAGACGATATATTATTTATTCAGGGTATTTTTTTCTAAAATAATAGAAATTCGAAGTTCTTTGTGTGGGCCTCAGCCCGGCTAAGAGGAGCACAGAATGCGCAATATCAGGGGTATAACATTCTTGGGGGCTATGTAAACGATGAGACTCAAAACGTGAGAGTGAGATAGAGAGAGAGAGGAAGGGGGAGAGAGAGAGAGAGAGAGAGAGAGAGAGAGAGGATAGAACTTAAGGCTAACCGATGCACATCCGTACCTTTGCTTGGTACTATTGATTAAAGGTGCTATTAAATAGATCACATAATGGTCGCACTTAAAATAATTAGTTGACTTTATGACATTAGTATCATGGAATATCATAAGTTCCTTCCGAGCGTTACACAAATCAATCAAAAGGTGCTTCGACCAAGACTGATGGATAGCTATGAGACGGGTGTGGGGCATCTAAGCTGCTGTTCATCTAAGATTCCGTTCATTAATCTGAGTTCCTAGCATCATCCGCCGGTCAAATGCTGTGGGCTCGTCTAAAGTTTGTGGGAGATCGGATACGTCGCATCTAAGTACGTTGAGACGTCGGTTATGGACATTAAATGGGCATTCATCCATCTTTCTTGCTTACCGACCACCTCTGAGAGCCATCTAGATCAGCAATTTTTAAATGCATGTATGTGGCGTCGACATCTCCCATTCCATTCTGGGTTCCTGTTCTTGGATGCAACCGGGTCAACCTGCTTCTAATTTGGGGAAGTAAATCTGATAAGATCAGATTATTACGATGAACGCTGCATAAATGACGGGGCGAGGTTTAGCTGGGTGAATAATCTTCTTAATGCCTGACGCTGGAAACTATATCATCATATGGTACATTAATAGGATGAGTATGGAACGAGGGTCCCCAGGTGGTGGAGATGACGTGGACCAATAGGAAACGGCAGTCTCATCATAATTCCCAGTACAGTTATAGTCGACTAATGGGATTTATTAGAAGAAGATTTCATCGATTTTCTCCGAAAGCCCGGTCTGACTCGTCTGCCATTCTGTCCTCCGAGTTTAACCCGGGGACATTCGGTGTATCGTCTGAGAGGATGGAACCCCCGCCGGCGACTCGCTGCTCTTCCAAAGCCTTCGTAGACTAGAACCCGGGAGGCGAGTTGGAGGGGGAAGCGGAGTTGACTAGGTTCAGTATGCTGGTCCAATAGCTCTTGCTTTCTTCGTCGTTGTCGCCGTTCGCTCTCCCATGGCCGGCGAAATCGGTGCAGTCGCCGGCGGGGAATCGGTCGAAATCGCCGAGTAACATCTCCACAAACCCGTCGCCTAGACTCCCCATGGCGGCGCCCGCCGAGCCTGAGAACGATCCAATCCTTAACTGCTCTCCAGGCCATGCAAGGCCGTCGGAGAAGGCCGTCCTCCTCACGATGCTTTCCGTCTTCTCGGAGAAGGTCAACGTGGAAGTGGGAGACTCCAGATCAAGGCGCGGCGTGGGCAAAGGACATGAGGAGGAGCCTTGGAGGTGAATTGGCGTCGATGTGGAGAAGGACGCCGCAGCCGGAGACTGGAAGTGGGCGGCGGCGGAAGGGCGGTGCATTTTGGATTCTCTGGCAAGGCGAGCTTCGGCCTCTAGGCGGGCGCTCTCCCATTGGGCCATGTGGCTGAGGGTGGCGGCGGCGGCGGCGGTGGTGCCGCCGCCGCCGCCGCCGGTGGCGGAGACGGCATCGGAGCTTGGCTTGTGGGTGATGGGGTCAATGCCCATCTTCGCCAGGCGCTTCTTCAGGTGGGTGTTCCAGAAGTTCTTTATCTCGTTATCCGTCCTCTTCGGCAAGTGCGACGCGATCGCCGACCACCTAAACCAGCAGTGATGTAGACGACGATCAGAGGAGAGAAAGGATGTGGAAGGAAGCTCCACAAGATGCAGAGGGGAATTGATTACAGAAGATTTTCTGACCTGAGTAAGCAATTTTAGTTGTACGGTCGGATTATCTTATGATCTTGCTGGGATCGAGGAAATTTATTAAAAAATACAGAAGCATGTAAATATACTACTTAAGTTTGAATATCACATTAAACAATATTATTATTATCCACTGAGCGTCACATCCCTTGTTTATTATCTACTCTTCATCCTGTGCAGATAATATTTGGTTGATACTTCTTCATAGGTTAAAAACCTTACGTTAAAAAATAATTAAACATTTTTTGTTCCTATGTGTCCGCGCGCGCGCACGTGTGAGTGTGAATTAACATGTCAGGAGCCACTAAGCTGAGAGAATTGAGATGGGGAGGAGAAATCTCGGCGTTGACTAAGATGACGCATTGTGAGGAGTGGATTTGATGAGAATTGGGGAGGAGAAGCCATGGAAAGATCTGCAGTTGGGAAGAAGAAGAAGAAGATGACGAGGAGGGGTTGGGGTAGGAGAGAGAAGACGCAGAAGAAGCAGAATAAAAAGAACAACAGGAAGAACCTGTTGCCGAGAAGAGCGTGGAGTTGGATTATTGTCTGCTCCTCCTGCAAGCTGAACTTGCCCCTCTTGATGTCCGGGCGCAGATAATTTGTCCAGCGCAGCCGGCAGCTCTTCCCGCATCTCTGCAGCCCTGTCGACCACAGAGAAGGTGAAGGGATCGTCCTCTTCATCGGCGACGGCAAGCTCAGAAGGAGAGGGCGAGTTACCGGCTTTGGCCGGCAGAGCCCGCCAGCTGCCGTGCCCATTCCTGTCGATGTACGCCAGCAGCTTCTGGTCTTCCTCCGGCGTCCACGGCCCCTTCTTCAGGCCCTCCTCGCAGCACGGCGACCGTCCCATGGCCGCCAGCCCCGCCGCCGGCCCTAGCTGAGTACCCGCCAGTAGATACGCCGTGGAAGAAAGAAAGAGATTCAGAGGAAGATCCCGCTCGGAGGGGAAGTGAAGCCCAGAGAGAAGCAAGGAGCATAAATAGAGAGAGATGTGCCAGAGAGAGAGAGAGAGAGAGAGAGAGAGGAGGGAAGGAGCATAAATAGAGAGAGATGTGACAGAGAGAGAGAGAGAGAGAGAGAGAGAGAGGAAGGGAGGGAGGGAGGGAGGGAGGGAGGGAGGGAGGTAGAGAGAGAAGGGAGAATAAATAGAGAGATGTGCGAGGGAGGGAGGGGGAAGGAAGACGAGTCAGAGAGGCCACCACGGGGTCACGGAAATAAATTCCGGCGATAAGAGGTAAATTACTAAACTATCCTTATATTCCATACGATTTGCCCACCTAGTAAGGGAACGGCAGGGATGAGATCACGATGGTGGACTCAATAAGGGTCATTAAATAATCCCCAGGGGACCATTGTCCTGATGATTTGATCCATGCAGGAGGATCACGGCCGTTGGTGCAAATTCCGACGGATGGGCTTCGTTTTACCCATTGCCACATATTACATCAGGCTTAATCCTCTCCTGGTACTCTTCCCATCAACCCCAGTTTTCATTTCCACTGCGGCCCGTCGAGACTAGAATCATCATAATCATCACCATCGCCTTCATCTCTCTCACTCACTCTCTCACTCTCCCTCTTTCTCTCCCTCTTACTCTCCCTCTCTTTCGCTCTCTCTCTCACTCTCCCTCTCTCTCTCTCCTTTTGGATATTGTGACAGGTGGGTTTTCACGGCGCGCGGAGGAGGGTAAATACCCATCGGCCAGGCTCTACGGAGACTCTGAACTAGTAGGATATCAAACGGAGGACGAACGCAGAGACTGACGCCAGCCGGCTCCATTAACTCCGATTATCCCTACGCCACCTCCTCCCACCCACACACGCACACACCACACATACACATATACACACACACACACATAATCTCTCTCCCTCTCTCCTGCCTAGTCCCTCCTCTACTCTGCAGCTTTTTCCTTCCCCACCCCCACAATTATATCAGCATAAATATGCATCATCAATGCAGCTCCGATCTAACTCCCCGCCTTCTCCGACGAGCTCTCCCAGTTACCCTCCGCCCGGGGCAACTGGGAACACCCCCGATTGACTGGTTGCGCCCCTTGACGTCCGCTGAGCGGCATGAGGAACCTTGGACTCGCCCCGCTGGCCGAGGTCGGATGAGGACGAAGGCCCGAGTTTACAGTTACCCACCTCCGTCCACAGAGAGAGAGAGGGAGAGAGAGAGAGAGAGAGAGAGAGAGAGAGAGAGAGAGAGGAGAGAGGAGGAAGGTAGGATACATCCAACGATTACTTCTAGGCTATGGGAGACGAAGCGACGGAAAGGAGTAGCTGAATGTGACTCATTGGATGTATTCTCGAATCTCACTCCGACTTTCCTTCCCCCCGAGGTAAGCCGTCAGCTTATGGAAGTTTTCTAGGTGCTAAGCACACATTATTTACATGGTTTAAAGGATCAATATTCGTTACATCAGCATAATAAGATGGAATTTATAAGCCTTAACCCATATTGACATTGAATACTCCCGTCACTGATTTATTCTAGCCACTGTGAAGAGCTGATTTGTAAACTGATCAAGGGCTCTGTGCGAGCTCCCCAGCGACGCGGCATAAATACCAATTGGGTGGCGTTATAAGAAACTTTACGATATTAATGGCTGGAGACACCGTGGTTCCGTTGTTGCCAGAGCGATTCAGTTGCTTCCAACTATGGGCCTCGACGGGTTCTCACGCCGTGGAGAACAACTGGCCGGGTTGCCCAACAAGGATCAGCCGTAATAGCCGATAATTAATCGTTCCTCGAAAGGTAACGGCGAGTCGTCGTCTTCGCACAGCTACCGTCGGAAGAAACCTAAGTTGAGGTGACCTAAGATTTGAAAGGCGGTTGGAGGAGATGCCGAGGCTGAATCGGACTCAAATTGAGATCAAGTAATGAGGGCGGCTGATCCAAGCAGGGAGGTCTTCTTCTTCTTCTTGGTCATCTTCTCCGTTTGGATGAGACAGAGAAGAAGATGAAATTGAAAGCTCTGATAATGCCCAGAAATCCGCCTCTGCCAACGTCTCTCCCCTGCCGACCTCGGGAGCCATGCATACATGGAACATTCGGGCAGCGTTGCCAGTGTGGCCTGCCCTGATTTCGCCTCCCAACAGAAGAATGGTGTAACTGTGATTCTCCAAGGGGGAACAACTGGCTCTACGCAAGGAATGGCAGTCTGTCAAGAAATATTGCCTCAGAAGTTAAGACCCCTTCCCCTGCCATCTCTCTCTCCCTCTCTCTCCGCCTGTGTCACCATCAGTGGAGGGGGCATGGACACTTGCCCATGTCTGACTACCAAAGCTTCCGCAGTTCTGCCTTTCCCAGGAGAAAGGAGCCGATTATCAAGAGCTCAGAGGACCGTCCAGAGACTGTCTCACCTCTTCACTGGCGCAGTGTAGGTTGAACGGAGATAGATATGCAAATAGAGGTGGGGGGGGATTGGAGATATAGATGTAGATAGATAGATAGATAGATAGAGAGAGAGAGAGAGAGAGAGAGAGAGAGAGAGAGAAGTCGGCGGAACAGAGTAATAAATGATTTAGATGAGGAAGTTTAGCGGAGAAAGTTCACCGAGATGAAGAGCTTTCAATGCTCGGTAGCGGATCAGCAACAAGCTGCCCTATGTAATCCCACTATTGTGAGCTGGGGGACGCACACACCTGTGTGGATCTTACCCTGAAGGCAGGAATAACATTCTGATCGACCAAATGTCCTAATCAGGAAGCTCGTCTATTCCCATGTCAACGCTGCGAGCGCTAACGTTATCAGTATAAATGATGAAACCTGTACTTTAAAAAGCTGAAAGTCGGGTCATTGAACTAAAAAAAATCATAATGATCGTAGATTAAGCTGCACTTTCAAAATGGGATTGCTTTGACATGCCATTTTTCTACGATTTGACTTCATATGATTTTGCATCCTTCATGGCACTAAAGGAAACATTTCATGAAGATGTCTTACATCGTGTTAACCATACGATTGAAACTTTTTATCTCCATTTTCTGTCAAGACTAATCAACTGTGTAGATAAATGTGTGCATATATAATTACAGCTTATAATTTGCGATTATTCTAGCACTCTCAGTCATCTTCATGCCAAATTTCAATCCTATGATCTAAATCATATGAATGAACCCTCTGTTACTCAAGTCAAGACCGGTTGATATACATTATTTTATTTATTACTTCCCACGCGGAATCATTCTAGCGTCATCAGCCAATAGTAGAATCGTAAGAGTGAGGTTACAGCTGTGCGGACCCATTTATGGGGACGACGTCACACCAAGGACTGCTCTAAATGTGGGGAGTTGGAGCCCTTGAATTCAAGTGTCCAAACGTGGAAGGAATGTTGATTGCGGTCCCTCTTGAGCCATTGAATGAGTCGATGCAACAAAATGGCAAGAACGAAGAGTGGTGAGAACCGGTCAAGCCGGAGAGATAACTTGGAAAGACGAGGGATTAACCACTGAAGACTATAAACTTGAATTTCTTCACTTCCCCACTGTAGGCTGCAACAGTAGTTCTCGTCAGTGACTCTTCACAACGTGGAAAGAGGGAACGATTCAGGCACACACACACACACACACACACACACACAGATGAGCAACGCCGTCTTCTTCGTCGACGAACACTGCATGGGATTCAAGGTACATATGTTAACAAGCGAACGAGACGCCAGAAGGATTAGAGAAGAATCCCTTAGTGTGGCTGCGGGACTCGCCACCCGTTCCATCGGCCCCCATATTCTCTCATTAATGGAGATTAGATATGTGGAGGGCAGGATACGAATATAATTTTAATGAAAGATGATGACCGCAACTCCATCCAGTCGTACACGCAAGGACGGACATATCTCCACGCGTGTGGAATTGAAGAGCAGGCTAAACCCCTTACTGCCACCTAATTCACATCTCATCATTGAAGCAGTTCGTCAGCCGAAGGTCTCAACTGATTGATGGAAGCTACTGTAGTTCCTGGGGCAGAGTCACTGGTTACGTCAACTGCCCCGTGTCTCATTAGGAATCTCCAACTCCAGTTGAGCATCACAGTTCATATCATCTGTTGTTGCTGTCTATGTATTAATGAACGGAACCTTTCGGCACATATATATAATGGAAATTTAGTCAACACACATAATTTATTATACTATGAATTATTGATGTGAGCGAGGATGGTTATGTGATGATTGATAGAAATGTGGTCCATATGCCAATTGCCTCATTGCCAATCGGGGAAATGAGTTCTTAATTTTTGTCAAAATCTCATGAGTAAAACGCACGCCAAAATGATATTTTTGTATAAACAACTACAGATTACTAATGTTCCTTGCAATTATTTTCCTTTTTCTGCCTTTGATTTTCTTTAGAAGAAATACTGTGTCAGTGAAGATTGACAACGGTAGTTTTAATTGACTGAGCTAAACCAAGAAAACAGGTCTACGTTGGTCTGATCTGTATGGAGTGTTGATTTGATCTGGTCTATCTAGACCTGTCTAGTGGCCCACATTGGTTTGATCTATACGAAGCCTTGATTTGATCTGGTTTATCTAGAACAGTCTAACGGCCCATATTGGTTTAATCGGTGTTAAGCCTTTGTTTGTTTTGGTCTATCTAGACCCCTCTAATGGCCCACATTCGTTAATATAAGACAACTTTGGGTTAGGAGGAGTGGGGTTCGGGGATGGTGTAGAGGAGTCGTCATCAACATGGTTGCACAGGACTGCCGATGTGAAAAGGTTATACTCGTCAACAAGGACGGGTTGCTAATGGAGGCAAGAAGGGTATTGTTGGGGCTATCTAGATGCTTATGTGGAGGTATGGTGGCAAGCATGAAAAAGGAGGCATGGGAATGGTTCATCACGCTAACGGTGAATGGCCACAGACTTGCAGGTTCCTCAATTAGACGCCTTTAAGCTCCGACCTGAATCACATATGCAGCAGATCAGACTGTCTATTTTTGTTTCGATATTTTTAAGGTTATTAGTGCTAATTATTTTTTAAAAAAATCATAACTCCTTAGAGGTCATTTCTATAATATTGAAAATATTGCCCAAAATATAAACCTCGGAAGATTGTTGCCACACCAACCATTGCACTTCATGTGATCACATTTAGATGCTTGGGAATAATTGTAACAAGCTCTTTGAACACGTACCAGCTTGGTGATGGCGACGGAAAGTGCTTGACCTTTTCAGTTAACTTCCCAACGTTACAGTAGGAGGTGTTACTCATGAATTTTCTCTGCACTTTTAAGAACACATCAAAGCTAAAAATGATTAAATTTAGAATCAAAAGTAGAGATGATAACAGGTCCGGTAAAAATGACGATGACCAGCTAAGTTTTTTGGGGTTTATATCAAGTTAAGTCTAGTAAGAAAAATACGCCTCATCTTGGCCTGACTTGACTTAGAGTTGAGACTTTGGTAATGACCCAAAAAAACAAACTCTAGAGAAAATTTTATAATCCCTCGTCAGTTCATGACGGCACCTCTCTCCCCCTCCACCACTCTCGCTAAGGTAAGTACATGAGAAGGGCTCAAACTTCATATGGGCCTGATCAGGAATTTATTTTTCCAGTCTTTTCCTGTGATCTTGTGATGGGTTCTCGCTTCATAAGTACATGACTAGGCTTATACTGGGGTCGAAACAGACCTGGGTAGTTAACAACGCTAAAGGAGAGCTTCTTTTGCCCATATGTGAATTATAAACAGCAGAGACTCGATAAATAGGAAGGCGAATTCATAATTTTCCATCAGACAAGACTGCCCAGTTGTACGTAAGCTGCTAGAAAGATTTATGTCAGTTTGTTGCACCATTTCTAAGCTCCTACTAGAGCTCTCTAGGTGGGTCCATCGGTCTCTATGTTTCTGATCAGGTTGACCCAGAAAACTATAAACGATCCCAATTCATGTTCACATGTAATTCAAATCAGAGAAAAATTCAACTTAGGCAATGCCACCGAAAAAAAAATTCAATCGTACAGATTCATCGCCAATCTCCCACATCACGCCGACGGTGATCTCCAACGCGATTCCATCTATTGATTCATGTCCTAAGAGGGTAAGCTGTATTGCTTCATCCGTCCCGTTGATTCTAACGCAAGATTCATAGGGTATGAGACATTAACTAGTTCTATTTATATAACCCCTTGGGTGTAAATAAGTATATGGAGATGATCCATCGAGCTATCAATTGTACAGAAGAGTCGCTGGTTCAAACCTCGTTTAGGTTCGCAACGCAAGGGAGATGACATCTTCAACCATATGAATCACACAAAGATCGTTGAGGCCCTGGTTTAATCAGTCGCCCCGACCTGTACCTATCCTACCCGCTGAATAATCTCAAGCCTGATCAGTTTTAACACCTCTCCATCCTCGTTCATCTTCTTCTTCAGTGAGTCTGGGGTAGGAGAGCGAGTTCTACGGATTCTCTCTCTCTCTCCCTCCCTCCGCGATACATGGGCCACGGAGAACAAGTTTCCAGTGGGATCTCCTTAGGTGGGATCCGAATTGGCGCCACCATAGCCTTGGGGTTGCTTGTGTGGGTAGTGATCCACAGATGGAGCCAGAGGAAGAAGAAGGGCCCCAAGACATGGCCACTCATCGGGGCCACTATTGAGCAGATGGTGAACTATGAGAGGATGCATGACTGGCTCGCCGGCTACCTGTCAGAATCGAGGACCATCGCTGTGCCCATGCCCTTCAACACATACACTTACATCTCTGACCCGTCCAACGTTGAGCACGTTCTGAAGACAAACTTCGCCAATTACCCCAAGGTTAGATAAAATTTTTCCGTGCATCAACTTAATTCGTCGACAATTGATTTTGAGTTCGATCATTTGATTAATGGTCATTAAAATTACTTTTCTCTCAATATCCCAATCTTAGATCGACATGATTTTTCTCGATTATAGTTGGATTCACATATCCAATTTATCGGCTTACTTCATTTATTTAATTTTTTATTTCTACCATAGGTGCACGATTATCCATCAGCGATATAGATTATCTCTTATTTGTGTGTTTTTAACGTTATTTATCCTTGTCATTAATCTATGTTAGAAAAGATGCGTCAACTAACTTGTGTTGGGGGTTCACTCACTTGAAGGGGAAAGCATACTACTCCTACATGGAAGTACTTCTTGGGGACGGCATCTTCAATGCAGATGGAGAGATGTGGAGGACACAGCGGAAGACGGCGAGCTTCGAGTTCGCTTCCAAGAATCTAAGGGATTTCAGCACGAAGGTCTTCAGGGAGTACGCCGTGAGGCTCTCCGAGATCCTTTGTTTGGCGTCCTCACACCAGCGACAGATAGACATGCAGGTCTCTGTGAAGAACAATGCCCGTTCTTAGGATGAAAACGTATGATAAAGTAGACGTATTCCCCGTGATTTAATATACGATCATATTTTCATATGATCTCAGATAAATTATTCACATTTTATTTAACGTGATAAGATTATTTCTTCTGTATACTAAGAGTGCACAACAATGTCTGCAGCTGATCCTTCTCGTTCCATGTTCGACCATAATAACTCAAACGCTTGACTTATCCCTTGCCTTCCTGCAGGAATTGTTAATGAGGATGACCCTGGATTCTATAGGTAAGGTGGGCTTCGGAGTAGAGATAGGAACCTTCTCTCCGGATCTACCGGAGAACCAATTTGCGTCAGCTTTCGATGCTGCGAACATCATCGTCACCCTCCGCTTCATCGACCCTTTTTGGAGGGTAAAGAGGCTCATGCGGATGGGTTCGGAGGCCCTGCTCTGCCGAAGCATTAAGATCGTCGATGGCTTCACTTATGACGTTATCCGCAAGAGGAAAGCTGAGATCGAGAGAGCCCACAAGGAGGCCGGAACCAAAGATAAGGTGTTAGAATAGTCTTACTTTGAACTAGCAAAATGAAATTCTACAGTTAAATAGATGAGAATAGTTTTCTCGTCTCCAACTAGTTTTGAGTAAGTCGGTCTGATTTTCTCACGAGTCTTCATATTCCATGCTGAATTTTGTGGGTTTTAGGGAAAATATCTGACGCGCATAGATTTTCAATGGAACAGGTTAAGGACGACATACTGTCCAGATTCATCAAACTTAGCAAGGACCCTTCCAGCAACCTCACGGAGAAGAATCTCCGAGATATCGTGCTCAACTTCGTGATCGCCGGGAGAGACACGACGGCCACCACGCTCTGCTGGTTCATCTACATGATCATCGCACACTCTCATGTAGCGGAGAAGCTCTACTCGGAGCTGGTGGAGTTCGAACAAGATAGAGCCAGGGAAGAGAACGTGGCACTCGTCCCCTACAACGACCTGTCCGATGCAGGAGCCTTCCAGGCGAGGGTGGTACAATTCTCCGGGTTTCTGAATTACGATTCATTGATGAGGTTGTCCTACATGCACGCCTGCATCACGGAAACCCTTCGACTTTACCCTGCCGTCCCTCAGGTATAATGGGCCATCCCTCTGCCTAGAACCCTCTCTCTCTCTCTCAAACGGTTTGGATACTTCATTTCTGTCAAGGAACTTCACGTTTAAAGATTCATTTTTTTAACATGCAATAAAGAAATAATCAACTTAGATTCGTCTATGGTGATGTCTACATGCCGCTGTTCACAGGATCCAAAAGGTATCCTCGAGGATGATATTTTGCCGGATGGGACCAAGCTAAGGGCTGGGGACATGGTGACTTACGCTCCATACGCCATGGGAAGGATGGAGTACAACTGGGGCAAAGATGCACCTTCCTTCAGGCCCGAGAGGTGGCTCAAGGATGGCGTCTTCCACGGCGTCTCACCCTTCAAGTTCACAGCTTTCCAGGTATAGAGAGAGAAACCAGCATATAGCGTTGTGAGAGAAATAACGCCCCTTTGAGCTTTAAGATTAATGGGGGGATGCCATTGACGATGATGACCTCTTTCTCAGGCTGGCCCCAGGATATGCTTGGGGAAGGACTCTGCGTACCTCCAGATGAAGATGACGCTCGCCATTCTCTGCAGATTCTATGCCTTCAGCCTAGTGCCGGGCCATCAGGTCCGGTATCGGATGATGACGATACTCTCCATGGCCGATGGATTGAAGGTTACTGTCTCCACACGCCCTTAATTGGGCTTCTCTGCAGGGTGGAATCGGGCGTCAGTAGACACCCAGAGCGCCCTCCTCATGAATTAGCTGTTCTTCATCTTCTCTTCGAGGTTGACGCTTCTTTCCACTATGATATGATTGAAGTCCGAATTTCTATCGGATTAATTAAAACATTAGTCCCACATGTTTATAGTTCAATGAGAAGTCTGTGGGCGACTGGACTTTGTTGGGCTTCGTCTGGCGATCTAATCGGACTGGCTGGCTGCAGGCATTGATGATGAGAAATTTTTGGAGCGCTGTTATCCACTCAAGAAAATCTGAATAACGACACGTATTTATAACCGGTTGAAAAACATACAGTCGGGAAAATTCTAGTTCTTGGATCTACGTTGCCAATCAATGATGTTTTGCTTTTCTCTTCACTTCATTTTATCCACACTTGATAGTCCCTACTAATTTGCAGCCAGGAATTTGGGGTTTTTTGGGGATTTTTTTTTTCAATGGGCCCCACATGTACGCATAAAAATTTCAGTTATATGAAAGACATATAGTTTCTTTTTACGTAACTCATAGTCTGTATATCCTTGATATGTTACGTATAAACAGCATGCTCTCGTCGGCCTTTTTCTCGTATGTGGGCATTTCTTCTTCTCGCGCACAATCAACTCGTTCCTGCCACCTTATTGCACAGGCGACCTGAAGAACTAGAGGATCCTCACATGCCAGTAACAGGTTATCCTCATGGGCCTTCAACAAAACCCTTGTTAATCCACTAGTGTCTCATTAAAAATGCGCCTATTGCGGTTCAAAGGAGCCACCATGGCTATCGCTTGAGTGTTACTCTCTATTATGAAAGGCCTCGGAAACCTCCTCTGACAGGGGAGAGCTTCCCCCACGAAGAAAAATAAGAGGAAAGGGCGAAAATTTTTTTTCACTCGCAATAGATATTCAGGCCTTCGACCTCCATTCTTCATGGACGACGATGGTTAAATGAGCCAACGTTGTCACTTTAATCAATAATAATAATAATCAATATGTCAGAAAACCCAACCAATGTAAAAACTCCATCTTGCCAACAAATATTTGTCAATACCCAAATCTAATAGAATGCATAGAGTGGTTACACCATTAGCGTTACTATGATGGATCATCCTGTTGGCATTTAATATTTTCCTACACATCCTTCCCAAAATCGTCGTGAGAAATCTAGACACGGAAAGAACTTTCATATTGTTCTCCTCTATTTGTTGTATGATAAAAAGAGAAAGGATCGCATTATCTCCTTCAAAACGAACAGAACTATATATATATTATAAAGACATGTTTAATTGAGTCTTATTCAAGGCAAGACTATTCTAACACGTTCCCTCAGACACGGTCTATGTTTTTCAGGCTTGTTCTCATAGATAACACAGATGGAGAACATGCTTTAGTACCACGATGAGTTATCACACTATAAATCAAATGACAATGGGTCTGGTATGCATATATACCTGACACACAGTTTTTCTTATTCCAAGAGTTTAGATTTACCTGAACACAACTCTCATTGATCATTGCATTTACCTCGTTGATGCTGGTTGTCAACGAGGAGAATAAAAGGATCTTCATCAGCGATCTTTTCCAATGCCCTTTTTAAAACTAGAAAAATCTCTGGAAGCTCATCATTGGGCAGGTAGTAAATTCGTAACTACAAATGGCAGATTCGATATTATGATATTTAAAACTTTGGGAGGTTTTCTTTTCTTTTCAACGCATGTTGCAGAACTAAAAACGAACCCAGAAGTCCATCCATTGGAGCCTTCAAATGATGAAAAAAAGCCAAGAACAGTCGGTAATTTTGCCACTACAATAGGACTTTAAATATCGGAATATTTAAACCTTTGAGTTGGCTTGATTTCTTCTCAGACTAAGAACAGGAGCATAAGCATTAAGTTCCTTTACTGCTGCAAACCCAACGCAACAGCAGCCTATTCCGGGAGGCATCTGACTTCTGACCAACCACTTATCCCTTCGACTTAGAGACTTGCTCTTCTACAGCACGGGACCTACCTTTTGTCTTCTTGTTGTCTATTATTCATTTGCTTTCTTCATTCTGATACCTTCTTCCCTTTGTCCCCAGGAAGCTCCCAGTCCAAGGAAATCTATGAAACACGGTGATGAGGAGGCACTGTGTTCATAGTGGTGGGCCTCCTCAGAAAATGATGGTTCTTTGGCTGAAACTTGGGACGCTGCTGATGCCGAAGAGTCTGAGATGTGGGTTGGACAGTTCCACAATTGTCGCATTGTGTTCATCAAGGGAGTGTGACGATAGAAACCCCGATAAAGCTCGTCAGCTGGGTTGTCCCAACTGCTGCTGCGGCGGAAACTCGCCTCCTGTCTATAAACCCCGGAAGCTGCAGTCAACCAAACATAGAAACAAGAAGAATGTGTTATGTCAATTACTCTCTCTCTCTCTCTCTCTCTCTCTCTCTCTCTCTTTCTATCTATCTATATAGATATATATATTCTTCCTTGTATTTCATGTCATTTCACTGTTTAACTTCCCTGGTTTCCCATTGCCTTGCTAGGCACCTTGTGTTTCAGTTTCTTCTAGATCACCCTGTTTCTCAGTGCATGTTAACGACTGTTACACTTGACAAGATAAAAGGAATATGTTCTCTAACGTTTCGCATCAGGACACCAGTTCTCTATCACTTCGCGAGGAAGCCGATGGAAGAATACTAACAACTCTTTATGTCAATTTCTAAAAGCCCGAGTGCATATCTCTCTAGGATTTCATGGAAGGAAACCTGTAAGAGTTCTATTTCTTCTTCTTGTTGGAGTTACCTCTTACTGTTCTGATTCGTTTTCCGATTAGCGTTAAAACTTTTATCGCTGAATGAAGTCCTGGAGACAGACGAACTAATTTTGCTACTGGAGTTTACTGAGAGAAGAGGGAGGGGGTGAGAAACAAAGGGATAAATGAACGATAGGGTTATAGACTTTTGGAGTAAGTTCTGATATGTCGGTAACGTGGACTTCCCATGGGTTGCTGTCTGTAGGTGGGGGGAGAGAGAGAGAGAGAGAGGAGGTAGGGCTGGGGAGCTGTAGACTCGTGTAGTTAGTATAGGACTATGTTGCTGACGTCGGCTTCTCAACATGGGTCTGCCAATGGGCTAGCGTTGTTAGAGAGATAAAGAGACGGAGAAGAGTACGGCTATGGACTCAGGTGTAGTGAGTATGACAACTTTGCAAACATGAGCTTCTCCATGGGAAGCTGCGGAAAGTGGAGGAAGGGAGTTTAGAGAGAGAAAGAGAGGAAAGAGAAGGGAAAGTGGGGATTATAGATTTAAGTGGAGTGAGCACCACTACTACCTCATTCACAGGGACCTCCCCATGGGTTGTTGCGGACTTCATATCATCTGAACTAAGTCACGTTAGCCTAGTTGCCAATAGGATGTTGTGAATCACGGTGACGTCATGGTCAGTTAATATCTCTAGAGAATTAAATGGCATAAATGGGATTCGGGTAGAACTCACTGTAGCTGAAGCCGCCGCCGCCTCCGCGGTTACTGCCTCGATCCAAAGCGACGGAGATCTTCATGGCGGAACCTAATGGGACAGCTTGGCCCAGCTTCCTCCCCCCGTACACGACGGAGTTGTTTTGCTCCCTACGCCTCCGGGCCATAATAACATGCCAGTGATTCTTCACGGCGTTATCGGTTCTCCCAGGGAAGAGCTTCGCAATCATGGCCCATCTATTACCGTACACCCTGTGGGCAGCCATCAGCCTCTCCTCTTCTTCCTCGTTGAAGGCCCTCTTGTTGATCCTTGGGTCCAGCTGGTTGAACCACCTCAGTCTGCAGCTCTTCCCTTTGACACGAACGCAACCGCAAATCAAAATGAAAGAGGCAGCATCAAGAACAAGGTACTGGGTGGGTGTGTGCGTGCGTGTGTATGTGTTTACATTATTTCTTTTCTGCGTTGTAGCGGCGAAAAGAGAGATCATATCGAGAAGTAGATAGAGATACGGATACACAGGGAGAGAATACGTAAGGCACCTGACCTGCTTTGCAGCGGCGAAAAGAGAGATCATATCGAGAATTAGATAGAGATAGAGACAGAGACAGAGACAGAGAGAGAATACGTGTGATACCTGATCTGCTTTCTAGCTTCTCCGCTATGAGCTTCCAGTTATGAGGTCCATACAAGGCAACCAGCTCCCTGAGCTTTGTGTCCTCAGCAGGCTTCCAATGACCCCTGGAGCACACCTTGGACGGCCCGCTGTCGTCAGCTTCCTTCCCACATGGTAGTCCATCTCTAGTGTCCTCTCCGGAGAGGCCCTCGTCTTCTCTGTCATCCCCATTGCTCCTCCCAATCACATCACTTCCACTGTCGGAGACCACATCGACATTGCTGCTGTCGGGGTGGTGATCTTCCATGGATGGGAACCCAGACAGAGGCCTACCCGAGGAGTCACCACAGAAGTGTTGAAAACTTGCCGATGAACTATTAGGCAATGGCTTGATGGACAGGGAGCCGTTCACGGTTCGCACAGCCCTGTGGGGAGAGGAAGAGGAAGAGCAGGTAGATAGCCTCATGACGGGGAGAACTCCTGGCCTGTTCTGGTGAATACCTTCCCTTCCTTCATTTCCATTGATATGCTTCAGGAACATCCTCTCGTTCGGATAGGATAAAAACTAGGGGATGGCGTTTATATTGAGCTGCCTCAGGGCGAGAGCGAGAGAGAGAGAGAGAGAGAGAGAGAGAGAGAGAGAGAGGAACCCACAAAGGGCCGTGTGGATCGCGGAGAGTGGTTACCGCCATGCCCTTCATATTTGGGCGATACAGACTATCATTCACGTTTAAAACTGATGAACATCAGTGTTCAGTCACGCGGTCGCACGTGTGAGCGTCTCTTGAGTCTATACAGGGCTTTACATCTAGCTATATTTATTCCTGCTGATCGCCGCTACAGGCAACTCTCTCTCTCACTCTCGCGATCTAACCTATCTATCTCTTATCCATCTATCTCAACATATTTATACACAAGTACATAATATCCCCCTCCCTCTCTCATTTCAAACCAATATTTTAGATGGCATTCGTATCACTCCTCTCCTCTGTCGTTTAGGAAACTTAGGGATAGAAGAGTACCATCTGCTTCAGAGGTTCATTCAATGCTAAAGTAGAAGAGAACCAGAAAAATTTCGCCATGGAGAATACCGCCTGTGGATCGGTTGTCTCATCTAAGGAGAAGGCATACCCGAATGCTAAGTTGCGTTGAAAAATATATAATATGGAACGTATGACGTTTTCGCATCCAGACCAAGCTGAACTACAACTGGCTCGGATCCAAAAGAAGCGCCCAGAAAACAGTATCCGTGGTCAACTCCTATGAAGCCCAGACTAGGACTGTATGGACCAGCCCTGGGCCTCCCGACCATACAAGAACAAGCATATTTTTTTTCCTCATTAGTAAATTTAAAGAGCCATAATCAGGAAAAACAAAGTCAGGCAGGGGGGGGGCTTATTCGGACGGGTGACCACCTAATCACATGTACTGGTAAACGCCAACGTGCCGGTTTCTGTGGAAGCTGTGACATCAGACTTCCAAAGTCTACGGAGGCCTAGAGTTAGTTTTAACCCACTCTAGGCATTGGAATAGTTCCCCGTAAGAACATACAGTGTCCATCTGCAATCAAGTAGAACCTGGTCTGGAAATAAGATGGCCATCTCCAGATCACAATAAATGTTGGTGAGAGAACTCATTAATTATAAAGTCCCCTTCACGTGGGTACTGACACGGTTCGACATTTAAATGAAGTGAGTTCTCTGGCTTATTGATTTCATGTCCTATTTATACATAATTATAAGAAACAGACATATAGATAGCCTCACTTATTTGTTCTTTTTCCCCCGTCTCTCATGCTATGATGGGTTAAACGAAGATGTAATAATCAGACGAACCTTGTCTCGTCAGATCAGTTTAACTAATTGGGTGAACTAGATGAACTTCAAAAACTGTGGTAGTTGATAAACAGGCAATCTCAAACGATGAATTTCGGGCTGATTTGATGAAATCGACCAATCGGAGTGAACGTGGTGTACTTGAACTCATCCACATGAACTCTGTATAAGCAGATGATCCTCGGACAAATGTGGGAAAATAAGATGAACATTTTATTATCGGATGAATTCAATGCCGTCGTAGTGCACATCCAAAAAAACAAAGCGCTGGCGAAGGCAGCAAAATCTTACCTCAACCACAATCAGTGTGCTATTAATAAGGAATTTACTGCTATGATTAAAGCGACCATGAACTGAAACGTGCACTTCTAAGTCCGTTTATCCCTTTAAGTAGATATACTTCGTTGACTCTCAACTGGTTTTCTCTGTCGTTTTATTCGAAACCAATGCTTGAAGGTTGGCTGCTATACTCCTCACCATCTTTCTATCGTGGAGGGCCAGTGAAGGTATGCTAATGGTGGGCGGGTTCTCGTAGGGGTTGGCTTTTGGTGCTGGTGCAAGTACAACGAAGGCAGGATTACTCAGAGAGAGAGAGAGAGAGAGGAGCACCACTGAGCATTTATGTCTTCTAGTTTTGTTGAGGTGGTGAGGCGGAGATGAGGACAGACAACCTTCCAAGTGGAGAATATCTCGACCTATATCGACCGATCTCTCCACATCAGTCTAAAAAAATCGAGGGGGGGGGAGTGGGAACCCATCTTGAAACGCAGATATACCGACCGTCGGTTCCCACGTGCGTGTCGGGCTGCCTCCTGTTGCCACAGCGACCACAGCGGCCACCGCTCACCGCGGCGACTGAGAACAGTCAGCTGAATGAACACGAAGGCTTTCATTCACCTTTCCCAAGGCCCGGCGTTTAATTTGTTTGAGATGCCGTGTGTGCGGACAGTGATGGGCAAGTCACCCATCAATCCTATTTTTAGAATGACACATGAGGATCTAATCTATGACCTGTAATCATGATTGAGCAGACAAGACTCTACTGGTACAGTTCTTGATCGTTATAACATTCATGCTGATTAATTATTTATCGAAAACTTAGTTCCAGGCTTGGCTTCTGAGAAGAAGGAACCCCGAGAGAGAGAGAGAGGGAGAGAGAGAGAGAGGGAGAGAGAGAGAGAGAGAGAGAGAGGAAAGGGTGAAAAAGGATGCAACAAAGGGTAATTATGGTGCGACTATGACAGGAGAAACAAGCCAAAATAACTTTATTAAACTTGACTTTTTTCTGGCCTAAATCTAGAAAAAAAATCAGGCCATGATGTTGTCCGGCCTTATCTAGCCCATTCAAATTAAGTTGTTATGATAATAGTGTGCGGGTAATATCAGAAGGTATTAACTTTCAGAGTATGTCTAATCAAAAGTTATTTGAGAACACATGAATGCCAATGTGCTGACCTAAAAAATAGCTGTACATGATGTAAGATCCAAGCTTCTGAAGTAATTGCCGCTCTCCTTGAGTCTCTTCTTTCATTGAAATCCATATCTCAAATGTGACAAGTGTACAGAAGGACGAGATGTGAGCTTTTTGAGGGAAGAAATGCTGGTGTCAGTAGGTGTCAGTGGGTATTGTCAATGCAGGATAAAGAGGTGTTGTCTACAAAATAACAACAATAATAATAACTGTAATAATAAGGTGACGGAACCTAAGTAGATTTCAGAATCATTCAGGTGTAGGGAAAATCCCCAAAAAATGATTCTTTGGTCGGACTCTTATGACGTCTTGATCCAATCCTGGCTACGCTTGACCAAGCCTTCCGCCTCCCACTCATAAGAAGTTAATAGATATCAAGAGAGAGAGAGATACAGGTCATGATTTGGAAAATCATGAAGCATTCATGAGAATAAAATGAGCTTCGGGCTTCTAGTTTTGACCTAATCGAAGCCTTGCCCTTGCTAAGATAGAGATTAGGTTGGGTTGGTTTCTTTCATGCTTGATTTTGTATCTAAAACAATAGAAAAATCGGATGGAACCCTAAATCTAGTGAGTCCCAGTTAACGAACGAAGGGCCTATCGTAGTAGATGGTAGAATCAAAGAAACTGATGCCTAAGACCTTCTCCCTGCTGCCGTTAGGGAAACTGCTCCAGCCCAGGAGCACCCGCCAACCACACCTTAAAATCAAGAGCAAACCTGCTTCTGCGAGGGATCTGAGAGAGCAAGTCGTACCTTGTCACATGAAACCCACGTGTGAATGTGTGAGAATCTATGCTGTCCAAATTGACGCCTTGATATGACTACCCGTGGCTTGTTAATTAAGTTTTAACCCATCATTTATAATGATTAAACCCTAAATGTCGGTGATAACAATCCATAAGGAAGAACTGATACTGAAATTATTTGGATATAATGTGAAATAAACTGTAAAATTAAGGACCAAATTTATGTGGCGTTCGTAGCCGTCGCCCCCAAGTCTGCCGGATCGGTGAGGTTCGCAGAGGCAAGCGGTGGCGTTAGGTGGGCTTCGATGGCTGCAGGAAGACGGCTCCACTTGTTTTTAAAAACTATCTTCTTCTTCTTCTCCTCCGGTTAATGTAGTTTGACGGCACAACGGCGGGGATGGTGATGAAGAATGGGGTTGGTAGAGATCGGATATTCCTCCGATCCGGACCGGAGAACACCAACACAATCCGGATCAATCACGGCACTCTAAATCACAAACAGTTGATTCCATGAACAATGGTCTCAATTAACCAACGGAGTAGAACCCGTACGGAACTGATAACAAAGTAAGAAGGATACGTTTTTAGATAGGCTCGTTATGAAGTCTTCCCCTGTTCATATGTGCTCGATCACAACACTCGTATGCATTAATCAGAGAGATGTATAAGTACATACGTATGTATATATATATATACATAGATAGATAGATAGAGAGAGAGAGAGGGAGAGAGAGAGAGAGAGAGAGAGAGAGAGAGAGAGAGAGAGAGAGAGAGAGATTGTTGTGTAGAATATGGTGGATACTAATATGGTTAGACGTTAGTAAGCGCCGAACTTGCGCAGAATAAACCGCACGTTTTTTTTGGGGATTTTAATTTCGAGATATAAATCCACAAAGAAAATGATGGAATATCCTTAGATAGACGACAGATTATAGGAAAATAGTACGATTCGCCCAGATGGCGAAAAAACCTTTCTATACCGTGCATGCTCGACATGAACTGTGAAGCGACCCCGAGCCTTGAGAGAGAAAGAGGCCAAAGGAGAGAGAGAGAGAGAGGTCCAGGCAATCCACTCTGGTCACGAAGGGGGAGCCATTCAGTGAATTACAGAGAAGGTGACAACATCTGCTCTGCAAAAGAAGACCGATTGTCGCCGTGCCCTTATTCCCCTCGGTTCCATCAACTGGCTTGCGCCCGTGAGGCCATCATTTCCCACGTACGGGGGCGTTGATCGATCTTCCACCTCCCCGGAAGCCAACGGGATCTCCGAATCTTTTGACAGGGAAGCCGTCCGTCTCCCAGGGCCCAGGCGCTCTTCTGGCACGCTCACTTCCGCAGGGACGTACAGAAAGCAGCGAGAAATCAAGAGCGCCACTACATTACACGATCCGCTGCCGACACCAGCCGGAGGCGCATCGCCCGGTCTCCGCTCGATGCCACCTGCTTCGAGACAAAGCACCGCGCCGCCGGCCGCGGATGGCGAAAAGAAGGGGCCTTGGCCTGCCCTCTGTCGATGAAGAATGGATGTCTCAACCAAGGGCAGCAGTTCTACGGAGACTTTGCGTTTGTCGAACCGGCATACACATATATATGGGGAGAGAGAGAGAGAGAGAGAGAGAGAGAGTAAATCTGTCATGTTCTCTTTTCGTCGATGTAACTGAAGAGAAAAAAGTACCGCGTGTGCTTATGCATCAAATTTTTTTTTCTTTCGTTAGGATATCGTTCTTCCGCAGTGGATGTCAGAAATGTTTCACAAGACAACTGAACTAGGAGTCAATGTATTTTAGATATAGGTGAGTAAAATATAAGGGAATTTTTTCTCGATGGATACATCAACAGTCACCCAATCAGTTTTCTCTCTCTCTCTCTCTCTCTCTCTCTCTCTCTCTCTCTCTCTCTCTCTTGCTTAGATTTAAAGGCCACCCCGTTTCGTAAAAATGGTAATTTATCCTGTAACATATCAATGATAAAATCATAAAAAATAAAATTATCTGCTAGATTCCTGAACAAAAAAATAAACCAGAAAAAAAAATATAGAACCCATCTAAACCAGTCTACTAATCCATTCCCTCTCCCAGCTCTGAAGAGACTCCTCACAGATTTTATACAGAGAGCGGGCGGCCACAGTAGAATCGACATCTCATAAACTAGAGAGTACATCCAACGGTTATAATTATTATCACACTTTCCAATGTTGGGTATGGAAGAGGCAGGTAATCAAATCCAGACCCAAATGGCAATTAATAAATTAGGACCCATATGCTTTAACCACAAATCTAACTTATTTCATTGATGTGAGACCATCCTAAAGCGCCCCCTCATGCGTAGATCGGACCTGTGAATGATTCTATAACATGGGCAACAAGTCTGAAGATGTAGAAAGAATCACCGTCTAATGGAGTTGACCTAGATTGAGGGTCAAACTAGGACATGAAGAATGGAGATATATTAAAATCATGAATAACTAGGCGGCATGAACCCACGACCATAGAAATGAAGGTGGCACAATATACCTAAAGTCTAATTCCTCCGAGAATTTCATCGAGTCTGACCAGCCAGCTAGGGCTGTACCATCCCTCTTATTTTCGACAAGAAACCCTCTTGTCCACAAGGTAACTTACCATAAGAGGGATCGGAAGGGTCATCACAGTTACCAGATGGTTAAAAATGAGGATACTCGAAGCTCCACAGATTATTACAGAAGAGACGTCACTCTCTCAAGAAAATGGGCAAATGGACGGAAACAAAAACATAGGAAGAAGAAGAAGAAGAAGAAGAGGAGGAGGAGTAAAGGTGAAAAGAGAGCATTGTTTCTCCAATCGCTGATAAAAATCAAACAGGATTGGAGGATTATAGACGAAGAAGACAGAAACTTGACAGTGGCAAAAAATGAATCCAGGGACCAAATACCTAAAGTCGAAGCATTTCAATTTTGAAACTTCCCTGAATGCACTGATTACTACAAATAAATATAAAACATCGATAAACAGATACACACTATTTTTATATCTCAAGCTTAAGCAGGGTGACCATCCTAGACATATTCAATGCAGATCGATTCTCTCTGGATTGCAGGAAATAAAGTTTGAAAAGTTAGGCACTCAGCAAATTATGGAAAGTTCTGCGTGTCGACATGCATATTTTTTTTTTTCGATGCATCTTAATTACGTTCATATTAAATAATTATCTCTATATGATGTCACCATGTCTTCAAAATATACACAGGCGGAGGAAGCAGTGTAGTTGGATAATGCGATCAATGCAGAGCAATTAGGAGGGGAAGAACGTGAACGACTAGGGTTAAGGAGTAATGAATACATGGTCCTCCACATTTATAACTTGAGTTATTTCTTGAAGAAGTGAGAGATGAGCTTACAGTGATTTTGCAGGTCAAGTCAATAAGATTGAAGGACCTAGGTAGAATGCGTACAGATTGTGTTCTCAAAGGTGATTGGGTCCAGAGAAGGGCAGAGCAAGCCTACGAAACTGAGCACAGCGAGGGAAAGATCAACATATTTTATAGGGAGTCAATCCCAGATGTCTCCTACCAAGGTCTCCTAGATTTGTTTTACATATATAATCTATGTATACATGTACCCTGTGACGTGCAAACTAAGGACAATTTATGACCAACCAACAGAAGAAAATGCTCCAAGATAGGAGAAATCGACAAGGGCAAAGATCAAGACTTGCTTTAATCAGGGCTCCTCTCGCCACACTTTCTCCTTTCACGTTACAGCATCTAAAGTAAAGCCAAAGAGGCAGGCACCAATAGGGACAACAAGTAAGCCTCACATAAAAAAAATGCAGAACCTCCTCAAGTATATTTCAATGACTAGAGCTTGCTCACTTCACCAGATTGTTCTACTTCCTCACCAGTTACACATCCGCGTTGATTCACAACATCGGTTACAACCTTGGCCCTCGTGAACTTCGGCACTAGTTGATAGTTTTACAGACCCTCACAGCATTCCACAGAGATCTATCTCATTTCTTTGTTCTAGAGTGATGCTCGGTGGCTACTGCGGATCTTAAGATCCGAAAGGTCAGGGTTTCGACATACACTCATCCCCACCCCCACTCCCCAACCTAAAACTCGGGAGTTGATACACAGCAATCAAAAAGCCTACCTCGTACTTCAATTCTCTATACCATAATTTCAGAGCCCTTAATATGCTCATACTTTTCAGAATTCAGTAGGAGGCCATGAGAACATATGAGTAATTCCTCTCTTGCTCAGAGGCTGAATGAAGTCGGCATATCCTGATATTCTTATGGAAAAAAATAGGTAGAAGCCTTTGAGATTTCTAGAAGAGTTTTCAAGATGAAACCAGATCTTCAGGATCGAGTCCCGTTCGCAGCCATCTGTCTACAACAAAAGAATGGTGCGGAAAGGAAAAAGGGCGGTTGAAAGCTGCAGCATATTCGAATTCAGATAATTATAGTAATTCTGGAGGCAACGTACTTCAATATTCTCCACAAAAACTAATCACTAATACATTACGCTGAAGGAAAACCTTTATGTCGATGCATTAATAATTAATAGAAATCCCACTTCGCTACATGTTTTTTTATCATAATACAGCTGAAGAAAACCCCGAATTTCTTCGAAGAGAAGAGCATACATACATGGAAAGGCCGGGGTTTTATAGCCAAAAATTACAAGGGTCAAGAAGGAAAAAAAAAAGAAGGAAATTTCACCTTGCAAATAGCGAGGCTCTATCCTATTCGTTCTGCTAAATTAGAACAAATAAATGCAATAGATGATAGTACACTCTGCTTACCTCTATAGTAGACCATGGAGAAAATCCAGACGTCGAGACTATGTACAGGGATATACAAATTGGCCTTTAATAATTTCCCACAGCTTGTTTCCAGATGAGCAATAGAGTGGCAAAGAGATTGCAGGCGCACCCATCGATCATCCTCTCAGATCTTCCCACCGACCGATCTCAGCCGCATCTCGACCAACCGGTCGTTGAATTCACCATCGCTGACCTTGAGCATGTTGGCAAGAGACATATCCTCGAACCCATTCTCCACCAGAAGCCGGTGGCGCGGCTTAATCTTTCCCTCGAGACTGAATGAGAAGTATTGGGGGAAATCCTTGAGCTCTGAGGTCGCGCCCCATTTCCTCAACCAGGTACGCCACTTTTGGGCGGAAATTCTTTTCGATGCTGAATGTGAACAGGCCCGGCGACCTCAGTACCATCTTGATAGCCTCCCTCCGGGAGAACCCAAGGTTCTGTATGTACTCCAGCTTGGGAATGAGAGTACCCTCGACGCTGGACACCAGCAACAGGGTGGTCCTGCAAGTAATCCGGTGGACTCCCATGAACCCTAGACGCCGGAGGAAGTACAGCGCCGGCAGGAGCTGGTCTTCCACGCTGGTCACGAGGAGGCGAGGGCAACGCAGGACAGCAGTGGGGACGTCCCCTGGGAGGGATGCCCGCGGGGCCGAGAAGGAAGCGGAAGACAGGGAGGAGGTCAGCGACGGGGTCGCAGGTGAGGAGCTGGGGGTGCATGGACAGAATGCGACCGGCACCTGCTGGGTTTGGGGGGGAGCCCATGGAGGAGAGGAAGGCGACGAGTTCCCGCAGAGACGAGAGGGAAGCGGAGCGCAGGTGGCGGTTGGGGGAGAGGGCCTGTGCGGGGTCGATGCCCAGGTTTCGCTCGAGGTACAGGAGCTTTCGGCGGAAGAGGAGACCCGCGTCGGACGGAGAGGACGAGGTGGGGATGGGGATGGGGGGGGGTTGAGCTGCTGTACGCGGTGGTGGAGCTCCGGCAAGGACGAGTGGAAGGATAGCCGATGGGCATGGAATTCGGGGTTTGCGGGGGATTGGGGAGAAGGGAGATGGTGTGGGGTGGGAGGAGCCGGGGGCGGATCATGGCCATTATCGTCTCCGGCTCGCTGCGGGGGCGCGCTGAGGCTGTACTCTGGGAGAAATATGAACGGCTATGGTGAGCATAATATATACGCTTTTATATCTATACAAATATACGACAAGATATTTCTTTTGTAGACTATTATCTCTCATCGTCTTCTGCATACTCTCACAGTCTCAAGGATATGCCTAGAGAGAGCAAGAGCGGATAAATCGTGTCTATTATCAATTATTTACCATTACACACGCATTCTAACGGGTATGCTTCGTGTGGTATTTATCGATTCCTCCACGTAACTTGTCGATATCCATTTTTTTATCATTTTTTCCATAATTATTTTTGTCGATGTAATTAACTATTTCCTCATCTCAATCTGAGCACAAAATAATAATAATAATAATAATGTGCCACTCCAAACCGTTGACCGACTCACATGATTAAGAATAATGAATGGAGAGTTTATACCTCACGATCAATCTCTCTTGATCTAGCTTTCCAGTTATGGGTCTTTGGTTTTTTTTATGAGCTACCTCGAGCTACAACTGGTTGTGCTCAAAAGCTCAATCACGATCAAAACCGGGATTCTGAAGATCCTCGATCGGAGATTCTGATCCTGCCATATTTGGGTTTCTCTTAATTTCCATGTTTCTGGGAGAGATTAAGCGGCATTAAAGATCCTCGATCGGAGATTAAGAGAAACAATGCGGGGACGATAGTCGGGAGAGATGGAGGCGATCAGGTGGAGAAACCCAGGAGAAAAACATGGAATTGTACAAAAATAGTGTTACAACGAATCTCCTTCTGCCCGCCGTCGGCCGCCTTCTCCATCTGCTCTCCCCTCCCTCCGCTCACCTACCAAACGAATCTCCTCGTTCCCCCAGAGGGTGGAGAGAAAGAGAGAGAGAGAGAGAGAGAGAGAGAGAGAGAGAGAGAGAGAGAGAGAGAGAGAGGAGGCTTGGTGGTGTTTACTACAGTGGGGAGCCATGGCGAAGTGATGAAGCAATCAAGCTGGACTAGCCCTTAAGGGTCTGGATGATGGTGTTGTGCCATGGGTCGGCCAGGTGCTGCGCCAGGTTCTCGAAGGGGCCCTTCCCTGTTACGTTGTGCTGGATAACAAACCCTAGGAACGCCAGCATCGCCAGTCTCCCTGCAACGAGTTGCAGAAAACAAAAGAAACCCAAGTTCTTGAGAAACCACGATCTGGAGAGGGAGGAAGAGGGAGACGAAGCTCTCGAAGACAATCACCATTGGCGAGCTCCTTCTCCTTGGCTTCGAGGGAGGGGGCAAAGTTGAGGGGGTTGAAGATGCCGCCTGGGTAGCCGACCTCGTTAGGGGGGAGACTGTAGCTCTTGAATATGGGGTCCTGGTTGACGCTTCCAGGGTTCTTGATGTCTTGCCATCGCCGGATCTCCACGTAGTGGAAGAGGATGAACTCGATCACGAAGAGCGTGGAGGAGGAGGCGAAGTACTCTTGCTTCCCGGCGTCGTACCACTCCGGCACGTTGATCACTCCGATCTTCGTGAAGATCTCCGGCAGAAGCATGCCGGCAACCCCCAGCATCGCCCACCGTCCGTTGACTAGCTCCGCCTGCACGAACCACCGCAGGTTCTCCGGGTCCTCCGCCAGTCCCAACGGGTCAAACCCATTGTCCCCCGGCAAGCTGCAGGTCCATCACCGATTCTCAGCAACCTCGAAATTGCCGGAGAGAGACAAGGAAGAAGGAGGAACAAGGAGGGGGAAGGAGGAAGGAGGAAGAAGAAGGAAGAGAAAGGAAGGAGGAGGAGGAGGAGGAGGAAGGAAGGAGGGAGATGGTTTTGAAGTTACCTGCCGTTGAGATAGCCGGGAGAGGCGAGACCGGGGAGCCACTCGCCCTTCTTGGCGGCGACCTTCAGAGCGCCGCCGTGCGCCGCCCCCGAGGGTGCCGCCGTTCGGGCGGCGGAGAGGCACCGCCGGAGCTTGCCGGAGCCCACCAGGAACCTCGACCTGGTAGAGCACGGCTGAGCGACGGCGAGCGATGCCTGAGTGGTGACGGTGGCCATCTCTCTTTCTTCGGTGGTGGCGGCGGCGGCGGCTGTAATGACTGGGTTGCTATGCCGGCGGTGGTGGTGCCGCCTTTGTAAGGCACCCTCTCCTCCGTAATCTGCCTCCGTCCTCCGTCGATGGCGATGGACGGCTGTTATCAGATGAACTGAGGGATCTGACGGTAGAGATTGGGCGGCGGGGCTTCCTCCTTATCTTCCCTTATCTGATCCCCAAATCTGAAAAATCTTTTCATGGGACGCCATTGGCCGGAGAGCCAGAACTACGCTGGGCTCTGGGGGCTGGTCTGTGGCATTGCCACGTGTTATACTGATCAGTCATGTCCAATGGGTGCAGGACAAGTGGCCAATTTAGATTCTTCTCCGACACTGCCCCGCCTTTCGGATACTGGGTCTTGGGCCTGGGCAGCTGGGCATGGGAGCATAGGTTTGACGGCATCTAGATGGGCCTAACTCGGCCCAAATTACGTAGTCAAATGTGCATGGCCGTGAGAAATCGCGTTAGACATTATTATAATTATTACTATTTAAATATATTCCAAAGTCTCGGTAACGAAGCCTCGCGTCCACTGTAACGGAGATCTTCCGAGCCAAATTTCTTCGTCCAACATGTAAGAAGACCAAGGTTCGGTAAGTCAACGCCTTTTCTGGCAATAAAAATCTTGAGTAAATTGTGGGCAGATAATCGGTGGAGTTTATATGGAGGTTGCCCTACAGAGAGAATCATATATATATATATATATATATCTATAGAGAGAGAGAGAGAGAGAGAGAGAGAGTTTGGTGGGGTGGGGGGGGTGGTGGGGTGGTTCTGGTCTCACAGATCCTCAACTCCCAGGCAACGCCGCGTGCTCGTCACATGCCTGACAGTCGGTCGCCATTCCGACCTCTCTGTCGCTCTGTCGCTCTGTCTCTGTCTGTCTCTATCTCTCTCTCTCTAGCTACCCATCTATCTCTCTTTAATGGGATCAGAGGCGGTCGGAATGGCGACCTCCCTCTCGCCCGCCATATGGGCTCTTTAATCAGCCGGAACGGCGGCCTCACTCTCTCTAGGCTCTCTCTCTCTCTCTCTGTACCGGAGGAGACAGGCCATATGGACTTCTGCATGGGAGCTGGAGCAGTGGCGCCGATTCCTCAGAGACCCTGACGAAGAAACAGCCCCCGTAGCGAGCTCCGCAGTTACTGCCGGCTCCTTAAACTAATCGCAGCAAGCCGCAGATTCTCTGGGAGGACGATCGATCGTCGTTATTGGTAGTAGCAGAGGAGGAAGATGACCCATCCAGCACCCCAGACCAAGCTTAGCGAGAGAGAGAGAGAGAGAGAGAGAGAAGTTGGGGGGGGGGGGGGAACCAAGGCGACGGCAGAGGAGACTGTTGACTGCCTTGAACGAGGAGAGGAAATTAAACATGCACAGAGAGGAAGGCGACCGGCGGCCGGCGGCCGCGGAGGTCCGTCGGCACCGCATTGAATGATTAGGTGTGGACAGACCCTTAAAAGTTCACCCTCACCTAGAGAGAGAAAGAGAGAGGAGAGAGAGAGAGAGAGGTTCATTAAATAGAGAGGGAAAAAGAAGGTGGCTTTACCGATTGAACTCCCAGGGCAGAGCCTAGGAGCGACAGCTTTAACGAAAATACATAAATATATTCCTTTTTAAAATCGAAATATGAAAATGCGAAGATACGCCTCGGTACCAGTGCCGGAGTTCCGATCACGGGCCCACCACATTTCTGCTGCGCCACTCTGATCATTGATAAATTAAAATAAAAAAGAGAGATTTTTCTCTCTTTTACAGAAAAAAAACCGGCGGGGGCGCTTCCAAGCACAACCTCCCTCGGCCCACCAAATTCAATGCAAACCCACCCCCACCCGGCCCACTTAAAACGGGCCCACCAAACCCCTCCCTCCTCTCCTCAACTCCCACAGCAGGTACGCCTTCATACCCCTCGGAGTCCTCACCCTCCTCTCCCCATCCTACATATTAATTAGCTACGTATATAGCGGCAATAAACTACTATTGCACCACCAACAGCGGCGACGGCGGTGGCGGTCAGCGGAACTGGGCGCCGGAATATGTTTGACCAAAAGACCAGCCGGCGGGGGCGGCGTTGTAGGAGACGAGCGTGCGACCATCGCTGGTGGTGACTTTGAAGGAGAGGGACTGGCCATTGAGGAAGCTGTTGCTCTGCCAGTTCTGCCCCCAGTTCCTGGTCATCGCCTGCCAGCCGCCCCTCGAGCCTTTAATGGAGACGGCGTGGACGTCGCCGGCGCCGCCGACGTTGGTGATGAGAACCAGGTTGAAGTAGGAGTGGCCGTTGATGGTGAACCTGATCCCTCCCCTTTTCCGGCAAGCGACTCTGCAACAATAGCACAAGAGGTAAGGTCGCTAGAGAAGACGGCGGCGGAGGAAAGGATCCGAGGGGGGGGGGAAGGCTACCGCCGGTAGGAGATGGGAACGATGCCGGCGCGGTACTGGGCAATGTGCTGGAAGACGGGCTGGGAGAGGTCGAAGTGTTCTTGAGGGGGGTTGCACCAGCCGCCGGCGTTGTTGGGGAGGGCGGAGTTGGGGGGACAGAAGTTGGTGGCGGTGACGACAATGGAGCCCGGAAGGCACCACCGCCGGTCGTTGACGCAGCGGATCTCATAGCAGGCACCGCAGCTCAGCCCGTTGTTGAACAGCGCCGTGCTCAGCGCCGCCGTCTCCGTCCCGTACCCCTGGCTGTACAGATTTCCATACCCGCAAGCTCCCCCTGCAATGGACAAAATGAGAGATCCAGAGGGGCGCAGAGAAGAAGATGAGAAAAAGGAGGCGTTTAAGGCATACCCATTGTGCCGGAGGCGTCGCCGCCGCCATAGAAGGTGGCGTGCGCGTTGGACCACCCTCCCCCATTTCCATACCCGCGGGCAAGAGAAGGCACTAGGGACAGCAGCAGCAGCAGACCCAGCAGGGGTAAACCAGCGATGGCCGCCATTGCCCCGCAAAGAAAGGGGGAGAAGAAATGGGAGGGGGGGAGGCGGCTGTAAATGTGAGCTCTTTGAAGGAGAGAAGGGGAGCTGCCAGGGAATGGAAATGGGGGGCATAAATAGATGCCCTGAGGAGGGTGAGGGTAGGATGGGCGGCAAGTTTTCACCTCAGACTCTGGTTCTAACCCGTGGGCCTGAAAGAGGAAGGTGAGAGCTTCCTGACCTTATTGCCCTTGAAGTTCTAGGCAACCTGCGAGGAGGGCACAGGGGTCCTAAAGCTTATTAGGGTTTCGAAAATAGGGGAGGAAAGGTGGCTAGCGGTGGCCTCCAGTCTCGTCCTCACTTGGGCTTGCTCTTATTAAACTAATCTAAGTCTTGCTTATCAGATGACCTAATGAGTCCCCGTTGAACGAGGAAGTATCATCCTATGGTCAGAAGCTTCTCAGGCCGAGGGCACATATTCAATGGGGTTTGACAGATTGAACTAATCGAGCGGAAACTTTTGACCCGGATCGCTTCCAGCCTTGTTTATTCTTTTATCCCCCCATCCCCACACCTAAAGATGTGGGGAGAGAGAGAGAGAGGGATCCTTCCTCCCTCACTAATTAGAACTCTGTTCTTGCAGACGATCCCCCACCCTCTCTCTCTCTCTCTCTCTCTCTCTCTCTCTACCCTTCTCTCGATCTCAACGACAATCTCTGCACATGGGTGGTGTCCTCTAGCAAGCCCCTTTCTTGCTAAGCGGGAGTTGGGAGTTCTCTTCTTCTTCTTCCACCATTCCAAGCCATGTGAATACAGGGCTCCTTCTATGAGCGGATTTGTCAGTGACGCATGAGGAAATGGCCAAGAAAAAGCCATCTGTTACCTCCTTACTCTGCCTCTCCGCCGCCTGCAGCCGTCGGCTTCTGCGACCACCTGCCCCCTGGTGGCGGCGATCTCTCCGCCTGTCACGCCTTGCCCTCCCCCACCGCCACCGCGCTATCTCCTTCCCCCCTTGTTTTCTAGCCCTCTCTGTTTGGTTAAAGAGCTGCATTCTTTTGCGGGGAGAGGGCGAGCAGTGATGAGGGAGACAAGATTTGGCGCATTTAAATTTAGAAAACTTACCAGATATTGAAGGTAATGTCTTTAATAAACTGCACGATGTTGTTTGCCGTTTAAAGGAAATGGTTTTTGACATGAATCCGCCCACCATAAATCCTTCTCTCTCATCCCATGTGCGGTAACGAAGCCAGCCCAGAGCGGGACTCCGCGTGGAGGCGAGTTCACGTGGGGATGGAATCCTCCCGCTTTGGCCGCTTCGGGAGGGAGATTTGGAGCGTATGTCTCCTCCGGTAGCTCCAAAGGTCAGCACATGCTCTCTCTCTCTCTCTCTCTCTCCCTCTCCTCGACGTAATCAATAATGGGGTTTTGAGATGGAGAGGCATTTAGGCAATCCAACTATCACGTCTTGTCTCACAAGGATTTTCGGAATAGTCAGTGGCAATATGGGTAAGCCACCGAAGACTCTCTCTCTCTCTCTCTCTCTTCTGGATACCCCGTGCAGATCATCATTGACAGGGCGGGGGAGGAGGTGTTGCGGTATGGGCAGGGGCATTATGGGCCATCCCTCCGAACAATTTCGTCTCTCACAAGGATTTCAGGAAAGATTGGAGGCATTGTGGGCAATTCATACAAAGAATCTCTCTCTCTCTCTCTCTCGTCCCCCCCTCTACTCTTAACAGAGGTGCGAGATGACATCTCTTCAACCTGTCTGTGAGTCACTACCATGTCCGCTCCATTCAAATTCTTCTGCCTTTACACCGACTTCACTGGCATCAAAATTCTCCCCACTGTTGGGATTCGCCGAGCACTCCTCTCGTCTTATTTATTGATTATTATAGCACGGCTTTATTCTTCTCTCCATCTCTCCGCGTTATTTTCTTCCATTATATCTTAGTTAACTCCTTGGCCGTCGTTAAAGCTCCTCGTGACTTACAGTAAAACGAGGGAAAAGTCAACCACGGAATAACACCGTGTAATTTTATCATCCGATCTTCTCAATAATCCTATTTTGACCTTCACGTGGCGATTGATAATTAACGCGGATGCCATATGTACGAACAAAATACGGCGCTCCAATATATTTTATTTATTAATATCAATATCTTCTAGCCAGGTGAGAATTTGTTCATCCGCCCAAGCAACAAAGTTCGAGCATGACGATAAAACCAATAAAATCTGGCTTCTATCGTGGACCCACGAGTCAATGGCCACAGGCCAAGAGGGCCCTTATCGTCAACAGTCTCACGCTGTGCATCACTACGGTGACGACCCTTCTTTATGTGGGTTCGCGATTGAAATCGAGGGATTCATGGCAATTTGGCGGGCCCAAGACCGTCGTCGGTCGACGCGGTTTCAACGTCGTCATGCCCTTTATTAATCGGAAAAACTATAGTCATTCATACTTTAATGATTGATGAGCATACCCTTGTGGAGCCTCTTTACTCTTTTGGTTTTCATTTGTGCAGCCAATCAACGAATCTGTATCGCCACCACGATTGACGGCGAAAATCATGGTTCGCGAGCCAGCGAGAGAGAGAGAGAAAGAGAGAGAGTGGAAATCTTGTCATCCGATGCCATGAATTCCATCGTCAGCTCCTTTCATTATGGGTGGTCGAAGAATCGATGAATATTGGCAGCTGGCGGGGGCTGACTTGCCGGGCCCGGCCAGCAGTGTGCAGCAGTGTGTACGATCAAAGATCTTGGGTTTCTTGGGAAGAGGCCATACCTTTTGTTTTTAATACATCTTTGAATACTTGGTAAGCTAATGCACTCCAGACCATAGTCATAATATTAACACCCATTTATTTCTATTTAACGATTAAATCCAGAAAAGCCTAGACCCTTCCCTAGACTCGTCAATTTCTATGGGTTTGATCCCTTCTATCAAATTGATTCGTATTCATTTTTACTGTCACGACTACGCGATGAGAGTGAAGGAAGCCGATTTCACCGGAAACTAGTCCAGTGGACAGCCTTTTCCATCTCCATCTCCTAGAAGGGATATTAGGTTAGGCTCCTCCTGTTCATGGCTGGCACTACTGAAACCGCCAGTCTGTCCAGACGCCCAGACTCGACGCCCCATCGGTTCATTTCCTGAAGGAGAACTGAATGCCTCATCACCACCCGAATCTTCTCCATCTCCGTTGGGCGATCGCTCTCACCGCGGCCACCGTCAAGTACGACGTTGACGGCGAGGAGAGGGGAGGCGATTCAATGATTTCATGGATTTTTCCGTCGATTTTATTCCCAAGATCCAGTGCGGAGAACGGTGTGTGGTGGGTGGAGCTCTGCGACGAGACTGGAGGGGAAGGGTGGGGCTGGTGTGAGAGCTGTGTCTGCGCAAGCTGTTGATGTAGCGTTCAAACTTCATGCGGGGAACTCGTTCCCTCCCCCCTGAAATTCATCGTCCTCTGGCCGGCTTCGTTAGTCGGAGATTTCTATGAAAAACGCTTTAAAAAATAGGCTCGTTTCGTATAAAATCTTCCGTTCAGACCATGAAATTAAGAAAATGATGAGCGGAAATTGTCAGGCTGGCATCGCCAAGAGCATTCCCGGCCAGAGCGAGGGGGGTAGTGGGGACTTCTCTCTCTCTCTCTCTCTCGCTGAAAGATCTCAGCATGTGCAATGGGCCACACCGCTAGATATCAGAGGGGAGGAGATTGCCAAGGGATTATCTGGAAGACCGTCTTCTTCGCTTCGTGGGAACCCTCTCCCATTCATCTAAAGGTAGCAACTTTTACGTAGGAATGTGGTGAGCATGACATGGGCAGTAGGGACCCACCTTTGTCACCCCCCCTCCCTCCCTCTCTCTCACACACACACTCTCTCTCCTTCTCCCCCTTGACGCGACGGAGCTAAGGCCAGTCCAGACGGGTTTTCACGTGCTTGAGGGGGGCTCTCATCGTTCCCGACACTAACAACTGTCTCGCTATAGATTGTCAGACAGCACTTACGCGCCCGTATGAGTCAAACTGGTGGGTAGCGAGGAGAGAGAGAGAGAGAAAGAGAGAGGGAGACGGGAGCACTGCCGTGGAAGAAACCCTTCTAGGGCAGCCATGTGTATGAACGTCGTCTTCATCAGGCCCACCGGTAGCAGTAGGGGAAGGGGCTACGTGGTCCGTAGTCAGTGAGTGGGATGGCGTCTTGTTTGGATCTCCCCCACCGGGGCATCCTACCATTGGCCAGAGAGCGTAGTGAGATAAACCGAGCCCGTCAAAACATTGCACCAGAAGGGCTCCTATGTTCTCATTCTACAGTCAAAGCTGCAGAGGATGTTCCCAGCTGGAGAGATAGCAGACGCCCATGGGCTCTATAAGAGACCTCGGGCCCTCCACATGGCTCTCTCTCTCTCTCTCTCCCCCTTCCCTCCCTCTTCTTAGTAAGTTAGATCGTGGAGAGTAACATCGTCTTTGGAAGGTGAAGAGTAATTGTACCATAGGAAACTACATGTCGAGAACATTAAAGACAGGATGTGTATCATCTCACATCCATGTACACCGTGGATTCCTCCTCTCTACCTTCTATCTCCCCCCTATCTATCCACCTATCTTCCTCCGTCTCTCTCTTCCCTTCGTCCACAGTCGACATGAGCTGTGACGCACGACCACGACGCGGCACAGCCACATCTGCGTCTTTCTGATCTGTACTCAGCCTCGTGCGCCGGTCGGGGATGGTTGCGGCGGCAGAAGAAGAAGAACAACAAGAGAAGGAAGAAGATCTAACTCGTTCATCCTGCAAACGGAGAGCCTCCTTGTTTGGTTCCCTCATGACATTCCCACATGCCAGGACGGGAGAGGGAGACACCCGTGAATAATCGGCTCCTCCGGCAATCAATAGGATCACCGAACACCTCAGTGAGTTGAGAAGTAGTCATCTGAGGTGAAGACAGACCGTCCAAGGGGGGAATTCTTCGGTCCCCTCACGCATACCCGATCTTCCAGCATGCATGACCGGCGATCGACCCTCT